TCCAGGTTGGGATTCACTGGGACACAGGAGCAGACCTGGCACTCCCAAGAGGCAGCTCCCTAGGGCTTCCCAGGAGTGAAACTGGAGGGATGCTTTTGCTGACTAGCAGGTGTGGAGTGGGTACACAGATTTGTCATATGTCGACATGCTGAGCTATATATACTTAAGTTTTGTGCGTTTAGTAATCTGTGGTTTATCCTTAATTAAGAAGAAAATTCCCTAGATGGCCATCAGTGGTATTCAGGGATTCTGTGAGGGCAGACTCAGAAAAGATAGTTTGCACAGCCTGCTGCCTCATGACCTGTATTTTTGGTAGTTTTGTTCTTTTGTGATTTTCAGTTCAGTGTCACCACAGAGTACTGTTTGCTGAGAATTTTAGATGTCTGGGTAAACAAAGAGGGAATATGTATATATATATATATATATATATATATATATATATATATATATAAAATAGTTATAGTGCATCTAAATATATGAGATATATTTAGTCGCATTCCCATCAGAGCTCCCTCACAGTATTTTGCTAATCAAGTAGTGATATTAATGATATTACCCACATAATTATTAACTACAGCTGACATTTTCCCAATAAAATTAATTTGCCTTTAATGGAATCTGCTTTTCTCTGAGCCAGCGCTGCAGGGTGGAGGAACTGACATTCAAACGATTTCTGTCTTGTCACAGTGACACGAGGCTGTAATGCACAATATTTCCTGTGCTTTTAGAGTGAAGAGCATTAACAGTTATTGCAGGATTGCTGTATTTATGACACTTGTAAATTGATTTATGATAGTAGCCAAGCAGAAGACTGAAAAAAAGCCTTTGAATTTTCTTTGTGTTTATCCTTATGGATGCAAGGTGTGGAGGCATTCAGATCACGTTTCAGGCTTATGGGAATGCCAGGCCCCGATTCCAAACCAGGAGACCGTTTTCCTCGGCCTGATGGTCACACAGAAAGGAGTTTCCTAAGGGGTCCAGGAGGTCAGAGGAAAGTGAGGAGATATCCACACTGTCACCAAGCTGTCAAATGGCTTTGTGTGAGGCACCTGCTGGTATAGCTCGGTGATTTCTAAGCCCTGTCAGTGTAGGGGGAGTAGCAATTCCCAATCGTAGCACCATCTCAGACTAACACACAATTGCACTGAGTTGCTTCTGTAACTGCAGTTTGGATGTCGTTGTCAGTATTCCTTCCTGCTCTCTATGCCAAAATCTGATGGTCTATTTTGAGCTTCCCTGGTGGAAAACTGTGTAATGACAGTGTGTACAGAGTTCATTCCAGTCCCTGGAGTTTGGAGTGGCCAGCACAGCAGCTGTGTTCTTTGTGGGTGAAAAGCAGGGTCAGTGCAGCTCTCCTGGCTGCACCCATTCCACGCTTCTTTGAAAGCAGCCGATGGATGACGCTGATATTTGTTTTGTGTGGTTGCTTCCATGGAAATGAAATGGGAGTTATTGAACATAGAGTAGGCTTTTCTTTGGATTTTCCTTGTTATATTTTTCTCTTTAGAAGTTTGGCTCGAATGTGTTTGTAAGTAATTACTGAGAGAAAATGTCAAGCCTTTGAGAAAGACCTCTGGCTGAGGAGTCCCGTCCCAGACCAGCTGCTATTTCTATTTCTCCCCTCACCACATTGGTCAGACTCTTTCCTTTCTTAAGATGAAGCAGAAACACCTCCATTTCTAAGGTCCAGTACACTAATTTAAATAGTATTATTTGATAAAATAAAAATAAAAGTATTTTCAATTCATTAAGGTCTAAGTGTCAAAGCAGTATCAAAAACAGGCACCATTCCTGGCAGGTGGAATATACAGACTGTTATATAGAAAATTAATATAGCCAGAAACCTCTGAGCTGATTTTAGAACACTTTGGTTTTATGTTTGATTTTTAAGGGTGGAGTGAAAATTAACAAATTTTTCTTCATTTTTGCCTTTCTATACTTTATCAATGAAATTTCAAGAAGTCTCCAATGGAAACAGTGCAAAATTGATGAGTTAACAATCAAAGACAGATGAATATACTAGAGCAACGAAGATTTAGGCACTTACTCTAAGTAGAGCTCACATTTTCTATAGGTGGACTGTGGCTTTTAAAACCTTCAATCAATAAGGGAAAAACATGGAGTTCCATTTTTCCTTCTGTGGAAGTCATGGAACATATATGGAACACACACCCTGGTGCTCAACCGGCCCTATGTCTTCAATCCCAACACAAGAGGTTTGGATAGCCTCACAGCCAAAGTCTTTTCCTCTGCTTTTGGTTTTAGTTTGTTTCAAGCGTAGGCCAACAGACATTCTCACGGTTTTGCCCACTTCCTGAAAGAAACACCTTGCTGCTGTTGCAAAATCTTAGGCTGATTTCTACACAATCGATACTAAAAATACTTCTGTTATGAAAATGTTACATGAGCCCCAAATAAAGTAAAGAAGCTCTCTGCATGTATACGCTACACTGCTTCAATATGTGTGTATAAATATATACATATAATGTGTGTATAATGTGTATGTATGCATATATACAATGTAGATATAATGTATATGTATATGTATATACAATTGTATATTGCACAGCTTCAGTGTATTTATGTACATATAATGTGCAATGTGTATGTATGTATATACAATGTATAGTATGTATATGCAGTATATATTGCACAGCTTCAATGTGTATGTACATATGTGTGCATATACATGTATATGCAATGTATATATGTGTGTATTCAATGTATATACAACAGAGCTTCAATAATTGTCAGTATTGCGTACCTCTTTTATCCTGTCCTCTGTACTAAGAAGTTACTTCCTCATCGCCACCCTGCCCTGCAGACTGTCAGTAGGAAGGACACATTTCTTGTTGTTCTAGGTCTGCTGTCCCCCTGGATGCTCTGCTGATCTCTGCAGGTCATGACTGACATGGCCTGAGCTGGCTTTGCCCCGTGTGGCTGTCAAGGCGTTGGGCCAGCTGGTCTGGATGGCCTTCCCCGGCTCGCAGGGGCTTTCTAGCAGTTGCTCAGGATTACAGCAGTGACATGCCTGTGGCTGTGTCTTTCAGGGGAGCATGGCTTGTTGTCAGGACAATTGCACAGGGTTTCTAGAGATGAGAGAGGGAGGATGTGCAGGGCTTCATGACTCACTCAGTGGTCAAAGCTCTGCCGGATTCAAGAGGGGAAGAAACAGCTGCCTGTAAGGAGCTGCTAAGCTGTGGTGCAAGGAAGGGGCTGCAAGAAATGGAGAGGCATTGGGGAATACTGGAAAACACCTACCACACTCCCACTGCTCTAGGATTCTTTAAATCTAGGGCCAGCATTGTGGCAAAGTGGGTAAGACTGCCGCCCACAGTGCCTGTATCTCATGTGGGCACCGGTTCAAATCCCGGCTGCTCCGCTTCTGATCCAGCTCTCTGCTGTGACCTAAGAAAGCACTAGAAGATGGCCTAAGCACTTGGGCCCCTGCACCCACGTGGGAGAACTGGAAGAAGCACTAGGCTCCTGGCTTTGTATCAGCCCAGCTCTGGCCACTGCAGTCATTTGAGGAATGAACCAGTGGATGGAAGATCTCTTTCTCTTTCTGCCCCTGCCTCTTTCTAACTTTGTCTTTCAAATAAATAAACTTAAAAAAATCCTTAAATCCATTGATCTCAGATCAACACTAAATACTTCAGGAATACGGTTTATTTTTTAAGTTGCTGTGATTTTGAACTCCACTAGAAGGCACACAAGTCAGCCAGAGTCAATGGCTCACAATGTTGTTAGTGGAGATGCCTCATGTATCCTCATTACCACTGCACACAGCGATCATTGCCATCACTGCTGCTGGCAGATTTCACTTACGGCTTGTGAGTGTGCTACGTGCACTGGTAGAGATGAGTGAAGGAGGTCTGCTGGGATGCTCCAGACCACAGACTGGGCGATGCTTACACTGATCCCATGCACCCCACTGCCCCTCTTGGCCTCAGCATCTTGGCACTTACCTCGGAGGCCAGGTAGATTTGACAAAGACTCATCCTACTCTCTTCCATTTCTAAAGTGAAGAGCAATGTAACTCAGGGATGTAGGTTGTTTCTAGCTTGCCACCACCATGCTCTTTTAAAAACATTTGAGCGATCTATGCGGTCACTTGTAAGCCTGATGGTGTCATTCATTGTAGGCTTTCTGAAGAGAGCTGAGAGCTTTATCTCCTATGGCCCTCTGAGGGCTGTGAGCTTGTCCATGTTTCCATCAAGTGTCTCAGGGCTGGATTGCTCCAGATCCTCATCTTCTACACATAGTGGTTGGCCAGTGATCAGAAAGAGTTTCCTGTTTAATGGGGCAGGAGGAGAGATGTATTGCATCTGTCAGTTCACTCCCCAAATGGTTTCAATAGCCAGGGCAAGGCCAGACCAAAGCTAGGAGTCAGGAACTCTATCCTGGTCTCCTACATGGGTGGCAGGTGCCCAAATACTTGGGCCATCTTCTACTGACCTCCCAGGCTCATGAGCAAGGAGTTGGATTGCAAGTGGAGCAGCCAGAACTTGACCAACTCTGAGATGGGATGCTCGTGTCACTGTGGTGGCTTAATCTGCTGTACCACAATGCCAGCCCATCCTTTTTTCTTTCTTTCTTTTTTTTTAATGAGGTAGAAGGTATGATTTTCTTCATTCTAAAGAAAAGCTAAAATTGTAGGAAGATTTAACCCAATTTATCCAGATCCATGCAAAGATGTCGCCTGGTTTTGAGTTAGTATCATTAATATAGCTACCAGATGTCAGTTTTTTGAGTGACTGAACCTCAAAAATGTCTCAGTGTATGTTGTTCTTTTCTTAGTGTCAACTCCATCCTGAATTCAAATAACTGCTTTTATCTTTAAGGTCTGGTGTGAAGCATTAAACTCATATTCTTCCAAGAAAGATCAATGGGAATATGATCTTACTGCTATTTTACTGTTATAAAACAGAATTACTAAACACTGTGCCCTTTACACTGTCTGATGGTGAAATTAAGGCTGGCTTGCTTTCTCTTTTCAGACCGAGAGTGAGCCAGGGCTTCTGTCTCCCCTTGCTTCCAGGGGGTCACATGTTAACTGCACAGCCTGTGCACACACAGAGATCAGGTAAGCTGGTGCCAGTCTCTGCAGGGGATGAGGTAACCTGGAGACTGAAACATGCCCACATTCTGGAAACTGATGATGTCACCAGTGTCCGACGTGTCTCTTAACAAACGGATTTATTTTAGTTCAGGGGTTCACTGTGGCCCCCATTTATGGGAGAGAGTTTATGTACGACCACTAAAATCCATAAGATCACTGCTTTTGAGCAGTTGGGATCTATGAGCTCCACCTTGACCTCTGGCCTGCATCACTCCTGGGTCCATCTAGTAGTTTCAGCGTGGGATGATGTGAACCTGCTCAGAGGGTCTTCTCAGAGCGTCACAGGTCTGGAAGCCTTAGCTCTTAGAAACCGAGGGCGGCTCACTAAGATGGACATGGGTGCCTCTGAATGCGAGTGTGGAGTGAGAGGAGCAGAGGGCTAGGCTAAGCACAGGTGCAGGTCAGGGGTGAAATGCAGCCCAAACCTGCCAATAGTGGGTCTAGAGGCTCTTGCCATACTATTAACAGAGCAGGAAGGAATCAAAATTGAAAGGGCAAGCATTGGTATTTTCTTCAGACTTTTCATTTTAGAAATAGATAAAATGGGTAGAATTCAGTTTTAGTAGTCAAGTCAATGTTCTGCTTCTTAGAATGAAAGTTGTGGGGAGCAACTGAGACTAGACTACATTACTGGAACTAAGACTAACACTGTGCATCTGATCTCCCACAATATGGCGCTGGGGAGGAGTAAACAACTTCCACGCAGCTGCCTCGCCAATTTGACTGATAAGCTGCAGGAGCTGATCCTGCTCCTGATTGGAGGAGAGCAGCATGCTTGGCGTGTGGGCAGCAGAGCACGGATTGGTGGAAGAGGACTATAAAGGAGGAGAGAGACAACATGCACCAGGAACATTTGGGGGAAACATCTGAGCAGCCCCTGAGAGAGCTGGCCGGCGGTGTGCCGCTCCTCTGCGGAAGCGGGGAAAGCGGCGGGGGTGCCGCTCCTCCACGGAGGAGGGGGGGGGGGCGGCAGCTAACCTGGGAAGGGCTGGGCAATAAGAACAGCGCAGGGTCCAGTGTCGTTCCTCCGCGAATGGGGGAGCGACAAAAGTAACTTTTTACTTCATTTTGCTGATTGAAATAACTCCTTAGGAAACTGGATGTCAGTGAAACAGAACACATTTTAAAATATAATTTTAAAAATTTGTATTTATTTGAGAGACCAAGACACATAAACACATGGTGGTGGTGAGGAGAGATATGTCATCCATTCTTGTTTTACTCTCCAGACATCTTTAACATCCAGGGTAGGCCAGGCAGAAACCAGGAGCCAGAAACTTCACTGGGGTCTCCCATGTGGGTGGCAGGGCCCATGCCTCCAGGGTCTGCATCAGTAGAAAGCTAGAATCAGGAGCAGGAACTGGAGCTGTATTGAACCTAAGTATTCTGATATGGACTGTGGGCATCTTAACTGCTACACTAAATGTCCTCCCCTCATAACATTTTTAAATCTCTAGTGTAGGAGCCAGTGCTGTGGCCTAGCGGGTAAAGCTGCCGTCTGCAGTGCCAGCATCCCATATGGATGCTGGTTCGAGTCCCGGCTGCCCCACTTCTAATCCAGCTCTCTGCTATGGCCTGGGAAAGCAGTGGAAGGTAGCTCAGGGCACCTGCGCCCACATTGGACACTGGGAAGAAGCTCCTGGCTCCTGGCTTCAGATCCACGCAGCTCCAGCCATCACAGCCAACTGGAGAGTGAATCAGTGGATGGAAGACCTCTCTGTGTCTCTGCCTCTCCTTTTCTCTCTGTGTAGCTCTGGCTTTCAAATAAATGGATAAATCTTTAAAAATAAATAAATGAATAAATCTGTAGTGTAGTTGTCAGTTTAGGAAATATTTTTGAATTAAACAAGAATAGTTTTTTTGTAATTCTGATTTTACAGAAGGGAATTGAATTGAGATCAAAGTATAGTAACACCATTATTCTAATTCAGATTTTTTGGGGCACCCTGTGATCAAGGGGAATATTTTCTTTCATGATCAAGATGCTGTTTCTCAAAATAAAAGAAGTTTCTACCATCCATTAAAACTCTCAAAATTGTAAAGTAAGCAACAGCATTAATTTTGCTTACATTTTGACCTTCCTACATGCAGATCTGGAAGATGCAAATTGTAAGCCCTAAAAAGTGTAATCTGAGATGACATAAAAAAGCCCAAATATGTGGAATTAAATATACATTTAGTGGTTTGTCTACCTCTGTCTTCACTGTTTTATCAGTTTTAAGTGAACAAGTATGGAAATTATTGAATAGTCTTATTAGGAACAATGCTCAGATGTTTGTTGTCATAATGGTTCAGGAAAATTGGAGATGGTAATCTTTGCTCTGTTTCCTTGGAGTGAATAACTTTCTGCTTAAGTGGGGAGCAACTGATGCTATTATCTTTTTCTTGAGCCAAATGCAGATTTGCAGGCTTTAGTTAAAATGGCTGGTCCTCATCCACTTGTCCTTTATTTATGTCTTTCCTATATATTTCTAGAACTATTCACCTCCTATTACTGTAAAAACACTGAGTATTTTTTCCCTGAAAAGACTCAAAAGGTTATATTTGTGATCCTTATTAGTGACTCAAATGGGGTTAGGTGCCTAGTATAAAAAAATTGGTTGAGCAAGAGCCATGATGTGAATGAAGTTAACCAAGTGGGGTTGTTCTTGCGGCTGCTGACACTAGGTAGCGTGCGGTAGAGTGCCTTCCGAGTGAACCTCCTCCGACCGAGGGACAAGACTCACGGGAGAGGTCTGTGGGTTTCAGTACAGCTTGTGTTAAGCTCCTTTAGTGAAATGTGAAGGGGAAGATGCACTCTGTTTTGGTAGAATTATTAGAGAATATGTTGATTAAAAAGTACTACCAAACAGGAAGGTGTATGTAATTCCTATAATGTTGGCGATTTACAGTGTATGGATTAATACGTTATTCTGCTTGTTTTTTGAGTTTCCAGGTTAAGCACGCTCTCCTCAGCTTTACATGAAATGTGAGAGGCGACACTGAGGTTTTCGGTCTTTGTGAGGTGTCTCCTTCCCCAAGAGCCATGGAGAGGCTGCTCCGTGGGACAGGATCAACCACAGCTCTCATTTTCTTCCTGCTGAAATTGTCAGTGGCAGTTGACATTCCATTGTCAGGTACAGCAGCAGCAGTCAGTGCCTGCTTGTGGGATTTCATGTCTGTATTTTGACTTTTAAGTGGACTGAGAATATGACTTTTCTGTCCTATTTTTATATGTTTTACAGCAATCTGTCATCCATCAGAGTTCACGTCTGCATTTTCATTTTGGGGTGGTTGATATTTGGCTGCTGTAATCATTTTGCAGCTTGAGCTTTTTGCTTCTCATGCAAACTTGGCAAGTGAGACACAGCCAGTAGCTCAGGTGGTATTTTGCCATATGTCTAAGCTGCTCTGCGATATTACAGCTTTACATTTATATACTTACATGAGTTAATTTGAGGGAGAATTATGATTTGGAAATTATTGGCATTCAACTGTGACAAAACATTCTTTTTCAAAAACTATTATATATTTAAGAATGAAAACAATGAATTAGGGAAATAATAAAAAGCCATTTTACAAATAAAATTATAAGCTGATATGAACTCACAATCAAGATCCTTATATAGTGGAATTCATATTAGAGGTTAGTGGTCCTAGGCCGGCGCCACGCCTCACTAGGCTAATCCTCCGCCTTGCGGCGCTGGCACACCGGGTTCTAGTCCCGGTCAGGGCGCCGGATTCTGTCCCGGTTGCCCCTCTTCCAGGCCAGCTCTTTGCTGTGGCCAGGGAGTGCAGTGGAGGATGGCCCAAGTGCTTGGGCCCTGCACCCCATGGGAGACCAGGAGAAGTACCTGGCTCCTGCCTTCAGATCAGTGCGGTGTGCCAGCTGCAGCGCGCCGGCTGCGCTGGCCATTGGAGGGTGAACCAACGGCAAAGGAAGACCTTTCTCTCTGTCTCTCTCTCTCACTGTCCACTCTGCCTGTCAAAAAAAAGGGGAGGGGGTTAGTGGTCCTATGAATATATACATATATATGTTTTATACACATATATACTTAATATATACTGGTAAAAGTGGATGCAAATTTTTAGCATCATAAATTAGTTTGAACACATCAGAATAATTAATAGTATAAAAAATTAATAAATATGTTATATATTATAGTATATAAGTATACTATAAAAATAGTATAAAAATTAATAGTATAAAAATACATCTGTAGTACATTATATGTATTAATACATCAAATACATAAAATAGGGTTTGGGGGAATTTTTCTCACATTCTCAGCATTTGGACCTGAGATGTTATTCAGACATTTTTGTCCATGTAATTCTAGCATACTCCCTTCCATCTTTTCCATGTGCTGTTAGAGAAATTATAATGTGCGGGGCACTGGTTACCTATTAGAATCTTGATAATATAAATGATTGTTATGGACATCAAGTCTTGGAGAAAGTCTTGAACCAGAACATTTAGTACATGTCAGAAAGGAAATAGCACTGAGCTAAAACTTTTCCTTTGAAAGCGATCAGACCGACTGAGTGTGAACAGAAAAGGAGACGGGTCTCTGACCATGTGATGTAGCGTGTTGAAAAGCACTCTGAGGCCACTTTAAACTACCAGTCTCAGCCACTTTGCACTGCACACTGCAGTTGGGGGCCAACCCTGCTCTGCTGCTCGTGTCAGGTGCTTCAGAGACATTCCATGACTTGAAAAATGTCCCTTTCCTGCACTACAGGTGCACCAGATTTTCTGCACAGGGAGCTGAGATCTTCACCCTGTGCATGATACACCTGGCATCATCATGGACCCACCATTGCAGCAGTTCTGGCCGGGAGGTGGAGTGCCTCTGTCTGTAGTGGATTCTTGTGATCTCCAGTGAAGAGCAGTGTGGGTTCCATGGGGATTCCTGACTCTGTTCTCGGGGGTGGGCCTTGCCTCTCTGTTTTCTCACCTTGTTCCTCAGTGGTGAGGGATGTGAAATTTTGTGTTAATCCACAGCACACATTTTTCTTCTGGTTGTCTCAGTTACTTATGCATTTTCATGCCAAAATGTCCTTAGACAACAATTGTTATAAAATATTAATGACATGTTTTCAGCACAACTGAATATTATCCATTTATTTCAGTACTCTAGGGCACTCACCAGTAAATGCAACTAAGGCAGGTATCCAATTTGAATGTCAACGAGTCTGGTGTTGCTGTGATTGGTCTAATTGCAGAAGAAAGGATACACTGTGTAGAGAATATATTCTTAGAAAGACCCAGAGGTTATTAACTCCACTCCCTGAATAATTAGTTATGGCTGAACCTTCACAACCTTAGCAAATGTAGGAAAGAAAAATGTCCTAATAAACTAGTGGTTTGCAAGTTATTTGGTGACATCTTAGGGACTGTTACCACTGGTTACAACCCTAAGAACATTTAAATAACATGAGTTTGCTGTAAGCTCAAGACTGCTGTTATACAGGACAAGATGCATGTCAATCAACATGGGTGTCCGCGCACATTCTTGCATGTTTATAAGTACGCAGGGGAAGAAGACGTAATGGAACCAGCTTCACAAGCTGGGCAGACTGTTACCAGACTGAGAGGAAAGGAAAGGAAACGCGTTTTCAGAGCTGGAAGGGTCACCTTGTTATTCTGGTGTGGCCACTGTCAGTGCTTAAAACGCTGCTCATGGACACAGGCGAGGGACACAAGGACACAGTTTCCTGCCACGCAGAACCCAGGGAGACAACACCCGCCCGCACCTGAGGGGCTGCTCCGGCCGCGCGCTCACCGCGGAAACCCCGGTAAGGCAGAAACGGTCTTCCTGAGGACTGGAGTGGTTCTGGGGCCTGTGTCTGATGACCTGGAGGCTGGGCAGGGTGTCCCTGCCCACGTCCACGCCCGGCCGCAGCCTCTGCTCCCGACAGCTCGCAGAGGCTCCCCGGGCGGACGAGGCCAGTGCTCCCTGCCATGAGCCAGCCCAGCGACAATGATGCAAACGATCCGGCGGGCAACACCCGCGTGTTCAGACCACACCTGGCATCGTGGCAAAGCTGCCTCCCCATGGGCTTCCTGATGCTGACACCAGCACCACGCTGGGGACCCCCGGGTGACACCGACGCCATGCCAGAGGGCGTCTGAGTAACACTGACTCTGCGCCAGAGAAGGCCTCCGGGTGATGCCGATGCGTGAGAGCGAGAGGCCTCCGGGTGACACTGACGCCATGCCAGAGGGCGTCTGAGTGACACGTGATGCCGATGCCTGAGAGCGAGAGGCCTCCGGGTGACACTGACGCTGCACCCAAGGGTGTCTGGGTGACACTGACACCGCGCCTGAGGGCATCCTAGTGACACCGACCGAGCCCCTGAGGGCGTCCAAGTGGCTCTGACGGAGCCCCTGAGGAACTCGGAGTGACACTGACGCTGCACCCAAGGGCATCTGAGTGATACCGCTGCCCCCGAGGGTGTCTGGGTGACACGGACGCAACCCCTGAGGGACTCTGCGTGGCACGGATGCCGCACTCAAGGGTGTCTGTGTGACACTACCGCTGCCCCCGAGGGTGTCCGGGTGACATGGACGCCGTGTGTATCTGAGTTCTATCAGGAAAAATCCCTGTATCTGGAAGGTGCCCTGCAGAACGTCTGAGCACCGTGCGAAGGTTACAGACATGACAGCCAAGACTGGTGTGACTTTGTAGAGAACGTGAGCTCCAAGTCACGGCCACACGCGGTCGCTGCAGAGGCCAAGTCCCCGTGGCTCGTGGCTGTGCCTGAGCGAGGCCTGAGGCCTGCTCTTTTTTTTTTTTAATTTAATAAATGTAAATTTACAAAGTGCAATTTTTGTATTGTTGTGGCTCCCCCCCAACCTCCCTCCCTCCCGCGGCCCTCCCCTCTCCCACTCCCTCTCCCATCCCGCCCTTCATTGAATTTGATTTTCAGTTACCTTCATATACTGAAGATCAACTTAGTATACACTAAGCAAGGATTTCAACAAGCTGCACTCACACAACCGCACAAGGTATAGGGTATTGTTCGACTAGTAGTGTTGTCTTTAAGTTTCATAGTAAAACACATTAAGGACAGAGATCCTACGTGGGGAGCATGTGCCCAGTGACTCTCGTTGTTGATTTAACAATTGGCACTCTTATTTATGATGTCAGCAATCACCCGAGGCTCTTGCCATGAGCTGTCTAGGCTATGGAAGCCCCTTGAGTTCACCAACTCTGAACTTGTTTAGTCAAGGCCGTATCACAGTGGAGGTTCCTTCCTCCCTTCAGAGAAAGGCACCTCCCTCCTTGATGGCCTGTTCCTTCTCCTGGAGTCTTGTTCACCAGGATCTCTCATTTAGGTTGTTTTTGCCACCGTGTCATGGCTTCCCACGTGAGGCCTGCTCCTGAGGAATTGTGGGGAGCACACGGGAAGCCGAGCTGTTCTCACCGGGACAGTTACCATTTCTTGTAAGATGTTACTATTTTATTGCGTCATGTTATCCTGTAATTCACAAATAAATATTCTAGAGGATCTCCAGTTGTAATTTCTAGAGCGGTTCGGGCAGTCGGACGTCAGTTGCGCAAGCAGGGGGGCTGGCTTATCTCTTCCAAGGAGTGCGTGTTTGGGAAGAGCTAACCCGGGCTGAGGCCTCGCGCGTTCACCCTCGTGTCGGCATCACGGTTCTCAGAAAGCAGCCTTGTGTCTTGTGGGTTCCTTAGCTTGTCAAACATGAAACCGAAAGATCGAGGCATATTTGAACGTGAACAGTCTATTTACAAACAAATATCGCAAGCAATTATTCTGTATTATTTGCTCATTAGTAGTACGTTAATTTCTGTAAGGAAAAAACAAAATCCCAAGTCCCAGTGTTTTGGTGGGAAAAAGATCAACGAGGAAAAGTTAAACATGGGAAATGACAAGTTCACAGAAAAGCTCTTATTGACCAAGCAATTTACACAAATCAAAGATAGGGATTTTTTGGTCATAAATAGCAAGATATGTCTTAGTTTTTAATGCTGGTGTTCTGTGGTGGCAAGGATGTGGGGAACCACAGTGCTCTCACATTGAGACTGGTGGTTATCCAGATCCCCGCCTTTGCTGTCCGTGCCTGAAAACGATCTACGTCAGTGATTCAGCAAAGAGTATCCATTGAAATACCTGTCAAGAAGGAGATGGAAAATGATCTAGTGTACAGTGATGGGTAATTATTGAAAAAGTTGCAACATATCAATGAGAAGGAATAAGTTAAACCAGTAAATTATTTATGTCTGTGTAGAAGCCTATCAGACTATAAACAGAAGCTTAAAAATGACTAAGTAAAAATGTATATGTATGTCAGCAGACTGAATGCCAATAATTTTCAAAATAGATATTTTGAAGTGTAATTATAGAATTTTTCTTCTGCCTTAAAAATATTATGATTCTAGATTTAAATAAAATTAATGCATTTGGGACCAAGAAGTGAATACAGGTCACACAGAAGAAGTTGGATGTCCTAGGGTTTTCATTCCTGTATCTTTTGTTTACTAAGATATAGAGATCATTTAAGCTGTTTCTGCCACCACTGGGTCACCTGCTAAGTGTCTGCACAGCCTGCTCCTTACATGTGCTTTGCCTTCAGTCCGACAGGTCCCGACAATCACGAAACAGTCGGGAGTGCAAGTTGCCTTTCCTTTTGATGAGTATTTCCAGATTGAATGTGAAGCGAAAGGGAATCCAGAACCAACGTGAGTGTCCCTGTGCCCCATCGGGTCCTTACTTGAGGCCTGTCCTTTATACCACGTTTCACCCTGGCTTGCACGTTCTTGGTGGACCATAAATCTTCATATGATGGAAGCTGAGGGTTTCCCAGTGAATGACAGTTTTGTTTATAAAAAAAGGCTTGGTTTTTCTACTGTGTTGTTTTGTTTGTTGAATATATATATATTCCATAATATACATATTACCATAAATATATATATTTTACCATAAAATAAAGTGTCTTATGTTAAATACTTAGAGTAGTCTTTGGGTCTGCAAAATAGTCAACAATTCCTTATCCTATGAGTAAACAAGATAATGAAAAATAAGGAGAGTCTTCATTCTCCTTGGTAGTGGTAGTGTTTATTAAGTCAAATTTAACACTTTTATAAATGATGTTTAATATAAACTATCTTATTGCTTGTCTTTTGATGCATATCTTATTCTGTGGATTAAAATATTTTTATTTATTTTCATTTTATTTGAAAGGCAGAGACATAGAGAGGTAGAATCAGAGAGAAAGAGAGATCACCTGTCTACTTTTCATTCGACAAATGCCTACAATGGTTAGGGCTGGGCCAAGCTGAGGCCAAGAGCCTGGAAAATTCAATGCAGATCTCCCACATGGGTGACCGAGGCCCACGTACTTGAGTTATCACCCGCTGCCTCCCAGGGTGTGCATTAGCAGGAAGCTGGAATTGGGGCTGGGGCTGGGGCTGGGCTTGAACCCCTAATTGGCATTTGAACAGTGCCAAACATTTGCCTTTCTATGGGTATTTTCAGTTCTCCTAGAAATGTTGTCATCTTGGATGGCAGAAGGCTAGCTGCTGGTCTACTACTATGAAGTAATTGTATTATTAATTAGATAATTGTTACCCTAGGTGATCATAATTACTGATGAGTTTTTCCCAAAGAACCTTCCATATTTTGGGAGAAAGGAGGACATGTGAGTGTGTTAGGAGTAAGGGGGAATGATCTATAGGGAGAATTCCGGGTCTTAAAGCTGCAGGGGCTCTAAGTGGGATGCAAGTCTATTGGTGTGCTTGATTATTTTTTATTTGAAACTCAGAGTTACAGAGAGAAAGAGAGATCTTGCAGCCACTGGTTCATTCCCCCAGTGCCATGGCTGAACCAGGTGAAAACCAGGTCTCTCATGGGGCTAGCAAGGACCCAAACTCGTGCTGTCTTCCTGGGCATATTAGCAGGGAGTTGGATTGAAAGAAGAACAGCTGGGACATGAGCTGGAGCACACATTGGATGTCACAGGGGGTGACCAGCCCTGATACATTCTCAATGAAAATTGTTTTTTTTTTTTTTTCAATTGTCTTGTGAAAAACAATTGACATTGTTTTGGTGTGATCATTTGGTATTTTGAAAAATCATGATTAGTGGTCCATTAACATGTTAATTAACATTTTTCTACATTTTACCAAATAGAATATATTCCATTAGTGTAAGTAAATATGGATAGAATTACAATAGAATGAAGAATTTATTCAATTAACTAACATCATGATAAATACATTAATACTAATATTAATTTACTGAATATATCAAAAGATAATGCCAAACAATCATCTGTAGTTACAACAGAAAAAGAAGAGAAAAACACAAAAAAAGTTGGAGGTAAGAGGAAGACACTGTCCTGATGAGAATGGTTAGGTTTATGAATAACACATACAAACATACTACATACACATATGAACCCATCACACACAGACACATTCTTGGTAACAGCACATGTCCCATGAAGGTTTGTGACTAACACTCAAACATACTACACACATATCCTAACACACCACACACACAGACAAGAAGTGTCTGTGAAGGCTTAGAAATACAATCAGATAGGTCAGGGTCCGGATATTAGTGCCCTGAAATACGCCCAATTTTACATGGATAATTCTAATATAAATAAAAAGGCTTTTTATGTGATTGCCCATAGAACTGAGACACTCACCTGCTAGGTGGGGAATTTAACTGTGTATATTTTTTTCTGGAATACATTTCTGTAGCTTCTATCAACATTCCTTAAATTATTTGGTATTATTGTCTGTTGATCTTGTTTTTAAGGAATTGGCTTAAGGAAATATTTGGACAAAAATATTAGTTAGGATTGTTGACTACACTTATTCATAACATGAAAAGTTTTGAAATGGTCAAGCAAGTAAAATAGTGACCATGTGACAGCAGATGTTGTAGCCATAAAGCTGTCTTAATGCCATCATGGTAACTGGAAAACCCATTTGTCAAAATTGTGTGTTGAATGTGGTCTCACATTAGGAGTTAAAACTGTGGCACTAAAACTAGTGGCAGGAAATACGATCAATGGATATTGCTAGATGGTGTGTTTTTGTATTTTGAGTGAGAACTTTACTTGTGTACACACACATACTAACAGACATGCACGCATAGACATGCACACAAACATACCACATAATACCCATATGCATCGCATTATTATACACATTCACAAAACATACCACACACATGTACACATCACACAGAATTAGCATGCATGCATATACATACATCCACATATATTACATACTGCTACACAGATGCATATATATGCATGTATACACAAATGTCTTACACACATACTCATGCACACATACATTACACATTTATAGTTACACAGTCTCCACTTGCCTAATTTGCTGACTTGCGTATGTAATGTTGTAGGTTGTAAACTTACTTGTGTGTGTACCCTTACATATGTGGACTTGTTCCTTATGGAACAGGTGCTGAACATAACATCTGTTAACTCATTTTGTTCTAACAGAAACCTGGTGAAGTTGGTTCTGCTACTACCCCACCCACGAGAAGCTGATGCTTCAAAGGCTGAGGTTGGGCATGACCCTCGGGGCTTTCTGGCTATGGTGCCTCTTCTCCTAAAAACATGATGTACAGTCTACTTTTTAAAAATAAAAATGATGTTTAAGACTCTAGTAATAATCCTGCATTATATTTCTAGTTGGAAGAAAATTTAAGTAACTTCGCTTTTGTTCTCTCAGTAGTCACATGTTTCTGTGGCTTAAAAAGTATCTCAGATTCCTTGGAGACCATGATTTATATTCTGCTAGGTATATTTTGTGCCAGAAAATGTCTTGGTTTTTTCATTTTTGCATTTGTTCATTAATATTTTTAAAAGCTAAGAAATGCATCACAACTTTCAGGATTATCAAGGTTCCTTTTGTCTTACAGATTTCGGTGGACTAAGGATGACAAACCCTTTAATCTCTCTGATCCTCGCATAATTGTATCTGATAACTCAGGGACATTCAGGATCCCCAACGAGGGCCCAGTGTCCCACTTCCAAGGGAAATACCGCTGCTTTGCTTCTAATGCGCTGGGAATTGCTATGTCGGAAGAAATAGAGTTCATAGTTCCAAGTAAGTGTCACGTGGAGATTTCACTTGTCAGCCATTTTAGTGAAGCATTAAGAAGGAGTCATGCTGGGCTGTAATGAAATAAAGCATTATTAATTTGAACAGCACATGTATAGATCTTAAATTTTGTTTATAAAGGAAGTTCTTTTCCAGGTCTTGATCATTAAAATTGGATGACCTTAGAAGGCAATGCAGTATTGCTGTGTTTCAATACCTTATACCCAGCACATGAAAAGGGATGACAGCTTTGCTGTGTCTGATGAGAATCAGGTTAAGGACATCCCCAGTTGGTGTGGGTAGAAGAACTCATGGCTATCCCAGAATCTGTCAGGGCAATTAGCCCTGATAACGTGGTTTGCTGTGGGTCTGGCACCTGCTTTGTGGCTGAGCAGGTGGAGACGCTGTCCCTCTGGTTGTGTTGCAGGAAACAGCCACCTTGGAGACCGTGTGCGTGCAGCCACTTCTCACTCCCAGTGAGCAGTGACCCCTACTGCTGTTGTGGCAGACACAGCAAAGCAAGTTGCATGGCCCCTGCTGGCTTCCATAGCATTGGTTATATTTTTAATTAGAAGATGATTTGGACAATGTATTTGTGACCCCAAGGATCAAAGGTTTCTTATATAAGTCATATTGAAGCTACTAGATCAAAAAACTCAGGAACAAAATAAAAAAAACCCACAAATTCAGAAAAAAAATAGACTTAACATTGAAAATGTCATGCATTCATGAATAGTTTTACAGACATTCAGAAAAAAGTGACAAAGTGGCAAAATATGTAAACTTGAATGTCAGCCTGGAATGGCTGATACAAATGTGAAAATGTAATCAGAAGGAGAATAATGGTGGCCCGACAGTAAAGGCAGTTGCTCTTGCATCATTGAGAAATATTACAAACTCTGGGTCTAAGAATTTTAGTGAGAGTAGCAGTAGAGTGGGTCAAAGAGGCAGTGTATTCACACTCGGAGTGGAGCAGATCAGAGAGGTGGTGTATTCACAGAGAAAATGCCACTGGGCTGTGAAGAGATCCCAGCAGTATGTCAAGCAAGAAGGGAAATGGTTGAGAAATACATTAGTTCAAAATACATGAAAAGAAATAAAATATTGATTAAGAGCATTGCAATGTGGCACAGTTTTGAGGAGCAAACCAGGAAGTGATAAAAACAATATGCAAGGTTGACAGTTGAAAGGCTGGGACTAGACCCTGACCAATAAAACAAATGGTGATGCTCTTTTTATAAAACAACTGGGAGTAAAAGGGTTTTAGTTGGATTTCTTTATTTTTTGCATTGTTTATATTTATTTCATGGTCTTTTCATATAATCTAGATGAGTAATTCTGTAGCATAGTAGTTCCTCTGAAGTAGCCAAGGGCGGAGCCATGGTTCCGACTGAAGGAGGTCCCCACAAGACTGTAGTGTGTCCACAATGAAGTAGTGGTGGACAGAGCTGTGATGTGAACACAGAGCTTTGGGTTTGGGAAGTGTCCATGAGCTCTGGGTCAGGAAGGACTGCCACAGAAATTTTGGTTGAGACATGGAACTGTCTTGTGTGCACAGCTGACCTCCATGTCCACAGATTCCAATCTGCAGGCACAAACAGCTGTGGAGGGAAACTATTCAGAGGAAACATCGTGTCTGTACTGAACATATACAGACTAATTTTCATGTCATTATTCCCTAAGCAGTACAAATAACTGTTTACATAGCATTTGCTTTCTGTTAGGTATTATAAGTAGCCTAGAGACATTTAAAATGCATTAGAGGGTGTGCTCAGGTTCCATGCAAACACTATACCAGTTTATAAAAGGGACTTGAGCATCCATGGATTATGGTATTCCATGGGGGCTGTGGAACCGATTCCCCTCAGGTACAGAGGAGCAACTCTTGTTACGTGTGTCTATGTACAGTCAACTCAGTTAGTTAAGACTAGACATTTAAAATGAGATGGAGAGAGAGGGAGGCAGAGAGATTAAAAATCTGTGGTAGACAACAAAGCATCAGGGGATCCCTAACCTGAATTCTAGTGGTTGCTATGGAGACGCAGAGGAAAAAGCAGCAGCTAAACCTATTGCAGAAAAAGAAATGGCACAGTACAGTCTAAATTTCTGCAGTTGGAGGATTTCTTAAAATAGTCTCGTTTGTTGTCTAAGCAGACCAAGTTAAGACATGAAAAGTAATTTTTGGCAGAGTGTGCCAGCCTGGTAGGGAAGGGAAGGGGCGGGGTCTGTGCTCTGTTTGTCTGCTGCTGTGGGAAACGGCTCCATCTCCAGTCTCCTGAAATTACTTCAACATCTGATGGTTCCCTGTGTTGAACAGGAGCCCTTCCAATCCTTAAGAATCTATAAGTCAGAGACCACTTAAAGCTTCCCACAAGCTTTGACAATTAATGCTTCAAAGTTGTGTAGAGTTTATTCTGTTCTACTTTTATGTTGATAGAAACTTTGTGATTCGAGTTTTAGAGTTTCTGTCTTTCAATACCCTGTTGAAACTCCCTACAAAAAGAAATCTTCATGTACAATGTTTGGTTTTCCATTTTCAACAGCATTGCAGTTTACTTTCTGATAAATGAGTGGAAGACAAATAAAAATCAACCAAGCAATATGTACCATTTTCAAATATACGAAAAACCACTTAACTACATGGGTTTTCCATGGCATGCCATGGGGAGTTAGTCCCTGAATTACTCAACAAGTCTTTATGAAGCTCCCCTCACGTGACAGCCTCTTTCTAGTAATTTGGGATCTAACCATGAACAACTCAAAACTGTCCTCAAGAAACAGACTCCCTGTGGGTACGGGGGGTATGTCTGAGAGAATGGATCCTATCTTTCTGCCTTCGTTATCCAACTGTCAGTAGAGTTCAAATGATGATATAAATGTTCTACCATGTTATTTAATAATACCCACCCTCAGGGTACAGACCAGCTTTCTCCACTGAGCATTCTTTGTCCTTCGCAAACTGTGCTGATTTTTCCCTTCTCTGATCCTAAAAATAAATTTACTTATACTTTTTATTTATGAGATGGGGAGAGAGACCAAGACATATGGATCTCCCATATACTAGTTCACTCCTCAAATGACTGCCGTAGCTGAGACCGGGTCAGGAATGAAGCCAGGAACTAGAAACTCATTCCAGGTCTCCCAGATGGGTGGCAGGGCCGAATTACTTGAGTTGCCACCAGTGCCTCCCAGAGTCTACAGTAGCAGGAAGCTGGAACTGTGAATGGAACTGGGACTTGAACCCAGGCACTCCATTGTGGGATGCAGGCATCTTAGCTTATGGCTTGATTGCTTGGCCTAATTCTCATTCCTTCTTTCTAATTTTAAAAATAATGTGTCTGAGGTATCATTAAATTATGGAGAAATTTCCTACTTTAAATGTATAATCAGCATTTTTTGGTAGTTTTGGGTACTGTATCACCATAATTTGGCATTAGGACATTTCCATTACCCCCAAGATTCTCTGTGCCATTTGCAGTTCACACTTGTCCCACTCTCTCTGATCCATATTCTGCCTCTGATTTTGCTTTTGTAGAAAATGCCTGTAAAACAGTTCATGCAGACATTCATCCCGACACTGAATGAACATAGTTCATGTAATAATTCTTTTTCTCATGGCTTTGTCACTTGCATGTTTATGAGGTTAATGTCTGACCTAGCATCCATCAGTAGTTTGTCTTTATAATGTGGAGTATATTCCATTGGTGTGGATGTCATATTCTGTTTGTCCATTTATCACTTCATGGGCATTTGTATTATCTTTACTTTCTGGCTATTATAAATAGTGCTGCCCTTAATTCTCTGGAAGTGAAAGTATTGGCTTGTGTACTGTTTGGGAATCTAGTGATTGCCAAGTGTCCTGAGGGCCTGCCCTCCTCTGCCTCACCCAGCAGATGCTGCAAGACAGTGTTGCTGGTTGGCAGTGAGGACACGAGAGTCCACATGCTGTTCAAATAATTGGCCGAGTGGCAGGTGTAGGGGTTGATGCCCCTGATGTTTTAGTGTAAGCAGTTTCGTATTTTCCTCAGATTTCCTGAGACAAGCCCTGGTTTTCTACCATCTGGCTTAGTAGATGTGAAAACAAAACAAAACAAAAAAACCTGGTTTGGCAAGCATGTGCTGAGTTCTACTAATGTGTGTAAACCAACCAAATAAGATTAACTGGATTTTAAAGGTTTAATTGAGGTAGAGGACTGGCACTTGTTCACCAGAGCATGTGGATGCCTGGAATAAAATGGGCAGAGCTGAGTGTCCGTCCTCAGTGTGAGTGCATTGCAAACTCCTGGACGGAAAGGCAGTGTTATTTCTTGGTAGTCCTGAGTGGATTGATGGGATGCTCTACAGGGAATGGGAACCATTCAGTTTCTTTACAGATGGGAACTGTTGTGAGGGACAGTGGACATTCGTGGTCGTGGGACAGACTCTGAGCAGTGTGCCAAGCACATTCGAGTGAAATGCAGCACACTCAGAAGCTCAGCAGTCCAGGCCAGTAGTCACAGTGAGAGTCCACGTGCACAAGTGTCCTTGGCATAGGAGATTGGCCCCAGGGAGGGACGGAGGAAATAATTCAGTGAGGAGGTCGCAGGTTCCACATGAAGCATGTCTTCCCATCTGCCTTCCCTACCTCCTTGGTAAAACTTAATTCAGATATTTAGATAAATCACCAAGGTGCTAGGATGTAGGCTACGGAAGAGTTAACAGGAGCAGCGGCAGCAGCAGCAGCAGCAGAGAGGTCTTTGTTGCCCTCCCCATTTTGTGTCTCACCTATAGTTGGGTGTAAGTCGGAGTCGAACTTTGGAATAGCAGCCAGCGTGAACTGAGAGCTTCTTTAGTGTGGGTACTGTTTTAATAAGTTCACATGAAATCCTGTATTTAAACTTTGACATGAGCAAATGACTTAGATGTCCTTAGGTTTTCATCTTATGAGCAAGGAAACCGCAGCTTGTTAAGTAGGAAGGTCACATTGAAGGAAACTTATGGACAAGAAAACAGAATCTTGTTAAGAAGCTCCTTAAGTAGCAGGGTCACTTTGTAAGAAACTGAGCCTGGACCCTGTGACAAGCAGCACACTCTGTCTTGAGCTTGCATATCTAACTCTCTGCTGCACAGGTTGTCTACCCTCGGGTCACCTGGGTGACACTTTGTATAGGTGAACTCAGAGGCATTGTGCTTCTTGTTGGAAACATCTTGGTACAGTGGCAAATGGGAATTGCAGAGATGGGAGAGACGGGGAAACCCCTGAAGCTGTTCCCTCAGTGCTGGGGCAGACAGCAGCGCCATGTGCCTTGGTAGTCCGTAGGTGCCAGTGCCGTTCTCATCCAAGTGGTTGCTGAGCGTAAGTTGTGTTGGGTTAAATCGCCCTAATGCATTTTGTTGACACTTTTACTACGTAAGCATTGTGGGATCGTATAGCTTCAGTTTTGTAATACGCCTGGTGTTAAGAGCCCCTTTCCTCGGGAGGCTGCTGAGGATCCCAGAGAGATGGGTGAGCAGATGCTCGCAAGTAGGAATGTGGGTGGGCTCGGAAGGACAGGAGCCCTTCAGACACTGCACAATGGTACCGCGAATGCTGGGGCTGGAACCCCGTTATCCCACAGGGTGTCCTTTATACGGAATCTTTTTCTTGGAATCTCTACTTCAGGTATGGATATGCTTTCTCTGTGTCTTAGGTTGAAAGAATTGAGGTGGGTTTGCAGAACTGACAGCCTCTGAGCTGTGGGGCTCCTGCCAGTCTCTCATTTTGCAGGTTTGCTTTGTCTGAGCACTCTGCTAACAAGGCCTATCTGCAGCTAAAGTGTCACTAGGAAAGATTTTTCCATGCAGGACTCTTAGCTGGAACTTTTTAAAGAACCCAACACGTGGCTACTAGAAATTTGTCTCCTCTACTGAATGGTGAACGTGAGATGCTGTTGGATAACAGTAGTGAGGGAAGCATGAGGTCTTGATTAGCCGATGTGGGTAGACTGACAGTTGCTTTATAGATAAAGGGAGTGGATCTCTTTTCGGCTTCCTCGCGATGGCAATTCCTAACATTCTTCAAGTTCTGCCTAGGCAGATGATGATCCTTTGCCAAGGGTCTCTCAGGATTGATCCCCATCTGCTGAATCACAGCTAAATGACTTTTTTTCTGGTGTTGATGGAGTTCCCATTTTTAAATATGCTGGCAAGTGGTTGTCTCTCTCTGTCACACACACACACACACACACACACACACACACACTGATTGTTTACAATTCACTTTTACAAGTAGTGTGTCAGTTCAAGCTAAACCATGGTAAAGTTTATCATAAAGGAAACATTATTAGTAAAAGTCACTGTTTGGAAATACTTTTATTTTTATCCTTATATATTTTTAAAATAATTTCATTTGCTAATTTGGGAGGAAGATGGACAGAAAGATCCACTGGTTCACACTCCAGTTGTCCACAATGGCTGGGGTGGAGACAGGAGCTGGGGATTCCACCCGGATCTCCCACCTGGATGGCAGAAGCCCATTCACTGCTGCTTCCCAAGGTCTGCATCATCAGGAATCTGGAGTCAGGATCTGAAGCCAGAATCAAACACAGGCACTCCAATGTAGACACAGGTGTCCTAACTGGTGTCTTAACTGCCACGCCAAAAACTGGAGTTTCGAAATGGAATACTTTCTTTATTCGAATTGAAGTAGACTTCAGGTTTACTGTTGCATTACAATAATTAAATTTCACATCTATCCAATAATGTGAAAGTATTTACTTTCTAGTATGGGCATTAGATTCATAAAATAATTTTACAGTCAAAGAACAAAAGGTTTTGAGAAGCTTAACAGTTAGTTTCCTTTACAATAGCTCATCCGAGAACGTAAGTTACACTCGAATTTAGTATGTGTGCTGCTGAAGCAAGCACGAGCACCTAAGTTAATAAATACATGAAGATTTCCTTTTCCCAATATTCATTTAATCTTTAATTCAAACCTGTTCTAAAGATTCATGGCATGTGATGAAGATTTTGGTAGGCTTATAAATATTATTTGATTTTGTTGATGTCCTGGAAGCCAGTTGCATTACATATTTGTACATTCAGCATTAGAACTTTATATAACCTAGATCTGATGAATGAAGGGACAGCAGCGATTCACTGGAAGGTCTGTCTGTTTAAACCATCAAGTTTTCCAAAGTGCCTGAGGGAGAGCTCTCCAGTCGGGATCTGTACATCTCATTGAGTGTCTGCTTTCTGTAGACATTGAGCCATGCACCTGGCATTCTCATCAGGTGCTGTGGAGTCCACTTGCTGTGAAAAGGGGCACACGTTCCTTTCATTTTCTTGTCCATTCCCTTCTGCTGCCCCTTGGATCTGAGCATGAGATTCAGCAGTACCCAACACACTCCTGATTTCTTTGGTGCAGTTAGAGCAGCAAGCGCCAGACAGATGATTTGAGTCTGAGCTTTAAGTGCACTGTTCCTGTAAGTTGCTTTACCTTATTGGAAAAGACGGACAAGACGTCTGCAAAATGACTCGCATCAGATTTGCCCTTTGTCAAAGCCAAGTCTTCACCAGATGGGGTGTGATGTTTCATCCACAGGATCTTTCTTTATGCTGCGAAGGTGACAGACATATTTCCTGTCTTTGGGATGGGAATTTCATGCTACCTACAACTGAAAGCTGACTGTTATTCCAAATGTTCCCAGAGTTTGCAGGAGAACTCTGGTAGGACGTGGGCCGGGAGGGCCAGAACCATGATGTGGCAGGTGTGCAAGGAGAAGGGAGCTGGCCGTGGGAGCTGGGAAGGCCCTGTGCAACCACACTGCCTCTGCAGGGCCACGCCTCGAGTTTAGACAAAATCAATGCATGGTAACCAGCTGGTGCATGGATATGACAAATACCAGCAACTTCCCTCAGTGGCTGAGACTTGGGGTTAGGGGTCGAAGGCCATAGGACAAATGCAGGAAGCACACAAAAAACTTCTCAAAGAGAAATTTCCCAGTAAATGAATACGTGTTTAGGCTCCACAGAGTAACAGTGATCTGCTGGGCACTGCAGCTCAGAAGTGGAGCACCCCCAAGCAATTCCTTCCGGTCAGGCCAGTCAGAAGCGCCCTCTCATGGGCTCTCCTCTGTTAGAGTCTGTGGAACCCCTCAGGCAAACCCCCAACAAAGCTGAAAGTCACCAGTTCAGGCAAAGTGTATTTTGAGTATTATTAGAAATAGAGATACTTTTATAAAAATTCTGTAATTGTGTTGGATTTCAAATCCTGTGTTCTCACTTAGAGCCCCATGGTGACTCATTGCTCTTTAGGAAATGGACTGTGGGATGGGGCGGAAGCAGCGGACTGAACATTGGAGCCTCGTTTCCTGCATCAATTCCACTCCATCCAGAGTTTCATTTCCTGGGAGTGATTCCAATTTGGATGGCTCGGCTTGCATTTAAAGTGGGCGTATTTGGCTTTTCATTGTGTTCTGCCGCTTTCCCCCTGTAGGCTTTGAATTTTTTATTTAGTGTGGATAATGCTCTGAATGAAATATTTGCCAGCCATGTGCGAGGCCTTCACAGTAAAGCAGGAAATAGAGAGTGCTTAACTGCCTAAAAAGAAATCACCGTGTTTGGAGAAAAGACTTCTCATCAAAGCTGAAACGAGTGAGTCTCGTGACTCAGGGTTTACAACTCAGAGAAGGAGGCACGAGTATATTGTTGTCACCAAGGGAAACTATTTCTTGTCTAGGATTTCAAAATGTATTTTTTAAGTTGTGGAAAGGTACACAGATCTTTAACAGTTCACCTCTCTAGGCAGATGTGAGATCTAGGAATTGGATGGTTGGATTTATTTAAACTGTTCAGTTTTAAGGTGAAGAGTGTTTTCAGATGTGACCTGTGACATTAAAGGTTAATTTTAATGGCTTTTTCTGCCAGGTGTTCCCAAATTCCCAAAAGAAAAGATTGCTCCTCTGGAAGTGGAGGAGGGAGACCCGACTGTCCTGCCCTGCAACCCCCCCAAAGGCCTCCCACCCTTGCACATTTACTGGATGAACATCGGTGAGTGACGCTCCGTCTGCCGTTGGGAGGGCACCTTGATTTCATGCACCTTGTAAGTAATGTGATGAAGCCAGAGATGAGCTAGTCATGTAGTGGCTCCTCCATATCCACGGGGGCCTGGCAGCCCCTCCCCCAGGAAAGCAAATCCGCAGATGCTCTAGTGCCTTGTATTAGCTGACAGAGCATTTGCATGTGACTCCGGTATCTTTCGGCACCTCTATCATCACCACCTCACTCATAACACCTAACAAAATGCAAATGCTACATGAGTGGTTGTTCTCGTCTGCACCACTCAGTGCAGACACAGACCTTTGCTTGTGTGAGTCTTGTTTGCTCCCGCTGGTTGACTGCAAGTGCAGGACCTGTGGAGGCAGAGACGCATCAGGTAGCCAGCATTGAAGACTCGATCCGTGGAGAGCCCCTCACTAGTCCTAGGTACACATACTCACATGTGCACGTGATGACACCCGGGAACCAGTACAAACGCTGCTCATCTGTCCCTGGCTTGACAGAGGAGAGGCCGATAATGAAACGCAGTCGTCTGTGAAGCAGTTCTGCATCTCACACAACCTCCTTGCCTTTGGGATGCAGCCTGCCTGTGTTTGTGTTGCCAACTTAATGCTTCCTTTGTTGTAAAGCTCTTCCTACCCAGCACAGGGACCACAAAACGCAGAATTAACTTTGATCTTAATTTTCTGAAAAGCTTTGCTGACATTGGGCCTGAAATTCCAGCTTCGTGTGAAGCCCACTTCTAGCATAAGCCTTGGCCGTGCTCCCTGAATGTTCCCTCACCGTGGCCCACAAAGAAAAATGGGACTCACGTAGCTCACAGAAGCATGCCAGCAAGGCTGCTGTCTGCGTTCGCCAAAGTCCCAGACTCCACACAGCCTAGAATCTGCCAGCCTTCATCCCGGACAGAGGGACAAATACCACAGACACAACTTTTAGGGACCTGTTTATAGAGGTACAATTTGGAGACAGTAAAATGATAGCTGGGTTTTATCTGAGCCATCCACTTTTCAGTTAAGCCCATGAAGCCCTGTGAGCCAAGCAGGAGACTGATGGTGAGGGGAGGGCACAGGCTGCCTCTCGCTACAGGGGTTTCTGTGTGCTCCCAGCATGTGTGTGACTTTTTGCTCACACATTCTTCCTATAGGAAGACCAGACCTGAGAGGAACAGGACGGACAGAGAAAAATAAAATGAAATAATATAAAAAAGAGCAGAAAGAAAGGGAAAGATTAGGCACAGTCGTGGAGACAGGCCCTTTCAATGATAAGATCCTTGTTTCCAGAACTGGAACACATTGAACAGGACGAGAGGGTGTACATGAGCCAGAAGGGAGACCTGTACTTTGCCAACGTGGAAGAGAAGGACAGCCGGAATGACTACTGCTGCTTTGCTGCCTTTCCCAGGCTGAGGACCATCGTACAGAAAATGCCCATGAAACTGACAGTCAGCAGCTGTAAGTGCACACCCCCCACACATGAATGCCGTGTGCAGGCGTGTCTGCCGTTTCATGACAGTCAGCAGCTGTAAGTGCACACCCCCGCACCATGAATGCCGCGTGCAGGCGTGTCTGCCATTTCATGACAGTCAGCAGCTGTAAGAGCACACCCCCCGCACATGAATGCCGTGTGCAGGCGTGTCTGCCGTTTCATGACAGTCAGCAGCTGTAAGTGCACACCCCCGCACCATGAATGCCGCGTGCAGGCGTGTCTGCCGTTTCATGACAGTCAGCAGCTGTAAGAGCACACCCCCCGCACATGAATGCCGTGTGCAGGCGTGTCTGCCGTTTCATGACAGTCAGCAGCTGTAAGTGCACACCCCCGCACCATGAATGCCGCGTGCAGGCGTGTCTGCCGTTTCATGCTGGCTGCGCCCTGTGAAGCTGGGTGGGTATTTTGTTGTTCAGTGTGACTTCACACAGATGACAGGGCAGCCGTGGTGCAGCTCCACGGTGGCCCTGCCTCTCACAGCTGGAAGTCAGTTTCAGTTCACCGTGCGAGTGGTTCCATCATGTCTGCAGGATCTGGTATTCTCAGTATACACAGTGCAGTTCCAGGGCTTTCTACCAAGTCTTGGCCATTAAATCACTGGATTGATCTTGGGAAAACCAGTAGGCTTTCCCAAACTGGCAAAGTTATTTGAATTGCCCACTTACCTGGTTGATTCCAGGGATGCTGGTGAGAAAGTCACTGGTAGCAGGAAGAACCCTTGGGCTCACAGGGAGGAGAGAGACCTGGCCTTGGTGACTGGGTGGTGGTGCTGGTGCCCTGTGTAGCTGGGAGTTGGTGTCACCATTTCACTCTGATGGAGCACGGTCCGCCTTGTACACTTGGTGCCAGGGCTTCACTGGAGTACCCTGTATGTCTGAGGCAATGTACTAGTGAAACATGGTCTGCTTCATTTTGTAGTTGTTCTAAGAGACAGATGTAACTTTTCATTCATTATTGATATCAGCATCTACCATCATGTTTGTGGTTTTTTCTTCCATTTTTTTTATTTCAGTAAAGCATGCTAATGACTCAAGTTTATCCACAGAAATTGGCTCCAAGGGTAAGTTGGGGGTGTGTGGAGTGTGGGTGTTTATTTTCACCCTACGTAGCTCACTGTCATCTCAGAATGTGGCTTTTTCCTTTAATACCTTTGAAAGTTCACTCAAACACTAATATTCCTGTTAGGGAAAACCCCTTAGCATAGAGAGTTCTGCTGCTTTCCTTTCCTCTTGGTTGTATACAAAGGGAGAGGTCTTTATAAATGCATAACTAATTATGTATAATGATATATGTGACACATTTAACATACATTTAGAAGCAGAGGTAGACACAGGCATGGGAGTAGATGTAGATGGGGGGGAGTGGGTGCAGCTGTAGCTGTAGATATAGGTGTAGATATTGTTGTAAATGTAAGTAGAGATGTAGATGTAGGAGTAGATGATGTACATATAGGAGTAGAGTAGGTGTTTAATGGAGTCTTCACTTTGGGTCTTCCAGGTGTCTCACGGGACATAAGGTTGAGAGCTTTATATGTAGAAAGCGAAAATGAAACGGTTAAGTGTCAAGAGAAACAGGATGGGGCGAAGAAAGTTAAATGAGTATTTTTCTTGCACGACTTCTTAGAGTACTTAATATGTGGCTATAAACTGTTACTCTGAGAACGGATAAGCTTTACAGCGGTTCTCAAACTCGATGACTGTGGAGCATTTTAATTTTTTTCCACGTAGGATCAGAACTTGTGTTCTGTGAAAGGTGCCCGGGTAAACCTGAAGTACGTAGTAAGCTAGTTTTCGACGAGCAGGATCGCTTACATGAGTGCAACAAATGTTATTCCCACAATGGGGACCAGCAGCTCCAGCAGGGTGTCTCATACCCTGGTGACATTGCAGGGTGGCAGAGTGGGGCTCCATGTGCAGTGCCTTCACTTGTGAGGTGGACTCATTCATCGCTAACATCATTCTTTCTTGAGATCTGTGACTCAGACATGTATATTACTGTGTCTTCATAGTGCTCAGTAAGAATCACTGCACACAGTCACCACATGTAGCACATGTTCAGTAGTTCTTTTTAATTTTTTAAAAGAATTTATTCATTTATTTGAGAAGTAGAATTACAGGCAGAGAGGGAGAGACACAGAGAAAGGTCTTCCATCTGCTGGTTCATTCCCCAAATCACCGGAACAGCTAGAGCTGGGCTGACCCGAAGCCAGGAGGCAGGAGCTTCTTCCAGGTCTCACATGTGGATGCAGGGGCTCGAGCGCTTGGGCCATAGCAGAGAGCTGGATTGGAAGAGGAGCAGCCAGGACAGGGACTGGTGCCCATATAGCATGCTGGCACACAAGCAGAGGCTTAGCCTACTGCGCTACAGCATGGGCCCCCAGTAATTATTTTTCAGTAAATACTCACATGTAAGGAAGTTCACAGCAAGGAGAGCATCCCTGTCTCCCGATGGCAGAGTGTGAGCTGCTCGCCTCTTTCCATATCATGTCAGTCACATTGGCATTGGATGGGAAAAGCTCTTTATATTAATGTTTAGAAGTAAGCATTTTCAGTGAGTTTGCCCTGGTATTTGGAGAGTATTCTTAAGAAAATAAGGGACGGGAAGCATCAGTCTGCAGGCAGTGAGGATGGCTGCTTTGCAGAGGAGTGTTTCTCCTCCCTGTGGCTGTGAATGGTGTTGCCTGGAGAGCCTGACAGGTTGCACCTGCACCAAGTGACCACCTAGAGTCCACCACAGTCATCCTCAGTCAGGTTTTCTGTGAGCAGGGCTTTGAAAACTGGGATTTCAACAGGAAGCTCATCAAAATGTGTAGGTTCATTACATTGAAGAGAAAAAGCCATCAGACAAGGGATGGTGTAGAATGTAAAATTATAGCCTATCACTAACAAGTCTATCTCGAATGCTGTTTGAAGTCCTGAATGAGAAGAGGGGTGTAAATCACAGCTGTCGTGAACCGCGGTGCTACCCTTAGCTGATGCACTTGAGGACAGCCCATGCTTCCCAGCCAGAGGGGGGAGTCTCTCTAGAAACATGTTGAAATGTGCATGTATTCATCTGTGTGTATCCACACACACAGATGCACACGTTTCAGGGGGTATGTAGGCTTCCAGAATTTTAACTATCATGGTTTGCAAACATCTGAATTTTCTATTTTGTAGCAAACTCAATCAAGCAAAGAAAGCCCAGGTTGCTGCTGCCCCCTGCGGAAGAGGGCGCTGAGTCTCCCGTCATTGTGCTCAAAGGGGACACCCTGCTGCTCGAGTGTTTTGCGGAAGGCCTGTGAGTAGCCTGATGTCTGCGCACACTTGTCCACACAGTGTTGCGCACAGTAAGATGTCCACTAAGAGTGCACTTGCATATACATTCTTAGCTTCTTGTTTCACATGAGCGGTGTGACTGTATTCCTGGAGGAAGTAGTCTGTGTTCCACTCTACAGACTTCAGCCTGTGAGTGAGAGTCTCCAGCACTTAGGTCTGTCGATTTAGAGTCTTGCAGGTGGCAGGCACAAGGGCAGCATGGTGCTCAGCGAAGGCAGAGGTCCAGCTGACGTGATGCAGGCAGTGCAGGGGGTCGGCAGCCTGGGCCGGGTCTTCTCTCTGCTCCATGGCCCTGCCCCACTGCTGCTTGTTGTATGCTGGCTCTGCTCCCTTTCCATGTTCCAGGGAGCCCTGTTTGTCCATATTTTCCATGCTGTCCTTTGCACACAAGAAAGGACAAACCGTGGAGTTTCATGTAAACGTCTCGTTAACTGAACTTCCAACATCCTTTCCCAAAGCTTCCCCAAATGCCCTAAGGCTCCCACTTTGTACATTTCCCCACCGTCACTTCTGCTGAGTGACTGCTGGGAGCCCATATGAGCAGGGGCTGGCCCAGGAGAGCACCTGCTCTCAGCTCTGACCTCCTGGTCCCGCCCTGCCATTGGGAAGGGCATAGCACATTGCAGTCTGTCTTCCTGTACCTGGTGTGCTCATTTGAACCACAGCTTTTGTGCAAGCTGCGGACCTTGGGGAGTCTGTTTAATACACTAGGATTCAAAATTTAACAGTCATATTTCTTCATAATTTGCTGTGTATTGTGAAGACTGGTTTAAAAAGTCGGAGTATGCAGAGAAGGAGCTGATTTGAATGGTTTTACAGTCCTATACTTTGTCAGTTCCTCTCCAGCGTCAGTGTCCAGGCTTCTCATCTATGTGAAATCATCAGTGTGTTTTGATGTCAGTTGGTTCGATGTTCTGTGACATGGCCTCAGGTCAGGAGGTTTCGTCTCTGTATCATTTCAGATCAACATCTGACCAGTCAGTGTGCATCATGACAGTAACAACCTGCCCTGCTGGCCATGTTGTATTTGTTTAAGGTCAAACCCTTTCTAAGTTGACTCTTGGGCAGGCAAACCTTTCAGTAATTCTTCCTTATTTCCCACAAATGACATCACTTACCTCTTAAGATGGAAATCATGTAAATCATTGTCAAGATTATATAACTGCTCTCATGTACTTGTTAGATGAGTTGGCCACAAAGCCCTTGTTTAAAAGAAAATGGAGGCTGGCGCCGCGGCTCGCTAGGCTAATCCTCCACCTTGCGGCGCTGGCACACCGGGTTCTAGTCCTGGTCGGGGCGCCAGATTCTGTCCTGGTTGCCCCTATTCCAGGCCAGCTCTCTGCTGTGGCCAGGGAGTGCAGTGGAGGATGGCCCATGTGCTTGGGCCCTGCACCCCATGGGAGACCAGGATAAGTACCTGGCTCCTGCCATCGGATCAGCATGGTGCGCCGGCCGCGGCAGCCATTGGAGGGTGAACCAACGGCAAAAAAGGAAGACCTTTCTCTCTGTCTCTCTCTCTCTCTCTCTCTCTCACTCTCTCACTCTCTCACTGTCCACTCTGCCTGTCAAAAAAAGAAAAAGAAAAGAAAAGAAAATGGAGGGGTCAGCATTGTGCCTAGCGGGTAAAATCATCTAATGCTAGCATCCCATATGGGTGTTGGTTTGTGTCCTGGATCCTCCACTTCTGATCCAGCTCCCTGATAATGGCCTAGGCAAGAGACGGCCTGGGTGAGTGGGACCCTGCCACCCATTTGGGAGACCTGGATGAAGCTCCTGGCTCCTGGCTTAGGCCTGGCCCAGCCCTGGCCATTGCAGCTATCAGCGGAGTACACCAGTGGATGGAAGATGTCTGTGTCTCTCTCTTTCTCTCTGAACTCTAACTTTCATGTAAATAAATCTTAAAAAAAAAAGAAAATGGACATATAAGCATGGGCTGTCCTTGGTGCATGAAGAATCCTGACACATGCTCATGGTTTTTGCCCGCAGTGGTTTCTTCGTAGTCACCCTGGGCTTGTGCCGGACATCATGTCCCTCTGATCCCCTCTTGGTGGAAGGTGAGCCATCAGGAAGCACCTTGTAGAAGTTCTTCCATATGTGTCCGCAGAAGTGGTTAAACTGTGAACTGTGAACTGTAAACTATGCAGGACCAAAGTGAAGACGTCAAACCCTTATTCTGCATCAAGCACCATGACTGGCATTGCCCGTGCACTGACTGCTTCCATCCTCTTCAGAGCGTGGGATGTGAATCCCCCTCAGAGAGAAGGGAAAGCTGGGGAAAGGAGGCTCAGGGAGCCCCTGGGAGGAGCAGAGCTGAGATCCATCCTGGCTGTCCCAGAAACTGAGCCACGAGGTAACGTCAGCATCCTGAGCTAGCTAAACCTATGTTTTGGTTCAGTTATAGGATCGCTTCTTGGCCTTTTGGCTAAGATCAGGTGTGGTCCAGTTACGGGAAAGGAGAAAGAACTAAAGAACGTCGTTGTCCCTAACCTGAGCAAGTTGCCCCTCCTTGGAAGCGTGAAAATGTTGATGATCTTTAAAACAGAAACTTGTAGAAGCACCCCCAAGCTGAGGGGCTTAAATTCTGTGGATTCTGTGATGGTAGATAAAGCTTTAACTCCTTTCCCGGGACAAGGCTTTCCCTCAGAGGAAATAGTCTGTGGCATCCGATTCCTATTACTGTGACAAACTGCCTGAAGCTGTGAGCTTTAGGGAGAACACAGCTTGTTTGGCTCTTAGTTCTGGATTTCTAGAGCCTGGCACCAACATTATCCTAGCCACAGTGAGGGCCCACCAGCAGTCAGTGTCACAGGGCAGGAGCAGGGGAGAGATCACACCAAGAGGACAAGAAGCCAGGGAGCAGGGAGGGCCAGGATTGCTGTCTACTAACAGTCTCCTCTCCTGGGAACTGTGTCAGTGCCACTCAGAAACAACCCTCACCCCGCCTGAAGGCAGGGATCCCGGTGACAGAGGACCTCCCATTGCCCCTACCACCAGCTCCCTGTGGCTACAGCAGGTCCTGAGCAGGGCCCTTGGGACACAGACCACACAAACCACCACGACCCATGTTCTGGCCATGATTCACACTCGTCACTTTGAATGGGAACCACTCACCTGCTCACATAGCTTTCTTCCTGTTCTGTGAATCTGTGGTGTAGGCTGGGTAGGATTCTATTGTAAGATGCTGTGTTATCAGTAAAAACTTGAGAATAAAAGTCAAGGCTGGCATTGCGGTGCTGTGGGCTAAGCCAGGACCAGCACCGCCTCACTGCTTCACTCTTCTCCATCTGTCGAAGGATCTTTGCCAGAGTTCAGGCTGCCCTGGACCTCAGCCCTTGCCAGGACAGGGGCTCCCTGGGAGTCCACACTCAATGCAAGCTGCTCGCTTTCTGTCCTGAAGCCCCTTTCATGTGCAAGAACAAAATAAAGTGATTGCCACGAGCACCGGGGAACACGGGGCAAATGTCCAGGACGGGTGGATGCACTGCCAGAGTTGCCAGCTGTATTCTGCCACTTGTGTCCTTTCCTGTTTATCTTTTTAAACTTGCTTATCCTTATTTTAACTTCAATAGCACTCGAGCAAAGATGTGTTGAGGGAAAAAAATGCTGCATATTACACTTTTGAACATAAACATACAGTGTTTCATAATCTTAAGTTTTTGTTCAGGTCCTCATCTGGCCAGCTTTTATTCTTTTTCAGGAAGATTTATTCATTTGAAAAGGAGCGAGAGAGCAAGAGAGCACACACTTCCATCTGGTGGTTCACTCCCCAGATGACTACGATAGATGGGACTGAGCAGGCTGAACTAGGAGCCTGGAAATCCATCTAGGCCTTCTAAATGGGCGGGAGGGACCCCGCTGCTTTCCCAGACGCATTAGCATGGAGCTAAATCAGATGTGGAGCAGCCGGGCATTGAACAAGTGCTCCCATGTGGGGTGACATCAGAGGCTCTTGCTGTGAAAGACTTGCTCTCCCAAGGCTCCCTGGTGGAATGTGGGTCTATTGGGCAGGTGTTGGGTGTTGATCCCAAGGGCACTCTGGAAGAGTGTGTCCCGACGGCTTCTCTGTATTTTATGTTCCACTATTTGTTTTTTTACAGACCAACTCCACAGATCGAGTGGAACAAAATGGGTGGTGATTTACCCAAGGGGAGAGAAACAAAAGAAAACTATGGCAAGACCTTGAAGATCGATGACGTCTCCTACCGGGACAGAGGAAACTACCGCTGCACAGCCAGCAACGCCCTGGGGACAGCCAGTCACAACTTCCATGTGGTGGTGGAAGGTGCGTTCCCCTGGCCGCGCTTTCTTTCTGCTTTTCATGAAAGTGAGCTCAGACGTGAGGTGGGCTTTGCCTGTAAAGTGCATGTGTACAGGCAGTTCCAGCTTTCTGCTGAGGCCTCGTACACACACACTGCTCAGGTCATTGCCCACTCCCACAGCACACAGATGGAGCCGTGGCAAGAGCAGATCTAGTCAGGGACCACACGGGTGCCGTCTGTGATTTGTTCAGCCATCCGTCCTGGCCTCTTGTGTCAGAGAGTGTGAGAAATTACCTTCAGTGCAGTGCACCTGTGATGTGCATGAGAGCCGATCCTGAGGGAGAAGTGGTGGCCGCAGTGGAACAGAGTTCAGTCAGTGCTCCAGGCTCCACGTCTGTGGATTCAACCAGCCTCAGGGGGAAATACTTGGAAAAGAATTGCACCCTTACTGAACAAGTCTGTCTTTTTCCTGGTCATCTCCCTAAATAGTGCGATGTAACAACTCTTAACATTGCATTGATATTGCTTTCATTATCATAAGTGAACTAAGATTGTGTACAGTCTCGGGGAGGATGTGTGTAGGTTCCATGTAAAAACTACACCACTTGTAACAGAGACTTGAGCACCTGCAGTGTTTGGTATCCCCAGGGGTCCTGGAATCCATTCCCTATGGATACTTGGGTGACTGTTAAAACAGGTCTGGAAGAAAACGTGGATTTTTGAAGAAACCCAGTCATTCGCTTGGCATGTCCGTGGTCATTGTGTTGCACACTGCACCAAAGAAGTGAGGGTCAGTGCTGTCTTAGCTCTTTCTTAGATGGGATTGTTTTTTTTTTTTTTTTTTCCTGTATCTTGGGTTTTGATGATGTTCACTGTGGTGCTTATGGGGAAAGAAAGACAGACTATGTGCTGTAAATGTTAATTCCCTGGCAAACTGTTCAAAAACACATTATATTAATTTTCTCTGTAAATCCAAGCTTCTTGACCAATTGAGGTTTTACTGTTTGTTGTACTTTGGAAATCAGCAGACAAGGATGACATTGTTTTAAAAGGAGTCAGCCACAGAATGCAGATGCTGGGGTCTAGGCAGCAGTGAGAGTCTGTGTGCTCTTGGGAATTCAGTTGATGCCAGACCACGCTGGGGCCCTCTGTCTGTGGTTTCGTGACTCCATCGATTAAGTTAATTGGAAGATTGCTGCATTTGTACTTATTAGTGTGGTACGTGCTTAACTATTGAAGGAACTGTCTCTTCCAAGCTGACATTTAGTGACTAGTGCTCCAGGGTTCCCGTCAGTATTCTGAAAAGGTTCACCACTTAAAGCTTCGATTTGCGCAAGTTGTCTTCATTAATGGGGTAAAAAAAGATTCAGATGCAAATTCCACACACAAGTAAATGTTAAGATGATTGGTTTACATACATATTGTGGAGTGGCCTCTCCACAATATGTATTCGTAGTTTAGGATAGGAAGAACAGAAAAGCAAAGACCAGAATTTAATTTTCTTTGGTTCAACAAAGTTCTATTTAGGAGAAAGTCCACCATTGTGCATTAGTATCAACATCTGTCAGCAGTGAACACATCAAGACATTCAGGGAGGAAGAATTTAATGACTTATGTATTCTTAGTCATTGTTCTGTGCTTCTATCTAATGTGGCAACGTCTGTACCCCTCGCCCCTCCTGCAAATACACCCACCAACCAGACATGTCTGACTGTTAGCTGCTCCTGCTCCAAGATGCTGACTGTTAGAGATTCTTCCAGATGGCTGCAACGTGCTACGGTAGCTGAATATTTTAACAGTCTGGCCACAGTTTTCTTGATTCTAAGAATGAAGCTTTAAAAAGAATTGCAAGGGTGGCAAAAAAAAAAAAATCAAAGATGTAAAATTAATTATGTAGTTTAAAATTTTGACCCTAGGCTCCCAAAGGAATATAGGTTTTCTGAATACATTGTTTTCACTATTCACAATGCAGCTATTAGCTCTATTGAGATGTAAATGATACTCCTTGAAGAACATAAATGTTTGGTGTTTCTCTTTGCGTGTGTATGTGAAGAGCAAATTGGGCTTAAGAAGTCTTCTTTTCCTAAGCTGTGAAAGCTGTAAAACCAGTAGCTGTGGCTTCTCTCTCATCCAGTGATCAGTTAACTTTTACTAGATTTTCCTCTGTCTTCCTGGATCCTGGACTCTCTCTTTCTGTCTCCTGTTAAGAAAGCCAAATTAAACAACAATTAGCCATATGGAAGAATACAATGCTATTGTGCACTTTGAAAATCCAGTGCATTCTGAAAACATGCTTTGTGCTTAAGTAAAGGCATAGATTATATGGTATTCTGTGTGTGATGTTTCTTCCTTACTTTTTTTTAAAGATGTATTTGTTTTACTTTTATCTGCTGGTTCACTCTCCAGATGGCCGCAACGGCCAGAGCTGCGCCAATCCGAAGCCAGGAGCCAGGAGCTTCTTCCAGGTCTCCCATGTGGGTGCAGGGGTCCAAGGACTTGGGCCATCCTCCACTGCTTTCCCAGGCCATAGAAGAGAGCTGGATGGGAAGTGGAGCAGCTGGGTCTCCAACCGGCGCCCATATGGGATGCCGGCACTGCAAGCAGTGGCTTTACCCAGGATGCCACAGCACTGGCCCCTCTTTCTTATTATTAAACTCAAATTCTTTGAATTTTTAACTAAAGCTACAACATCCTAAAGATGAAATCAAAGTACATTTTAAAGCTTGTGATACACATAGGCAGCAGCAGTCAGAATGTCCTGAGTTGGCACAAACCCACCCCCAGGTATCTCAGGTAACAAAGACTGCACATTCTAAATAAGGCCGTGTCAGGGTGGCAGCTGAAACATTACAAACTCAGAAATCAAAATGTGATCACACTCACGTTTCAGCTGATTACCTATCAGTTCCCACCATTTTTCGTGTTACCAGCTCTTGATTCATTCAAGGCTTTTGAATTTTAGTAAATGTAAATATTTATTTGTGATTATGTATCCCTAATCTAATCCAAATGTTTGTTTTTGAAGGTTGTCATGAATTCAACTGCAGTTCAATCATTTAGTCTTCAGAAACTTCATTTCAAAAAACAGTTCTATTTCTAAAAAGCTGCAGCGAGATCTAACTTTTGATCTCTTCATATATGGACACTTAATAGGAACAAGTGATACAGTAGCTTCACTAAGGAGGTACTGCCTTGCACATATTGTAGGCACTCTGTTTGCTCTATCTCAGTTTTCTCCAGGGATGAGCCTCTTTAATTAGCTGCTTTTTTTTTTAAAGATTTATTTATTTACTTATTTATTTGAAAGGCAGAAATATAGAGGGGGGAGGGGAAAGGGGAGAAGAAAAGGGAGGGAGAGAGAGAGAGAGAGAGGTAGAGAGAAAGAGAGAGAGGCATTGATCTTCTTTCTGCTGGTTCACTCCGCAAACGGCCACAACTGCCAGTGCTGGGCTGGGCCGAAGCCAGGAAGGATCTGGGAGCTTCTTCTGGGTCTTCCACCATGTGGGTGCAGGGGCTCAAGCACTTGGGCCATCTTCTTCTGCTTTTCCAGGCACATAAGCAGGGAGCTGGATGGAAAATGGAGTAGCCAGGACTCAAACTGGCACCATATGGGATGCTGGCACTGCAGGTGGAGGCTTAGCCTTCTACGCTTCAGAGCTGGCCCCTACCTGCTTCTTACATCCCTTGTGCAGACATTTGCCTCTCTACTTTCAGCAGCACAAGAGAATTTATCATCTTACTTTTATATACAGTGAAGACAAAATAAACACAGTTTCAGCACAGCAATTTCCATATATTTTAGGACAGTAGAGCAAAGACTGGGCTTCAACCATGTTGTTTCCTCAAATTTTCAGCTCTAACCTTTGCTCTCCCTGGGGCTGTCCCTCTCACCACTCTCACCCTTCAGAAACTGTCTCGTTCTAAGCTTTGAAAGTATCATTTGTGCCGTCCCTGCCTGCCCTGCCCTGTGGCTCATCCAGCCAGCATTTCCCATCCCAGAACCCGTGTCTGTAGTAACGGAGGGACGGGATAGATGTTCTATTTCTGCACTAGGTTCTGAGAGCGAGTGCCCAATATGCAGTCTTTCCCTGCTGTCTGAGGTCCCTTCTTCCTTCCTGGGCCTTCTCCCCTCCTGTCTTGGAGGCTGCTCCTTCATTTCAGCCTAGGACTTCCCAGGTGACCACCCTGTGCTAGGCCGGATACCAGGCAGAGGAGACACAGGGAGAGTCTGCTCACGGGAGGCCACTGGTCTCTGGACTTCAGTTTGGGGTTTGACAAAGGCCCAAGTGGGGAGCAGTGTCCTGGAAGGCCCAACCAGAGGAGGTTTCAGAGCAAGACAGGCCAAAATTCTCTCAGATGTCAAGAAGCTTCCTGCTGCTCAGGACTGGCTTTGTTCTCCAGGAGAGACGGGTAAGAGAAGCATGAGAATAAATGCCCCAGTGCCCATCTCAAAAGCACTGAGGAGGACTAAGGTTAGGGTTAGTTCACATAGAAATTTCTTGAGTGGCTTGAGAGAAATTGGGGGAAGCTTGGATTTGGAAGCACCAAGTGAGGTTGGTTCTCCTATGTGAAGACAGCAATGAATAGAAAAACTCATGGTTTCAGTGTCAGTGCTGCCCGCCCAGGTTCATCTGCAGATCCTGCAGTGGCAACAACAGGAAACAAGGCTTCTTACATTGATGACCTTGGGGAAACAGGGTGGCTTCCCCCAAGTCCAGGTCTCTGTATGTAAGGTTAAAGGCCTAGAAGAAATGGTGTAAAGTTAGCCTTCAGCCATTGAATACTGTAGACACTCAGGGATACATGAAGTTTGCAGATTGAGAAAAGAAAGGGAGATCTCCGATTTACTCCTCATCACTGCGTGATCCTTACTGTATATTCTTTGAACACGGTGGTCGTGGTTTTCTACTGCAAATACACTTCCGTTCAGAGCCTTTCCCCTAATTTATAAACATTGGATTTCAGTGTGTGTGTGTGTGTGTGCATGTGTGTGTAAAAGACTCTGAAAGGTGCAAATAACATCAAAGCAGCAAAACAAAATCAAGAACGTTCTCTACCTCTAAAAGTGATCCTCAGCTTATCACCCAGACAACTTCATTTTAAACCAAGAGACTAAAAGTCCCCAGAAATATGTGCATCATAAACACAGACATCCACCCTGGAATTTAGTCGTTAGGGTTATACCACGTTTTCAAAGGGCTTCCCCTTGGACTTGAGTTTGCCAGAATTGTTTATGCACTTTCATTTCCCCTGGTGAATTTTTAGGTGTTTTTTTTTTTTTCCACACAATTCCCCTTTCCCACATTTAGGCTAACAAAATTATTTAAAAGGCATTTTTGTTTTATGCATGCATCTTTAATAATTTTTTTCTTGATGTCTTGGGGGGAATGACCAGAACTACTGCCTGCCTGGTGGTCCTCCTGTGACTCCCTGCCGACCCCAGGACAAACATGACAGGGTTGTCCAGGCTGGGGAAATGGCTGGCTTGTGCTGAGCCACACTCAGGGTATACCACAGGGTGTCTGGGCACAGAAAGTGGTGTGTAAATGGGATCCCTCTTTTCCCCCACTGTTCTGAGGGCAAAAAGCTAAATGCTGCTTTTTAGGCTTCTCTCCCTCCCTGTTTAAAAATATCTAGGAAATAACTTTTCCAAGTTGATTAAACAGATGAATAAATGCTAAAATCATCAAGAAATACTTAAGGTGTAGAAAATGTTAACCATTTTTGTGAAGAAATCCTCGGAACACAGTTTCTGCATCACGGACCTCAGGATGCGCCCCGGTGGTCAGCCGAGCTTCCCGGGGCGGCTCCATTCCAGAGCCCTGGTGAAGGCCCGCGCCTGGCAGGGAGCCTGGCCGGACCTCTCCTTGCGGGTGCGTTTGGGGCTGGGAGGCAGGAAACTTCACACGTGCTCCCTTCGTTCCAGAGCCTCCACGCTGGACCAAGAAGCCCCAGAGCGCAGTGTACAGCAGCGGTGGCAGCGGGGTCTTGCTGTGCGAGGCGGAGGGTGAGCCCCAGCCCACGATCACGTGGAGAGTCAACGGCGCCCCGCTGGACGGTGAGTGGTGGGCGGCGTGGCTCCCTGTCACAGTGTGGCCGGGAGTGTGTGGTGGGGAATGAGCCCGGCTGAGGACCCAGCTCACCAGGAAGCCGGCAATCGCACCTGTCTGAGCAGTGTGAGGACCGAGGCCGGCCATTAGGGAATCCCGCGTGAGAGCCCAGGGCCGCCCTGCCCTCTCCCGCGTTGCCCTCTCCTCAGGGACAAAGGGCCAGTCCGGCTCTCCTCCTCTTCTTTGCCCCTGAATGCGTTCGTCCAGACGGGAGGTCCTGAGATGCAGCCCTGCAAGGGGGTCAGGACCCTGTGGGCAAGCACTCCGGTTTGACACATGGCTCTGGCAGCGCACTCCTGATAGGCAGATGTCAGTGTTCTGGGCTCTCCCTTGAGCTGCCGCCTGACCTTTGGCTGGGAGTGTCACGCCCCTCTCGGTAGCCATTGCTGATTGTGCCTTGTCCTCAGGATGGTTCCGGTAAAGCCCTGTTCCACTTCCTCCAGGAGGTGCCTCTGGATCTTGATGCCCCTTGTTCATGGTTCTGTGGAAAGCTCTGGCCTTCTTTGCAGCTGACCCTGCACAGCAGCTTGGGCACCCGCAGAGCACAAGGTTTGCTCCACGTGAATTTTTCAGTCAGACTTGGGTGAACAGTCAGCGGAGACGTCCACACTGTCGGTCACTGTGCTTCTGCGGTTGGTTGTCAGTTCCCGTTCAGTTAGGGCACGAGCTGGATTGATTTTTTTCTTGTGATTTGCTGTGATCTGCCGCTGCTGTGTCCTTCTTCTGTAACATCATCTCTTCCCTTAAACAAGTCATAAATTTGTAAAATACTGGTTTCTTCGGGGGTATTGTCCGCGTAGACCTTGTTGTAAAGCACTAATGATTTTGCTGTTTCTTCACATCAGCTTCATCGTAAATTTGGTGTTCATTCTGGTCTCAATTATGGCAGAATCTATGTCGCTGTAATAGGGGGTCTTCTCAAACTGTTGTCTTTCTTAGTACCTCAGACTAGATCCTGTTCAAGAATATTATAATGTGTTAGTATGAATTCATTTTGATGTACAAAAATTCTGAAATCCGGGCATAGTTTTTTACATAGTATGCATTTTCTGTGAGCTTTTTGAAGAACCCCGTGTGTTCTACTCTTTTGCAACATTATGCCAAGGGCACAGTGTGTAGACAGCTGTATGCTGTGGGATGTGTCAGTCCCCTCTTTGAAACCCGGGGCCTCCACAGCAATGCGGTCCAGCAGGCGCTGAGCGGCGTCAATGAGAAACACACCTGCTGCTTCCCAGAGTTCTCTGGCCCATAATAAGTACATCAGAAATGTTAGATCTTCTTATTTCCAAAAGATGTTTCCAGAATTATTCTTGGGTAGAGAGAGAAGTGGGTTTTATTGCCAAAAAAATGACTCTGGCCCCTGCTCACAGGATGGATGTAGTCCTGTTGGGAGAAAGAGGCACTGAGCTGTTGGCCTGACGTGGGTCACAGTGAACATGGAAAGTGAAGTGAAGGGTGTGGCTGACAAATTCAGAAGGGTGGGCGAATGCAACAGGGACAGCGCTCAGGGAGGAGACCACAGCCCATGCTGGTGGACTGTGAGTATCGCAGTGCCCTGGCTGTGGGATCTGTGCTGCACAAAGTCTGCATCTGAGTTCAGGAGGTTAGGAGAGGGTCACTGGACAGTGGGACAGTGTCAAAAAAGTCATCTGGACTCTCACCTGTGTCTGTGGGAGTGGAGAGCCAGTGAGCTGTGGAGCAGTGAGTCTTTTGATGATAAATATTAATTTGAAAGAAGATTGAAAATGCTAGAGTCTGGAAAGGAAAATCCATGGATGATGTGAAGAAAAACTAAGGAGTTAGCTTTAGTGAATGATTATTCACCCTAAACTGGTCTTGAAATATAAATACTGTGTGACAAATTTAATAAATGGTGCATAAATACTTTATGTCCTATTCTTCATCAAACTGACATTCTTTAATCTCTTTAGGCCATCCAGTTGCTGGTGATGTCATCTTCCCCAGAGAAATCAGTTTCACCAATCTGCAGCCAAATCACACGGCTGTGTACCAGTGTGAAGCCTCCAACGTTCATGGGACCATCCTGGCCAACGCCAACATTGACGTTGTAGGTGAGTATGCCTGGGAGCAGGCAGTGCCTGCGGCTTCCTGAAGGAAACAGCCCGGGTCACACCCCAAGAAGCAGCTGAATCTTGACACATGAAAAGTTGGGGGAAATCAAAGCACCTTGCCCCTTGCATTTGGGTGTCAGACCTCATCCTGCAAATGTGTTGAGCTTGGATGCTTATCTAATGTAAGAGTACGGCTGAATAGTCTTGTTGTTATGGCTAGGACATAAGGAGGCTCAATTTGCGTGTCTTTCTTACTTTAAAGTTTGAAACTGTATTTATGTTCTTTTCAAATAGATGTCCGTCCATTGATTCAGACTGAAGATGAAGAAAGCTACCCCGCTGTGGTTGGGTACAGTGCCTTCTTGCACTGCGAGTTCTTTGCTTCCCCTGAGGCAGTGGTGTCCTGGTAAGCTGGCCATTTGCTTAAGAGAATGGCGTAGTAGAATTCACCTTACTTCTCTGTCCTTCACTGGATAGGCCATGTTGTGTCCACGCGGTTACCTGGAATGAGCACCCCCGGGAGAGGTAACAACCCTGACCGCCTGCCTCTCCTGAACGGGGTGGTCTAACCTGGGGAAATCAAGTGACCCATGTGTGTTCATGGAGGCACACAGACTCTTGCAGAGAGGCAGAGTTAAAGGTGGCTTTGGCTTTTGTCGTGGAGATTTCTGAGGTCATGTGTGAATGACTTCATTGTTGCTGTTCTGGGGTTGTCTAGTTACCTTGATCTGCCTTAAATTCCAAATGCACATGCTTCAAACCTTCCCGACATTGATATTCATTGTCATTTCTATGCATTAACTGGGGCCACAAGTCCAGCACATGGGTCTACCTTACTGGGAAAGCTTGGTTCTGCCTTCAAATGACCTTGGCATTACTCTGAGGAGAAGTGGCCACTCAGGTGCAGAGCTAGAACCCATCTGTATTTACACTTGCGGTGCTTGGTTCATTGTCTCCTTTTGGCATTATTTTGGATTTTTTAAAACAATATTCTGTTAGAGTGATTTATTTTGATTATAGATGAAGGTTTGGCCTCCCCTTAAATCTGTACCTCCTGTAAGCCCCACGCTCTCAGCCTGTCCCTACCCTGTGGGGTTCTGTGTGGACTCAGCCCCCACGTCCACTGCATTGTTGGCTCTGGCGGCTGCTGGGGGACGTCCAGGATCAATCAGACCTGCAGCAGATGCTTGGGAAGTGGATGGAGGTTGGGAAAGGACTCTAGACTGACTTGTGGGATGCTGTGATGGGGTCCTCAGGACAGGGGCCCCTCTCCTCTAGTATTCTGGATGACTGATGTTTTCCAGGAGAGGGAGAGACTCCGAGGTTCATTATCTCTTTCAGTTACTGCTTCTATTGGAACCCTGGAACAGTCATCGGCTAGAGTTTGCCCTCAGTAAACCAGAGGCTAGTTAGTAAGCTCTGATGCAAAACAGTGGTGGTGGCTGTGGGAACCCCTCAGAGGCACGGGAGGGGCTCAGGCTCCTGCAGGCTCAGTCGACTTGGGCAGATGGGATGTACACCCGTGGCCACTCTGAGAAAAACACGAACCCCAGGGGAACATTGCAGAGAGTCTTCAGCTCCTAGGAAGGGGTCGGCCTGGGTGACATCAGCAATAGTATCAGAGTGCTTTCCTGTGTATCAGAGTGAAGGGTCCCTCTCCCTCAGCTGGACCCCTGCTTTCCTGTGTCCACAGGCAGAAGGTGGAAGAAGCCAGCCCCCTGGAGGGCGAACGGTACCACGTGCACAGAAACGGCACTCTGGAGATCAGCAATGTCACTGAAGACGATGCCGGGTCCTACTCCTGCTGGGTGGAAAATGCTGTAGGGAAGACTGCAGTCACAGCCAGTTTGGATATTAGAAGTATTTTTATTTCATTTATACTCCACATAGATTCTCATATAGCTTTAGTCTGACGTCATTTTTCCAAATGAAGCAATGGAATTTAAGTCTGAGCACCCGTTAAGCTTCTTTAGACCATTTTAAAGTCCTAGACTGTGTTTCATTTGAAAGACCATACAAGTGTGACAGGGTATGATGCATGCAAGGCTGTGTACAATTCTAAGGGGGAGCTAGGTGTCTGTGGTGGTAGCTGCTGGAATTCCCTGTTTTGGTGTATTTTTGTAATTGCATTTTATTTCAGTAGCCAGTTGAAGGTTATCAGTAATGGACTTTTTTTTTTAAAGTTTTATTTATTTATTTGAGAGAGTTACAGACAGAGAGAGGGAGAAACAGAGAGAGAAGTCTTCCATTCACTGGCTTACTCCTCAAATGGAGTGATTAGCCGGAGCTGGGTTGATTAGAAACCAGGAGCTGATAGCTTTTTCTGAGTCTCCCACATTGGTGTAGGGGCCCAAGCACTTGGGCCATCTTCTACTGCTTTCTCTGGCCATAGCAGAGAGCTGAATCAGAAGTGGAGCAGCTAGAATTTGAAACAGCGCACATATGGGATGCTGGCACCACAAGTGGAGGCTTAAGCTACTATGCCACAGAACTGGCCCCAGTAATGGACTATTTGAGTTAAACATTTCACACTCACAAAAGTTAAGTTTTGTAAAGACCAGGACATGGTAGATCTGGTTAATATCTGTTCTTGATAATAGGAGACTTTTCCTTTTTTTTTTTTAAAGGAAAGATTCATTTATTTAATGAAAGGCAGAGTGATAGAGAGAAGGGCAGAGAGAGATTGATTCTGTCCATTGATTCACGCCTCAAATGCTTGCAATGGCTGGGTGCTGAGCCAGGCTGAAGCCAGGAGCCTAGAACCCCACTTGGGTCTCCCTTGTGGGTGGTAGGGACCCAAGTACTTGGACCATCACCCGCTACCTCCCAGGATGCATAGATTACAAGCAGAGGAGCTAGGACTTGAACCAGGCACTCCAGTATTCCTTGTAGGCATCTTGAGAGGTGGCTTAACCTGCTGCACCACAGCGCCACCCACAGGTAGCTTTATACCCTTTCTCTCTTCAGCACTGAGTCCTGTGGTGACAGAGGGGCCGTGTGTGTGTGTGTGTGTGTGTGTGTCTGCCGACGCGTGCTTGAGCATCTGTTTTCATTGTGTTCCCACCACTTTCTCTCTTCTTTCCACTTCACTTTTCTTCCTTCCTTCCTTCTTTTCTGTCCTTCTCTCTTGTGTCCTTTTATGATTTTATAGTACTTGTCCTCTGTGCCTCGTCTGCCACACCCACCCAGGAACCACCCCCCCTTCTGTCTGCTGTGTGTGACCTCTCCCTACACTTTTCCTGAATCACTCAGAGTTTTCAAAATACACTGAAGGAGGCTGTGAGGTTTTTTTGTTTATGTCTTTTTTTTTTAATATTTCAAGCTGCAGATTTGTATCAAAGCTCAGCAGCTCAGCCAGGGTCAGAGTCAGAGAGAGCAGGGCCTGAGCCTCTTGTTCTCGATGCCCAGCACTGTGCATGGCCCAGGGCGGACCTCAGGTGGCTGCATCCAGCCAGCTGCCAAGCCCACGAGCTTCAGTGTCCTAAAGCGTCCGTTGTGTTTGCAAGGAATATGTGAAGTTCCCTCAGTGGAGGACTAAGAACACACTTTCTGTGTGTAAGACAGCAATGCAGAGAATGGAGTGGAGTAAGAAGCTGTGCTGTAGTGATGGAAAGCGTAAGCTTGGTCTCTGCCAGATTTGGGCTCCAAACCCTGCTCAGCCCCGAACTAGTTAGGAAACCTCTCAATTTAATTCTGGCCTCATCGTCTCTGTGGGGTGGAGATATTAATATCTGTGGGACTGCTATCATTGTGAAGTTCACAATGCTGGTGAACTTGTTAGCAGAGTCCTAGTGAATAGAGTAAGAGCTTATTCAGTGGTGTCTGTTATTGAATGGATTTCTGACTTTAAATTTAGAATCAGGCGTGGGAGGTTTAAGAATTCACTCACAACTCATTTAGCGTATGAGCTTCTCCAGCCCTCATGCTCGTGATACCCAAAATCCATTTTATTAACACTCTCAGTTTTTTGCTCAGCGCCCTGAGAATTGCATAGACAGCAAATGTTAGAGTGTGGCCCTGGGGTTAGAAACAATTATAATGAAGTGAATATTTTCCAAGGCAACCGTGGTACCAGTCTCTGAGATTCCTGTTTTTGATACTCTCTATTCATCTTTGTTTTAATCTCTGGTTCACTGTAACTCATTCACCAAGACATCGTCCAGGTGTGTACTAAGCACCTCCTGTGTACAGGCCCTGGCCCCACCCTGGGGCTCGCTTCCTGGGTCCCCACCCTCCAGGTGATGGTTTGTCTACGCAGGGCATCACCATCTGAACTCAGCATTTGTAGCTCTATCTGTTGTCTTTTTTTTGGTAAACAGACGCCACGAAGCTGAGTGTTTCTCCCAAGAACCCCCGAGTCCCCAGATCACACGTCCTTGAACTTCACTGTGAGAGCAGCTCTGACTCCCGTCTGAAGCCCAGTTTGAAGCTGTCCTGGGGTAAAGATGGAGAGGCCTTCGAGGCGAATGGCACGGAAGATGGAAGGTGGGTGACACGTGGTTTGTGGTCACAGTGTCTGCTTGGGCCTAATGCCTTGCAGCTGAAAAAGTTCTGAAAGCCTCAGCGCTGAGTTTCAAGGCACACGTGTATCACCTACTGCTCCTGCTGACTTTCCAGGTCCCTGCGTCATCTGTCTGTACGTGGAGCAGAGGCCACCCCGGTGACCGAGGCAGGCTTACCGCGTGGGCTCGGGCACTTAGAAAGCTGTTGGGAAGGCTGGGGAGTTGGGCCTCAAGGGACTGCTCAGGCATCACGTGGCCCTGCAGCTTCTGTTCGAGCGTCTGGAAACGGCTTCTGTCTTGACAGCTACCTCACACATGGCCAGCCCTGCACCGGCCACTCATGCTGCCCAGAGACAATGCTGTCTGCTTCTCTTCCATTGCCCAGCCTCACAGGAGTCTGCCTCACTGGCTGAACCTAAGTCGTTCCTGGAATTCCTCCTTCTGCAAAGTCCTGGCAAGCACGGTCATCCCTTGGTATCTGAGGGGAAGGGGGTGAGGACCCCTTGCAGACAGCAGAATCCTTGGGTGTTTCAGTCCCTTAGATACAGTGGTGTGGTGTCCGCACTGAGCCTGCACCGTCAATCTGTGTACTGAAGTAATGCCAGGATTGTACGGGATACCTGACACATAAGTGCTTTTTAAGTGGCTCTTACACTGTGCTGTTCAGGGTGGTGGCAGAACGTCTGCGTGTTTTCAGTGCGTTCACTGCTTTTAGTTTTTGAGCGTTTATAGTCTGGCATTGCCTGATTCCCCGTATATCGATGCAGCATCTCTCTTGACCTCTGTGGAGAAACTGGACCACACGTAGAGAATAAAGGATGGGTGGGAGCAGTTGCAGAACTCCACTGGGTGGTCCTGTGGACATTAGGAGGGAAAGAATGGCTGTTCACTTCTGCTTTGCTGCCAAGCAAGGGTTAAAAATGGGCCATCTGGGGTTGCAGCCAAATCTCCCTGCACTTGGGTTTTGTTGCTCATTTCTCTGAAACCTCTGATGACCTTTGGGTGACAACTGGCTGCTGTGCCATAGTCCAGAACATGGCCCCTGATGTAGCACTCATCAGGTGCAGCACTCAGACACGCAGCTCAGCATCTGTGCCTCAGTGTACCTCCTGAAGTGGAGTTTGATGATGCAAATTTAAAGATGACTTCTACACATGTAGAAAGACCTGGTGATTTGCACTGTGCACCTCCTCAGGGCGTGGTGCTCATTGTTTCCACCTGCTTGGCCTCTGTGGCATCTGTGTACATATTTGTGTGCATGGATGTGTGTGCATGTGCATATGTGTGTGCAGTAAGTGCATTGCAAGTGTGTGTGCACATGTCTGTTGGGGGTAGATGGATGTGTGTATTCATGGCATATGTGCATGTGTGTATGTAGGAATGCACATGCACTTATTTTCATGTTCAGGTGTGTGGGGTGCATTGTACATGTGTGTGCATGGGCTATGTGTATGTTCATGCTTGCATGTATGGGATATTTGCAGGTGCACATATGCATGAATGTGTGCATGTGTGTGTATGGGGCATGTGTATGCATGGGGTGTGTGCATGTGTGTGTTTGTGGTGTGCGTGAATGTGTGTGCATTTCCTCTGTCCCTCCTGCCTCCCTGTATGTGCAGTTGTGATAGAAACAGATGTGTTAGAATCCTAAGGGCTACTCTGCAACAGAATCTTCAACTTCAGATTCTGTCTCAGCTGATCTGTTACTGCTCACATCTACCCACATTCTCCCTCTTGTTTTCATGTTTTCTGGAGTCTTTCCTGTGACTTTTGGGCTATCAGTAGTAAGAGGAGGGACCCAGGCCTTGTCCTGCACATGCGTATTAAGCCTCTAGCCCCAGGAGCTGCAGCTTTTTTTATGGCCCTGTCTTAGCTTTTGTGGATGCTGTGCTGACACTCAAACAAACTTGCAGCAGATTGGACTGAACGAGTGACAGACATGTTCTTCCGCCTTTCCCTGAGCAAGTGGAGGGAATGAGGGACAGACACCCTTGCTCAGAAGGGACTCAGGAGTGGGGAGGGTCAGGAGGGACTGCGGCTGGGTCCTAAGGGCTACCAGGGACAGGCATGAAGATGTGGCAGGGTTAATACCACAGGTGTCTGCTGGGCTACCAGGAGCAGCAGCCCTGCTTCCTCCTCATCACTAGGCCAAGATCAGAGTCTTGTGTGTGGGAAGAAGTCACATCTAGAGAGCAGCGAGACGGGAGGTTCCCCTGCTCTGTCCTCCGGCCCGTGTCAAGTGCAGGTGTGGTGAGAGCCACTCTGGCCACCTTACACCTGCGTGCCTCTGCCTAGGTTGGTGCTTCCCTGGGAGGCCGTTCATGACTCCAGGCGAAGCGAGCACTGGGAGATACTGCAGAGGGTGGGGAGGGGGTCATGCGTTAGAGGACAGAGGAGGTGGGGCAAGGCTGGGAACATCTGGTGGGGGCTTCTGTCCGTGGCTTCAGCAGGTGAACAGGACAAGGGCACGGGGTCCAGAGGTTGTAGGGAAACCCTAGCAGAGGGTCAGGAACTGAGACACTTTGTCCAAGCAGAGAGGCAGGAGGAATGGGGTCTGGGGATGTCACAGCATCTGCTGTGAGGAGCGTGATTAGCAACAGGCCAGAATGAAGGAGTGAATTTGATTACTGTGATTAGTCGCGGCCTCTGAGCACAGGCTGTCCTGCCAGCTCCGTTTGCTTTACCTGGCTGACTTGTCTCACGCCCGTTTCCAGTGGGGCGCGTTGAGGGCCTGAGTGGTTCACGGTCGCATGAATAAGGATCCATGGGCTGAACCTGCAGCCCAGTTCTCCAAGAAGAACAGCTTCATGATCCTGCCCCAGGACGTGGCCGTTCCACAGAGGGAGCGGGGCCGGACAGTGGGGAGCTGGCATGCAGAAGGTGGCAGGCTGGTGGTGCTGACAAAGGTGTGCAAGGGTCAGGGTCGGTTGGTTGGGTTTCTCAGGTGAGGGGATTAAGCAAGGACAGATGAGGAAAAGATCAGGAGGCTCCCAGCTAGATTCTGCAAGCAGAATGCCCTTGACTATGAAGGAAGCGTAGCACAGGAGAGAAATGCGGCTGCTGTCTCGGGCACCGAGGGCACATCTGTGCCAACGCCGTGATGATGGCCAGAATTCCTTCAGTGCCATGTACCCCCTGGAAGTGTCTGGTTAATAGCTCAACTCAGTCTGAGCCTGGGTCTGGCATATTTCAGCCTCCCCACCTTCACCACAGCCCCTAAAATTCAAGGTCACTTGCACATATGAGGCACATGAGGTGCACTTGAGAGACTGACAAGGGCCTCAAGCAAGAGAAGGTCACCACAGAGATGCCCCTCACACCTTTTGCCCACATCTTGGTGAGATTCCAGCTCCGGGGAGTAGCTTTGTGCCAAGCAGGTTGTAGCCTTCACCTAGGAAGTCAACCTGTGCAGAAGCTGCCAGTGAGTGTAAAATTCTGAGTCTGTGCCAAGGGGGCATCAGGCAACAGGAACTGAGAGATTCGTGTTCTGAACTGATGCAGTTCTTGATTAGCAAAATCAGGCTGAATCACCTGGCACACTGTTTACTCGTTGGTGTAGAAATGAGAGACTGACTGTCCACAGTGAGAAGGCAGAATTTGTCAGTTTTTACTGCAGTGTGAAGTAGTTTTCCATAATTTCAACTTCTCAGCAGTTTATGAATTTTATGTTTAAAATCTCAATTATGCAAGATTCTGCCACCCTCTCCTCAAGGATAGCATTATTTAAACTACTTCAACTAAATCGCCACTGTTATGAATAAATTTTAAATTTAATGGAGCTTAAACATCTCCAGTAGGTATTTTGATAATATGTAGGTATAGACCAAAGGCTGCAATTTATAGAGAAGCAATTTTCATGTGGTCAACTTGATTACAATTGCAAAAGCAGAACAAATAACAAAAAGGAAATTTAAATGCTTTGTGCAAAGAAGCACTGGGCCACTGTGTGCTGTTGAGAGAAAGCACATCAGACATTACCATGCGTTCTGCTCGGGAGCTGTGGGTGAAGAAAGTGAAACTTGTCGGAAGGACGTAGTAGAGGCCCCCTTCGCAGGTGTCCCGGAGGCTCCCAGCTCAAGATTCTGCAAGCAGAATGCCTTCTCAGATGGAGATGGGGTTAGATCAGGGGTCTGCCCTTGTGGGAAGGCCCGGGAGGGAACCTCCAACACCCCGGGAATCACTCAGAGCCACTCGGGTGCTGCAGGCCGCGGTGTCCTCACGTGCCCTCCAGGCTGCACATACGCTGTCCATCACTGTCCATGTACCCTGCCTTCCAAAGGTTAGAGAAGGCGACCCAGGTCATGGCTGTGTAGACTTTTACATATGCTTGGAAGATGGCTTTTTCTCCAGTTGTCTCCTGGGCATCCCATAATACAGTGTGTCACTTAGGTATCCCCTGATGCAGTGTACATTAATGTGGAGTTGTTTTTCAGTCTTTTTTGAATTGTTTCCAGGAGAATGTACAGTGCTGGAAGGATTTTGTTTCTCCTTCTCCTCTTGTTTTCATCCTCAGTGTAGATTTTTTTTCTGGTAGGATCACTATTGATGGAGCTAATATGACCATATCTAATGTCACATCAGAGGACCAAGGGGTTTACTCCTGCTTTGCCCAGACTGCTCTAGACAACGCTGCTGATGTGACTCGAGTCACTGTCTTGGGTGAGTGCACAGGCGATCTCTGTTCAGTGCTGACTAAATCCTGCTGTTCCCAGGCAGTAAAGCCAGTGATGGTCTGAGCCCCTGCACATAAATTATTGCCTTGAATTTTTTGTTTGAAAAGTAGCCCCACTTTCACATAGTTTCTCTTGTTCTCACATACACGAATCAACACTTCCTTCTTTTCCCAATGTGTCTGGATGCAGGATTTGGACAGACAGCTAGTGACCTGCATTTTCCTTGCCTGTGTCTTTCGTTATTAATCAGATGTTCCAGATCCACCAGAAAACCTTCAGTTGTCTCACAGACAGAACAGGAGTGTCCAGCTGACGTGGGAAGCGGGAGACAGCCACAACAGCAATATTAGCGGTAGGAAGACTTGGCGTAATTACTACCCTTGTCCCAGAGAGTAAACGTCAATAGAGAAGCAGTTTCTATACCAAGTGCGATGGATGATGTGTCTCAGGACATGTTTTTAAGCTTTTGATCCTGTGTAAATCCTACTATAACCCAAGTACCTGGGCTCATTCTAATGCTCTGTCCTTGCTCCTCTGCCAGAGTTCATTGTAGAGTTTGAAGGAAACAAAGAGGAACCCGGACGCTGGGAGGAGCTGGCCAGAGTCCCAGGAAAGGACACGACAGTCTTGTTAGCTCTGGCTCCGTATGTGAGATACCAGTTCAGGGTCATAGCTGTGAATGAAGTGGGGAGAAGCCAGCCCAGCCAGCCCTCGGACCATCATGAGACCCCACCCGCAGGTACGCAACTGCTCACGTCGGGATTCTGACAAAATGTTTTCGTTTGGCCCCATCTTTGAACATGTTAGGAAAAAAAAAAAGGTTGGCAGAATAGTGTAGGATTTATTATTTTTATTGATTCGTTTGCAAGACAGAGAGGGTGAGAGGGTTCTCGTGTTTGCTGGTTTATTCCCCAAATGCCTGTGGCAACTGGAGGTGGGGACCCAGTCCAGGTCTCGCACTGGCCCCAGTTACTTGAGCCATCATCTGCTGCCTTCAGGGTCTGCCGTAGAAGGAAGCTGCAGACAGGAGCTGGAGCCAGGAATGGAACCGGGGACACTGCTGGACAATGTGGGCATCCTAACCATTAGTCCAAATATCTGTTCCACATGCTGGATTTTAGCTTTTTCCAAATAGCTCGAACAGATCTGTAAACTAACAGCTCACAAAATATTCAGAGTACATCTGTCTCCTAAGTGTTACGCAAACACTTGACAGAGAACAGGAAGTTGGGACGGTGGGAAACATCTCTCTGAATTTTGTGGTAGTCAAATATCATGTCTAGACCCGCGCCGTGGCTCACTTGGCTAATCCTGCGCCTGCGGCGCCGGTACCCCGGGTTCTAGTCCTGGTTGGGGTGCTGGGTTCTGTCCCAGTTGCTCCTCTTCCAGTCCAGCTCTCTGCTGTGGCCCGGGAGTGCAGTGGAGGATGGCCCAAGTACTTGGGCCCTGCACCCGCATGGGAGACCAGGAGGAGGCACCTGGCTCCTGGCTTCGGATTGGCACAGCTCACCGGCCGTAACGGCCATTTGAGGGGTGAACCAATAGAAGGAAGACCTTTATCTCTATCTCTCTCTCTCAGTGTCTAATTCTGCCTGTCAAAAAAAAATCATGTCTAAGTCAGAAATCATAAAGTGTAAGTTCTGAATAAAGGTTCATGGGAAGGGCCTCACTTTTATTTTTTTTTTAAAGATTTATTTACTATATGAAAGGCAGAATTGGAGAGAGAGAGAGAGAGCAACCGAGAGTGAGAGAGAGAGATCTTCTGTCTGCTGGTTCACTCCCCAAGTGGCTGCAGTGGCTGGAGCTTAGCCAGCCTGAAGCCGGGAGCCTGGAATGTCATCTGGGTCTCCTAGGTGGGTGCAGGGGATCAAGTACTGCGCCATCCTCCGCTGCTTTCCCAGGCACATTAACAGGAACCTGAATCACAAGTGAAGTAGCCAGGACTCATACTGGCACTCGCATGGGATGCCTGTGTCACAGCAACTTAATAACTCAGTGTTTTACAGTGCTGGCCTCAAAGGCTCAACTTTCTGAGTAGAACTTTTGACTCATTGTAAGCACTTTGTTAAGTTTTCAGTGAATCTAACATTATCAACTTTCATGCATTTTGATTTTTTTGGATCTGAATATTTATCTCAACTGTCAAGTTTTTTTCATTGATCTCAGGAGTGATTGTGCCCAAATTTGCATTAACTGGCACTACACATTGATGTGGCCATACGTTGGTGTGTAATACATATGAGATAAATATCCCAGGTATAATTTCCATTTTGGACCGAGAAACAGCACTTATGGCAATAACTGCATCAGATATTGGTGTGATTGCAGTGTCCATGGAAGTTAGCACCAAGCCTCAAGCTCAGCTCCTCCTTACGAATGGACCTGTCTGAGTACCTGTCATGGGGACATCCATGATGCTGTCCTCCAGCTGATGTCCCTGAAGCTTGGGTGTCAGTACTGATGTTCTGTTTTATTTCACGTATTCTCCTAGTGGCAGATGTTTACAACATACCTTTATAAAAATATTTCTAATAGGAAATTTAATAAAGGTTTAAAATTGAGACACATTTTGAAGTAGTAGGGTTAGAATTTTTAAAGAACAGGTTTAAATTTGTTACACAAGTACATAGTAAATGATTTGCTAACCATTGGATAATTATATTACACTCAAAGAATTGTATTACTCCGAGAACACTGTTTTACTTCTTGAAGTAAAATGTGTATTTAAAAAGCTACCTTAAATCTGTTTGGGAACTAAACCAGATAGAAATTAAGAAATACAATTAATTTTTTAGCCTCTCAGTTTTTCTTGGGGGGGATATAATATGATAACCTGCCTATTGAATTTGCTTTTAATGTTGTTAACTTTTCAGCTCCAGACAAGAATCCTCAAAACATAAGAGTCCATGCCTCTCAACCCAAGGAAATGATCATAAAGTGGGAGGTGTGTATCCCTTCGCACGTTATGCATTTCTTTGTGCCCGTTTTCCTTTCCTTTATGTCTGCATGCTAAGCACAGTGATACAGCAATATTTTCTTTAATAACAAGGGAGCAGTGCTTGTGGGAGAGTTGAGTTTGTGGAGTCATCAGTGTGTATCTTGAAGACCGCTGATTGAGTTGGAGTCTGTTATTAAGTGTTTCAGATTCCTAATATTTCTGTTACTAAGGTACTAGATGCTCTCACATTCAAGAATGGCTGAACACCTCACTCAGTTTAGTGTGTGGTCTATGAAGTCTGATGCAAGGATGACTGCAAAACAGCAGGCAGTGCTTACTGCTCCTAGAGGCCGGGGTGGACTCGGGTGCCATCCTGAGCGCACACCTCCAGGTCTTTGTTCTAAAGCAGGTGTGATGCTGGGTGACCCGTGGCTTGTGCCTTGCTGTAGGTGAGTGTGGTGCTGGGTGGTTAGCACCTTGTGCCTTCTTCTAGGTTGCGTGTCCTGTGATGGGCGTCTTGCACCTCGTTCTGGATCAGATGTGACGTTAGGTGTTGTGCATCTTGACAAGGCAGGGCGTCAACACTGTTGTCTTTGGACTTCAAATTCCACTTTTTCTTGTGCTCATCCTTGTTAAATGATTTTATTCTAATTTTTTTCTAAAATTTATATATTCTCAGATAATGTCAGTTATTCTGGTGTCATTTCCAAGATTGTGTTGTTAGAGTGGAGGACCTTGTTTTCCCTCTGCTGCTTGGTCACGGCCAGTAGCAGCTCCACTAACCTATTGAAAGCACGCCTCCATGCACCCATTTGGATTCACAGTAGGCCTCTGACCTTGAATCTGCTGAATTTTGTGTAAACGTTGTCACTTTTACACCTACTGAATATAGCTGATGGATATCCACACTTCATACCAGGAATGATTTTTGGAAGAATTTTTAAAGTGTATTCACTTTGGTGTGCTTTGTTCCTTCATATACTTGTTTTTATACTCATTTACTTAATCACATGGCCCATACCTACAAATTATTTAGTTGAGTTTTTATATCAACAATAAGCCTTATTTTCATTTCAGTGTATAAAAATTGAAAAAAAAAAATGGGCCAGCGCCGCGGCTCACTTGGCTAATCCTTCGCCTGTGGCGCTGGCACCCTGGGTTCTAGTTCCGGTCGGGGCGCCACATTCTGTCCCCGTTGCTCCTCTTCCAGTGTAGCTCTCTGCTGTGGCCCCGGAAGGCAGTGGAGGATGGCCCAAGTGCTTGGGCCCTGCATCCGCATGGGAGACCAGGAGGAAGCACCTGGCTCCTGGCTTCAGATTGGCGCAGAGCGTAGCGGCCATTTGGGGGGTGAACCAACGGAAGGAAGACCTTTCTCTCTATCTCTCTCTCTCACTGTCTAACACTGCCTGTCAAAAAAATTTGAAAAAAATGAATACCTAGAAATTAAATATATCCAAGAATATTATATTTCCTAGTGGCATAAATAGCTACTACTGCATTGTCTTGATGATTACCTGTTGTGTAGGCTATATCATTCTTTCATTCTTTTAGATGGTGTCTGTCTTATCTTCCTTTAGTTCTACAGAGATTTCTGTAGGTAGATAACATCACTGGTTAGAGGACAGTGACATCTGAGGGGTCTTCATAAGTTCAAAGAAAATGCATATATAACTAGGCACAGATTTCGATTTTTTTTTCACTAGAATAAACCTGTCTTTTAATTCCGTTACTCACAACCTTTTTCCTCTCATGTGGACTGCAGGTCATATCTCATATCTGCAGGTCGGTTCCTCAGAGAGGCGCACCTGCTCCACTGGCACCAGCTGTCAGGGATTTAGAACAGGACCAGCAATTACTTTCAAACACATGCTTCATGCCACTTTGAAGTGTCAGTGAGCAAAGAGCCACCGGCATGGTGTGGGGAGTTTAGGGACATTCTTCCATGGAGTATTGTTCTGTGTGGCTCATGCTGTAGGAAGGAGTCAGATGCCCCGAGTTTCCCGAGTGGATGAGCAGATACTGTGGGTAAATGAGCAGACCGCTCTGCAGACTGACTCAGGAAGTAGTGCCTGTCTGCCAGGTTAACACTGGACAAAAAATGGTGATGCCAGGGAACTCTAGGGAGAGACTGGGCGTTTCCAGCTTTTGTTTGCTTGTTTGTTGTAGCATTAAGCAAAATCTAACACATTAAATTCTAACTTAATAACAGAGTTGGTCTTTTCAGCTATCGTTGTCTTCTGCAAATCACTTTTTATGTGTTAAGTTGGTTATGTGTGCCCACACCTCTGGGTGCTGAAGCCCGACCAGGGTCTGTTTCTTTTTCTTTTTTTAAAGATTTATTTATTTATTTGAAAGTCAGAGTTTACAGAGAGAAGGAGAGACAGAGAGACAGAGAGTTTCTTCCATCCACGGGTTCACCCCTAGTTGGCCACAATGGCGGGAATTGCACTGATCCAAAGCCAAGAGCCAGGAGCTCCTCCGGGTCTCCCATATGGGTGCAGGGGCCCAAGGACTTGGGCCATCTTCTACTGCTTTCCCAGGCCACAGCAGAGAGCTGGATCTGAAGTGAAGCAGCTGGGACTTGAACTGGCACTCTTACAGGATGCTGGCACTGCAGATGGCGCCTTACCTGCTACACCACAGCGTCGGCCCCAGGGTCTGTTTCTCACAGCAGGGTCAGCTGCAGCCCAGCTGGTCATATACATCAGGATGCTTCTGCATGGTAGTTCCTGGTGTTCTTAAGTGCATTTATATGAATTTTTAACTTCTCTTAATAAACTAACAAATTTCTGATTTCAAAGACATCAAAAAAAAAAAAAAAAACCCTCAACAGCTGAAAAAAGAAGAAAAAAATCTCGGACTCCACTAATGTTGGGAAGTAGCAACTTTTTGGATTGCTTGGTTTTGTGATCACAGACTAATGGACTCCCAAGGGACCCAGGTTGTATTATTGCTATTGGAAGGGCAAGGAAATCCACCTGTGTTAAAAAAATTGAAATGGAATTAAATGGAATATTGTATGTGGTGACTGTAGGTGTGACAATGTGTTGTCTTGAGAACTGTTTACAGAGCAGATTTCAAGTGTTCTTCCCACTTTAAAAACTACGTGGGGGAATGCAGATGCTGGTTGTAGCAATGTCTATTATTCCAAAACAACATCAGTATACACAATAACATATTCAATTTTTATCAATTAAAATATAAACAAGTAAAAATGTTAGAAAAATGAAAAGGAATTAGGGCAGTGTGGCAATCTGTCCAACTTCTAGATTGGCAGGCATAGCCTTGCTTGGTTCAGCAATCTCCTTGGAAATGTTAAAAGACATATTCTTTTTCTAGAAATTGTGCAGAAAAAGTCTTGCTGGCCATGTCACAGGTGTCAGACCTTTTGAGGGAACTGTGGACCCCAGCCAGCGGCGTCCAGACCCAGGCTGAGAACCTCACTGCTAGAGGCACCTTCCCTCTGGCCACTCTCAGAAAGTGGGGGCTCCCGGTCTTCCTGGCTGCTCTGCCCTTGCTCCCTCTTGGCTTTCCTCTTTGCGGGGCTCATTGGAGATTTCCTAGCTTCTGTGGCCATTGTTCCAGGCCAGATCCCAGCTTTCTCTGGTTTCTTCAAGGATCCTGGCACTTTATTTTATAAGCTGCCATAGACTTTCTAAGCTTCACTCTTTGCCTAGGAGAAGAGTGTGTAAATGGAGCAGGTTTATGGTCATTGGGGGCTAAAGTTTCAGGTTGCTGAATGAACAGAGTGTGACCTAGTTCACTTGGGGAGTGCTCAAGCCCCCAGTGAATTTGTGTCCATGTCATGTGAAGACCTTTTCCCATGAATGCAAGAGTCAAATGATGATTGTCGAAAGTCTCAGGAAGGTTTTATTTTAATTTTTAAAAATTTTACTGATCTTGGAACAGGCAAAGACTTAAAATTATTTTACTTACATGTGCTGTACTTCACTGTATAGCTCTACTACATATTTTAATAAATTAGACTAAGTCAAGAATCATTATAAATTCTGTAAAAACATTATATGTGGTGTTATCAAATTGCCTACATATACAAAGTTGTTGTTTGTGTGTTTCATTTAAATGAATATTCCCATTTTATGAAATTGAACAGATGGCTTAAATCACATTTATGTTTTTAAAATTAAAATATTACTTAATTAAAAATCAGCATATAAAAAACCAGTTTCCTGTACTAGAAATTCCTCTGTCAAATATTCTTGGATGGTGGAATGAAGCACAGCAGAATGGCCAAGGAACTCATGCAATGTAGAGAGGAGCTACCACTTCTTGCATATCCTCCAAAAATGCAGATTTATTTCCTCTCTCTCTTTCTCTCTCTCTCCTGGGAGAAAGATGGGAAAGGATGGCATCAGGTGGAGAATTCCACCCGAAAAGCCACGGGTGGAGGTCCCACTCACTACCAAAGAGCTTGAGGCTGTGTACTTTTTCTTTCTGCCTGCTCTTTGGGAGGAGAAAGATGGAATATAGTGGAAAGCAGAAACAGAAAAATCCAGGCGTGTAAAGTGTGGACGTCCCGTCATGTGGCGAGTGCAAGGACTGATTTTCAGCTTAAACTCACAGGATGATGAAAATGTTCACGAAGGAGGAGATTTCCAGATCTTCCCCTGAATGATTCCCAGGCCACTCGATGGTTTCTGAGCCAGTATGTTTGTGATTATACCAGCTGACTTTCAGCTTCTCTTCTAGCCTTTGAAATCAATGGAGCAGAATGGGCCAGGATTGGAGTACAGAGTGACCTGGAAGCCCCAGGGAGCCTCAGCCTCAGTGGAGTGGGAGGAAGAGACAGTCACCAACCACACACTGAGAGTGATGACCTCCATGGTCTATGCGCCTTACGATGTGCAAGTGCAAGCCGTCAACCAGCTTGGCTCTGGGCCAGAGCCTCAGGCCGTGACCCTCTACTCCGGGGAAGACTGTAAGTGACGCACCTTTCTCAAGTCCATTGCATCTGCGTCAGCGGATGTATCTGAGCAATTGCTTATGTGCAGAGAATGTACCAGTTGTGGGAGAGAAGAAGAAAGGGAACACATGGTTCCACCCTAGGGTGCCCTGCAGGACAGCGGTACAGAGCAAAGGAAGTGTGTTGGAAGTTTCCATTTTATTTGGTTTCCCAGCAAGGCCATTTCTATATTGAAAATCACATAGACCTGGCAACATCACTACACTCATTTAGACAGTGTAACCCTCACACCACCATTAATTCATTTGCCTTCACTTGTCCAGGATCTCTTGAGAGTACCTGCTGCCTGCCCTGGGGTTCACCTATGTATCAGGAGCCTTCCCAGTGCAAATGAGACCTAGACTCCAGATTCGTTTATGGCACTACACACACCGAATTCTGCATTACTGATGATCATTTCATTAAGTGTTCATAATATAATAATTGTCACTAATTTTTGGAAAAAGAAAAAGGTACTATGTTCACTGTCAGTTCCCATCAGGAGTTATTCTCATTGTTCTTCCTATATCCAAAGTATTATTTTGACTCAAGAATAGGTAGTCAGGAGTAAGAAATGGATTCCTTATCTGTCTGTTGTTCAAGTCCTTCTGCTCCGACATAAAGCCACAGAACACATGACCTGTGGACTGTGTGTCCTGACAGCTCTCTGCTGGATTTGTTCCCCTGCAGTGATCTCGCCTGTGGAATAGAACAGGTGTAACAATTCCCACCCTGCAGGGTTATTCTAAGGGTTGTGTGAACCAGACCAGGTGAGGTTCTTAGAACAGTGCCTGACACATACCCTGTGCTCCATTAATGCTGTTGTTCCTGAGAGTTGATTGATCAAATTCCAACATCATTTTATTTATATTTCTAGTGAAGATCACTTATTCCAAACGGCAAGATGCCCACAGAGTATTTCGCTGGCTGTTAGGTTGTTTTTTGTTGATATTTGCCCACATCTGCAGAGCCTTATCCCTCAGTGTGGTGAGCATTGTCTTCCTGTAGAACCTGTTGGGCCGAGGAGTGACTGTGTAATGAGAAACTCCCTTGGTTTTGTTTGGAGTTCATAGGAGTACATTTCCCAGATTGAACATTAAGAAAATCACCTTTAAATAAGTCCTAGTGATCACAACTGGAGATCAATGATAGCTAATCAGTTGCACATCTCTGACAGATCCTGACACAGCCCCAGTGGTCCATGGGGTCGACGTGGTCAACAGCACGTTGGTGAAAGTGACTTGGTCAACAATTCCCAAGGACAGAGTGCATGGACATCTGAAGGGCTATCAGGTTTTTATCTGACTTGTTCTTGTTGTTGTTGAATTAATGCCTTTCTTAGGGTAAGAACTGATTTCAGTGGCCTAATGAGAGCCTGCCACCAAGGTTGTGTGTTAAAGGGCTCACATTTCATTGCAGATAAGTTGGTGGAAAACAAGGAGTCTATTGGATGGGAGAGTGCATCCCAAAGAAGTGAAGACGCTAAGGTTTTCAGGACAGAGGAACCATGGGATGCTGCCTTCCCTGGATGCGTTTAGTGAATTTCACTTGACCGTCTTAGCCTACAATTCCAAAGGGGCCGGCCCGGAAAGCGAGCCTTACATATTCCAGACACCAGAAGGAGGTGAGAGTGCCAGTGTGATGTGGTACTCAGCAGGGGTGCTGCCGAAGGCCATAGCGAACATTTCCTTTGGATGGTGGCTAATTAATATGCACTTCCAATGCGTTAGTGTCACAGATTCTTTAAAAACTTGTAATCTAACAGGGCTTTTGTTTCTTAGGAATTTACCGATGTGTGAGTGTTTATTCTCTTGTGTTTTCTAGTACCTGAGCAGCCAACTTTTCTCAAAGTGATCAAGGTTGATAAAGATACTGCGACTTTATCCTGGGGACTGCCTAAGAAATTAAATGGAAACTTAACTGGCTATCTATTACAGTACCAAATAAGTAAGTGGAAGTTGGATGGGGTGAGCCTATTCATGTGTCATGGCTGGGATTTGGTTTGTGGTATCACTGAACTGGTGACCACCTGAGGCTGTGGTTGTCAGCTGGCATATGTCCTCCTAGAACAGGGGTCTGAAAGCACACTTAGAGGCCGCACCATCTACTGCCTGTGTTGTAAATAGAACTTATTTACAACACAACCTGGCAGTGTCCACTGTTCATGTATTGCCAATAGTTGCTTTCTCCTTGGAGTGACAAAATCAAGTTATCGCCACAAAGGCTTTGCAATCTGCAGGGTCTGCAGTGTTTACAAAATAATCCTGGGCAGAAAGGTTTGCTGACCCCCGTTCTAGAAGAAAAACCACATGCCGTTAGGTGCCAGGGGATGTGCTTACTGTTTAGCTGAGAGGCCTTGAGAGCTGAGATCAGAGGCAGTAAGAGACATTATGGAGATGCAAGGTGCACGGGACCTCCACACTGTGCTGCCTCCACCTCCATTACCAACCGTAAATATGCTCGTGTCTGCAGAACACTCGGTCGGTGGCTTAGGCAGGCGATGTGGAGAGCTGAGAGTGACTTCTGCCCATGGGTTGCCATGCCATTAGATTGAAAGCATTTAAAGAAAAACTGGGTCATTTTAAATATAGCACTGCCTGCTGCTAAATCCTCAAATCCAAATATCATCTCAAAAAGGAGATTGGGGGATTGAGATCATAGCAGACTTCAGTGGCAGCCCCACAGTGAAAATCTGAGACTTTCTGGGCTCCTGGTGGCCTCAGCTGAGTGGGTCGTGTGCTTGCAAAGACACAGGCAAAGTCCAAATTGGGTAGCATCTAGCATCGGTGATGCCTGCTGTATAGCAGGATTGGTACTAGGCACTGTCCCTGCATTGCATCAGTAAAGTTAGACGTCTCCGAGATACGCACTGTTCCAATTGTGTGGATAAGGAGACTGAGGGATGTAGAGTACACTTACCTGGGGTCGTGCAGCAAGACAAGTGTAAGAGAGGAAGGAAACCAAGTTAGTGTAGTTCTAGATGCTGAACAATTAGCCAGCCTCTAAATTGATTGCAATGTAAGATTTTATTTTAAAAACAAGTTCTTGGAATATAGAGAGAAGAAGCTAGAATATTGACAGTAAGAATGGTATGGTCGTGCTTGATAAGTGGTTTTAATAGAATGATATTTAATGAATTTTCTCTTTATGAACATTAAGTGACAAAGACTTTTTAGGTAGTTTATATTTTTTGTTGCTGTTACATGTTCCAAATAATTGCTGTTAGTATGGATCTTTTTAAAAGTTTTCTTTTATTAACATTTTTTGTTTTTAACTGACATAAAAATACACATAGTTATGCAGTACCATGTGATATTTCAATACAGTCATGCATTTTGTAATATCCATTCAGCGAGAACATATCCATCTCCTCATACGTAACATTTACTTTTGGTGAAAACATTCAATATATCTTTTCTTCTAGTTTTTTAAAAAGGAAAATATATAATACATTGTCTTTATCTATAGTCATCTTGCTGTGCAGAACCCCAGAACTTCTTCCTCATACCTTACTATGGTTTAGTGCCCATTAGTTAGCTTTTCCTCTACTTTGCCCAACATCTCGTAAACACATTCTAATCTGAACTCCTATACGATCAATATTTTTTTTTACTCCACATGTGAGTGCGATCATGCAGCACTTGTGATTCTGTGCTTGGCTTCTTTCTCTTAACACAGTGACCTCCAGTTCCATCCATGCTGCTGCTGTAGGTGACCAGATGTCCTCCTTTTGATGGCTAACTAGTGTTCCCTTGTGTATGTGGACCTCATTTTCTCTGTCCACTCATCAGTGGACAGGCACTTAGGTTGTTTCCATTTTGTGGCTATTGTGAATAGAGCTGCAGTAAACGTGGGGATGCAGGTATCTCTTCCACAGATGGATTTCATTTCCCTTGGATATGTACTAGTAGTAGGGTTATGGGATTGTATGGTAAATTTTTTCATTTTTGGGGGGAATCTTCCATGCTGTTATCCACAATGGCTGTACAAACTGACATTCTCATCAGCATTGTCCCTTTTCCTCACATAGTCACCAATGCTTTTTATCTTTTGTCTTTTTGATAATAGCCAATCTAGCTGGAATGAGATGATACCTCATTGTGGCTTTGATTTGCATTTCCATGATGATTGGTGATGTTGAGAATTGTTTCATGTGTCTGTTGCTCATTTATAAGTCTGTCTCTGAGAAATATCTGTTTAAATTAGTCATGTTTCTAATTGGATTATTTATTAGTTATTTCTTGCCATTGAGTTGTTTGAGTTCTTTACTCTTTGTCAGATGTTTAACTTGCAAGTATTCTCTCCCATCCTGTAGGTTGACTCTTCACTCTGATTATTTCCTTTCATGTGTAGGAGCTCTTCTGTTGAATAAAGTCCCATTTTTCCATTTTTTTGTTTCCTATGCTTTTGGGATTTGATCCAAAAAATTCTTGCCCTTTCAGTGTCAAGGCATTTACCCTGTGTTTTTTTCTGATAGCTTCAAAGTTCCTGATCTTATATTTAGGCCTTCAATCCATTTTAGGTTGATTTTTATACATGGTAAGATATAGAGGTCTACTTTGATTCCTCTGCATGTGACTGTCCAGTTTTCCCAGCACCATTTGTTGAAAAGGCTATCCTTTGTGTTCTTAGCACCTTTGTCAAATATCAGTTGGCGTAGATGTATTCGTTTAATTCTAGGGTCTCTGTTAGATCCATTGGTCTCTATGTCTGTTTTTATGAGGACACCATGCTGTTTTGTTTTTATTTATTTATTTTTAATTTTTTTTGACAGGCAGTGTTAGACAGAGGGGAGAGAGACAGAGAGAAAGGTCTTCCTTTTTCCGTTGGTTCACCCCCAAGTGGCCGCTACTGCCGGCGTGTTGCTGCTGGTGCGCTGTGCCGATCTGAAGCCAGAAGCCAGGTGCTTCTCCTGGTCTCCCATGCGGGTGCAGCGCCCAATCACTTGGGCCATCCTCCACTGCACTCCTGGGCCACAACAGAGAGCTGGACTGGAAGAGGAGCAACTGGGACAGAATCCGGTGCCCCAACAGGGACTAGAACCTGGGGTGCCAGCGCCGCAGGCAGAGGATTAGCCTAGTGAGCCGCGGTGCCAGCCCATGCTGTTTTAATTACTGTAATTTTTTAATATATTTTAAAGTGAAGTAGTATAATGCCCCCTTCTTTGTTCTTTTTGCCCCAGGTTGCTTTGGCCTTTGGCTATTTAGGGTCTTTTGTGGTTCCCCTCAAACTTTAATAAATTTTTTCTATTTATGCAAAGAAAGTGGCATTTTGGTAGAGATTGCATTGGATTTATAAGTTGGTTTGGTAGCATGGACATTGTAACAGTTGTTACAATCCAGGAACATTGGGTGTCTTTCCATTTCTTTGTGTCCTCTTCAGATTCTTTCATTAAGGTTTTGTTGTTTGCCTTGTTTAGATCTTTCACCTCTTTGGTTAAATTTATTGCCAGGTATTTTATATTTTTGTAGCCATTAGATTTTATTTCTTTGTCAAATAATTCACTAGCAATGTCCAACAATGCTATTGATTTTTGCATTTTGCTGCAAAAATTTTGCAGCTCTGTTGGATAGTTTATTCTGATAGTTTTTTTTGGTAGAATTTTTGGGATTTTCTGCGTACAGTTCTGTCCTCTGCAGTCAGCAACAGGTTAGCGTCTCCCTCTCTTGTTTGAACGCCCTTTGTTTTCCTCTGGCCTAGTTGCTCTGGCTGGTACCTACAGTACTGTATTCAGTAGAACGGTGGAAATGGGCTTCCTGTGCTGTTCCAGATCTTTCAACTTGTCACCACTTCACAGGATGTTAATTGTTGGCTTGTTAAATATGGCCTTTCTTATGTTGAGGTGTGTTTCTTCTATACCAAATTTACTAGAGTTTTTATCATGGAGGATTGTTGGATTTTATCAGATACATTTTTTGCGTCTTTTGAGGTGATCATGTGACTTTGTCCTTCACTCTGTTGTCGTGATACCTCATGTTGTTGACTTGCATACATTAAACCATTCTTGCATCTCTTGGATGAATCTAACTTGATCATGGTGAGTAATCTTTTCATTGTGCTATTGGGTTAAGGTTGCTGGTATTTTGTTGAGGATTTTTGCATTTGAGTTCAAGGATATTCTCTTGTATCTTTGCTTTTCTTGTTGAGCCTTTGGCAATGCCAGCCTTATGGAGTGAGTTTGGAAGAAGCATCTTACTGAGTCACCATCTTCCTCTGCCTGTCTTTCTTGAGTTTTTACATTGATCATAGTGGGTTTTCAGTGGATTTGTGTTTTGCACTTGTGCCCTCAAATAGTCTAAAAATCTTTGATGACTTTAATTTGTTCTTTCCGATGTTTGGATGCTTGTTTTGTTTGCTTTTTTCCTTAGCCTAAATGAATGGACTAAAAAACACATTTTTGTATCAACAATTAATGTAATTTGTTTAGTTGTGTGCTCTCACGGACTGAGTCCAGAAGATTGCTCTAGTCCTAGTCTTGCCTCTAAGCTACATGATTGATATATAGGATATTTTTAACTCATGAAGTAACCTTGTTGTAAATCAAGGAGCATCACGTATCAAACTTGAAAGCACAGGGGATACCAGTATATCGTTGCCCAAACTATTCCCCCAGAAGGAGATTGAAAGTGCTTAAGTCAGGGTATAATAAAGATAGAATAATGGGGTTAAAGACTCTCATTTGTATTCGGCGTGATGAAGGTGGTTGGCTCAAGTGTGGCACAGAGATCAACAACGTGGTTTCTGGAGCCAGATGCCATGGATTGGATTCAAATCTCAGCTTACCAACTCCTCTGGTCTGGGTGAGGTGCTTATTCTTTATACATCAGTTTTCCCATGGATGATATGGCCTTAGTAATTGGGTCTATCTCCTAAGATTCTCTGGGTTGATAGCTACGAATGATTAAGATAACTGTTTGCATACCACAAGCTTAAGTAGAATCAAAAATAAACAACAGTGTAAATTGAGTTGTTAAGTACCACGGAATTTGAGTTGTGTTGTCCATGTTTGTTTCTTTAGTAAATGGCACCTATGAAATTGGAGAATTAAATGATATCAACATCACAACTCCGTCAAAGCCCAGTTGGCGTCTCTCGAACCTCAACTCAACTACCAAATACAAATTCTACTTGAGGGCTTGTACATCCAAGGGCTGTGGAAAGCCTGCCACTGAGGAAAGCTCCACCCTGGGGGAAGGGAGTAAGTGCCTGGGGATTCTGTGTGCTGTGCCCTGTAAAGCATTGCCTGTCCCTGCAATGGGTGATGATTGTGTTCTGAATCTGGCCTCCTGTTGTGTGCTGGCGTAGATGCAGAGCTTATTATTAGTGTTGTTCATAAAGTTCATATGACGCTATTTATGGATTTCTGAACAACAGCAACCAAATCATGTCTTAGTATATACAAGGTCAGGAACTATAATTCCACTCAATTAAAATAGAATGACCTAAGTTCACAAAGTTATTTGCAGGGCCAGTAGAGGGATATTTTTCTTTTTAAAGTGATTCTATAGAGAACACACTTGCCTCTTGCCTTGGTGTGTGCGTTTGTATCACAGGTCTGCAGCATCTCACGTCCATGTCACTTTCCCTTTACCATCCGGTGGTTGATCCCAGATCACTGGCTTGAACACAGCCCACAAATCTACAGTTTCACTTGTAGTGTAATTTTCCTAATTAAATTACATGTTTCTGTTTTTTTCCTACTGCATAACCATTTCCCTTCCCAAAGTATTTTTCCAATTATGATTTCAGCCATGTTATTAATAAGCTTTGAATTATAACAGCAGTGCGTGAGCTTGGAGACAGAGGGTATAATGAGAATGGAGTGGGGTCACATGGAGTTGGAAGGGGGCCTCTGTAGGGTGCGGGCTGGTCGGATGTGGAAAGATCTTGTGGAAGAAAAGATGATGGGAGATTGTGGGAAGGGAACCAGAATAATTTATTTATATAATTTATTGTTGTTCAGGACAGACTTTCTGTGTGCTTTTCTCCGTGGTAGATTAGGGAAAGGTAGAATCAATGGAAGAAACACGAGCAAAAGGAGGAAATAGTAATGAAGAAAATGAACTGTGTTGCCATTGTTAGAGATTTGTTTAGAAAATAGTCATTTGTGAATCACTGTGAGAATTTTTTAGTCTCTGACATTCATGCTAAGTAACAAAGGGTTTGACTTTCCTCAGGATTCCTTAAATGCTAAAAACTCCCTTATATGGGAAAAGACTATGTATATTCATGTATATGTATATATTCAAATCATTTCTCCCAGAGAACTCATGAATTATTCCCAGGGATGAATTGAACCCCAAGTGAAATGAACTCATTTATCATTTTACTCATAAAAATTAGACTTAAAATGGTGATTGAAAACTTTCTAGTAACTAAAAGGCTTTTATTTCTCGAGAGTTCAAACTGGGGTCAGGTGTTCAGTATAGTGAAGTCAGAGGGTTGTAATGTCAATACTCAACTTCCATGTTTTTAAGAACAGAATTTAAGGTATGAATATAGTTGCTGGTTTGATAGAACCAAGACCAAAATCTGCTTGAGAAATGGCAATCCTATTCTTACCGATTTTTGGCATGAAAAGAGTCTCAAAAATTGCCTTAAAAATGTCACACTTCTAGGGTGTGTGTTGGCAAAGTTGGGAACAGACGTGCTTGTTTGTGTGTTTTTATAGCTGGTGCCACATCCTTCCTGGAAACCAAGCGTTTGATCGATGTGCCTGAGGGCTTAAGGCACATTGCTTGGCTGTCAGTGGTTGACAGTGTTCCTCACCAGTGTCTGTGCTCTTTTTCAGGGATCTGCAGCTCAGTCTCACAGCTACTACTACCCCTTCCCCAGCTGACCCTCATTTCCCCTCTCTAGGCACCTCTTGGCACATTCACAGGGAAAAATTGTAATCTCTTTTCCCACTGGATTTCAACACGAGCTTTGAAAATAATACGTATTTCCTCTGAGAGACATCTTGATATCACTAAACATTCTAAAAATGATAGCTTTTGTACAAATTGGAGTCCCCCGCTCTTCCTGCTCCGCCTAGACAGCACCTATTAAGATTTTTTGCTTTACTCTGAGAGCAAGATTCAATAGACAAGCATTTTCTTCTTATATTTTCTGATTCTCTTTCCAATTTTCTGATGGCTCACCTTCCATAATCTATGAGAGGAGCAGATGGAGTTAATCAGAAGTCCTCTTTTTTTGTCCTGAGTGGTTTGGACGAATCACTTGCTTTGCTCTATTTTCCAAAAGCTTGCATTACTTCATGATTTACTAATATTTCTGATTTTTAAAGATACAAAATAATTGCCTTCTGTTTCAGTGGTGATCAGCTTAAAGGCTTCGCTCAGCTATGTAACTGCTATAGTTTTCCCACCAGTCCTATTTTTTAATGAAGGCCTTTTGTCAGTAACTGTATGACAACTTTTTATTCTGTGGTAAAAACTCACAACCAAATATTGATGTGTAAAATATACCCACTTAAAACAGTTTCATAATCCCTCACATCCTTATAAAATATATAAGGAGCATATTTTATTTTATGTATGCATTGCTAACATCTTTTAGTTTGTGTTTAGTATACGGAGTTAGTTCCTAACAAAACTGTGAATCAAATGTAAAAATATTGTAGGTGTTTCAGAAATAATGTATATTTTAATTAAATGTGACTCATCTTCATGTGTTGCTATGAGACTATTATTGACATATTTACATACTGATGTTTACTTTTTGGGAGGTATTAATTTCTGACCCTTTTTCAAAGTTTCTCATACCATTTTCAAATTGTCAGTGAAGTCATTCTATTTTAATATACCTATAAACTTGGACTTTAATTTAAGTTGCTACTAATTTCCAATATTTTATATGTGACCATCTTGTGATGCCTCACATCAGTATTTATGGAGAAGACCACGACAAGAAGAATGAGTAGTTTATTACAGCCATCTCATCTGCTGCTAATTTAAGTCAGAAATGCCATATTCAGTTCCCCATGAGGTTTGTGAAAATACAAATTGCACACAATTGTATTGTATATATTTCAAGTTCCTGTTAGGTTTTGAACCAAGCACATGGCCAGGTAGATTGATGTTAGCATTTCATCACGTGTCTCATCTTCAATGGCCATGAATTCAGTCCATTTCACCTCCTCATTTTCAATATATTAAAAAAGAAAGTCTTGAAATGTTGATTTTTTTTGACTTCCTGATAATTCAAAATCTAAAAAATACTGTAAGTGCCTCTCTTACTAATTTCAAATAATAATATTTTTACTTTTCATATCCTGCTTTCAGTGATTTTGATTCATATGATTTAACTGTGTACATTTCTTAGGTAAAGATATCAGGAAGATTTCTGAAGGAGTAAATCTTACTCAAAAGATTCACCCAGTAGAGGTATTTGAACCGGGAGCTGAACATATAGTTCGCCTAATGACTAAGAATTGGGGTGATAACGATAGCATTTTTCAAGATGTTATTGAGACAAGAGGGAGAGGTGAGAAATAAGATTATATTTGGGACAGTCTTAGACGATTAATCTGTGTTCTGTAGATTATTTTACCTATATCCTATATTAAAGATAAAGAGTACATCAGACATGAAAATAATGATTTCACTTTGTTTTGGCAAAACATTTTAAAATTATAAAAATGAACAGTTTCAGAATGGTCTGACTTATCCCTATTGCTTTTACCACAGTACTTGCCTCTAAAATTTTCTCTTGTAATTAACACTGTTAATAACAAAAACTAAAAAGGAGAAGCAACAGCCAGACCTTGGAGTCGCATGGCATCTGCTGCTAACCAGGCTGCCTTTGCCCTTGCCCGCTCCCTGATGCCTCTGTCCGGACTTCTGCCTCCCTGTCATTCAGTCTCATGCCCAGAATCAAACGCAGCTTGAAGAAGGCCCTTTCTAAATAAAGAAGGAACTGTTTAATCGGTGTTCTCTGTGACGCCCTTTTCAAATCTCTGTCCTTCTGGGGCCTTTGAAAGAAAAGGTGGACTAGATGCTCCTTTGCACATTTAGGGCTGATGTCTGATGTTCTAGAACACTGCGTGGCACCATAGCGGTCTCCAGGTCAATGTTGTGACTTCTCTCCACGCTGCAGAGTACTCTGGTTTGTATGATGACATCTCCACTCAAGGCTGGTTTATTGGACTGATGTGTGCAATTGCCCTTCTCACACTAATCCTGCTGACTGTTTGCTTTGTGAAGAGGAACAAGGGTGGAAAGTATTCAGGTAAAATTGTTTCTTGATGTGATTATTCAACACACTAAACAGTATTTTCTGGGAGTCATTCTTTAGAGATGTTTTTCTTTTGATTGCACATGTAACTCAAATTGTTATCAGTAAATTAGATCTACAACTTTCTGAGATGAAAAAATTATCACTAAATTAGTCAAAGGGAGTATTGTGGTCTCAAATATTATCTTCAGATAGTAACTTATTTTCTGGTTTTTGGTATTTAAAATGCATTCTGGTTAAGATGCTGGTTAGAATACTTGCATCCCATTTTGGACTGCCTGGGTTCAACTCCTGGCTCTGGCTCCTGACTCCAGCTTCTTGCTAATATAGACCCCAGGAAACAAGAGTGATGGCTCAGGTGGCTGAGTTCCTGCCACCCAGGAGGGAAACCTGGACTGAATTCCTGGCTCCTAGCTTTGGCTCTGTCTGGGGCCATTGTGGGCATTTGGTGAGTGAACTAGTAGATGGGGGAGACGGATCCCCCCGCCATCAACCACTCAATTAAAATAGGCTCTGAGAAGGCTCCCTGTACTCCAAAACTTCTCTTCCTATTTGTAAAATGTCACATATTGAGAAGATGCACTGCCAAGTCACACATATGTTTTTTTTTTTTTTTTTTTTTTTTTTTTTTTTTTTGACAGGCAGAGTGGACAGTGAGAGAGAGAGACAGAGAGAAAGGTCTTCCTTTGCCGTTGGTTCACCCTCCAATGGCCGCCGCTGCAGCCGGCGCACCGCGCTGATCCTGGCAGGAGCCAGGAGCCAGGTGCTTTTCCTGGTCTCCCATGGGGTGCAGGGCCCAAGCACCTGGGCCATCCTCCACTGCACTCCCTGGCCATAGCAGAGAGCTGGCCTGGAAGAGGGGCAACCGGGACAGAATCCGGCGCCCCGACCGGGACTAGAACCCGGTGTGCCGGCGCCGCAAGGTGGAGGATTAGCCTATTGAGCCACGGCGCCGGCTACACACATATGTTTTAATGTCTTGAGAAGAGACTCATCTACACATCTACAGGGTGATGCATGTGCCTAGCTCAGAATATTTGTATGATGCCTCCTGGTAGTGATGCTTCTCCTGTGAACTTGGTCAGCGTGAGCCATTGCTGCGAATACATTTCTTTTTTTCCTTTTTCTTTTTTATTTGACAGATAGAGTTAGACAGTGAGAGAGAGAGACAGAGAGAAAGGTCTTCCTTCCATTGGTTCACCCCCCAAATGGCCGCTACGGCTGGGGCAACGCCAATCCGAAGCCAGGAGCCAGGTTCTTCCTCCTGGTCTCCTATGCAGGTGCAGGGTCCCGAGCACTTGGGCCATCCTCCACTGCCTTCCCGGGCCACAGCAGAGAGTTGGACTGGAAGAGGAGCAACTGGGACTAGAACGTGGGGCCCATATGGGACGCTGGTGCTGCAGGCAGAGGATTATTAACCAAGTGAGCCACAGTGCCGGCCCCGGAATACATTTCTTATTCCCATGATGTATTTTGGATACTCTGCCTGTTGACTTCATAGTGCATAAAGTAGAAAACAGAAATAGAAATGAAAACCATCCAAGTTGTTAATATAATGTTTGCCTTTAATGTCATTCAACTTGCAAATGTGTTTTGTATTTTTGATTTACATGTATATGATATGGATACACTATTGCCTAATACTGGTGGGAAGTAGACCCACTGCTGTAGTAGACCCACTGCTGTTCTCTTCATGGTGTTCAGATTCATGAGAAGCCCTTCACTGGCTTCTGATCCATTCACAAATATTTATCAGGAACCTGTCATGTACATAGAGCCATCACAACGTGATTTCTAAGTTTCTGTAAAGTTACATGGATAATTTATGCAGTTAAATGTTTCATATTTTCCTCTAAAGCTATGTATGATGAATTATATTCACAATGACTAAGAAATGTCCTAAAAAATTCACTGGGAAGATCTGAGAGGAATGACATCCCCTTTAAGGGCCCCAACATCCATATTCCTGGGTCACATCCTTGAGCAATGTGAACAGTGCTGCGCGGTGTGGCACAGCACAGGAGCTCCTGGTCTCACAAGTCATGGAGCAGGTGCCCTGCGGAAGGCTCTGAGTGGGAGAAGCAAGGGCTCAGCATGTGGCTCATGATGGAAGTAAATCAGGCTCAAACTGCCACAGCAGATGCTGGTGCTGCGATTACTGTAGCAGTTCCAGCAGACAGCTGACGCCTTGCTCCTGTTGGTTCAGTGACATGTTCTGATGGCACCTGGGACGTCAGCAGTAGTGAAGTGAGGCGTTGGTATCTGGTCTTCACTGAGGCCACATCATGTCGAGTGGTTTCATGGAGCCCTGCAGCCTGCCGCAGGTCACACGAGAAATAAATTGAGCCTAGAGGATCTGTTTTCCTCTTGGTTTCAGCATGTTGGTAACTGATGGACATGGACAGATCACAGGAACACTTGCATCTCAGGTCTCAAAAAGCCTGAAGCAATGCTGGGCTCGTTGATGATCCACCTGTCAACAGCAAGGCTGTGGTGTCTTTATGTCCCTTGGTTTCCTTTTCCCTTGATTCTTTAAGTTCTGTGGCGTCACCTTCCCTTTGTGGCTTTTTGTTTGTTTGTTTTTAAAGATTTTATTTATTTATTTGAGAGGTAGAGTTACAGATAGTGAAAGGGAGACAGAGAGAAAGGTCCTCCATCCACTGGTCACTCCCCAAATGGCAGCAATGACCGGAGCTGGGCCTATCCGAAGCTGGGAGCCAGAAGCTTTCTCTGGATCTCCCATGCGGTACAGGGGCCCAAGCACTTGGACCGTCTTCTACTGCTCTCCATGGCCATAGCAGAGAGCTGGATCAGAAGATGAGCAGCTGGGACTAGAACCGGTGCCCATATGAGTTGTGGGCGCTACAGAAGGAGGATTAACCTATTGTGCCACAGAACCAGCCCGCTTTGTTGCTTTTTCTCTACAGTGAAAGAGAAGGAAGATTTGCATCCAGATCCAGAAGTTCAGTCGGCGAAAGATGAGACCTTTGGAGAATACAGGTAAGCAGTGTTCTGTCTGAAAGTGCTTCAAGGCACAGGCTCCTCAGCTGTAAGCTCAAGTGGACAAGCAAGTGCTTATTTTTTTTTAAAGATCTATTTATTTATTTGAAAGAGTTACAGAGAAAAGGAAAGGCGGAGAAGGAGAGGGAGAGAGAGGGAGAGAGAGAGAGAGGTCTTCTATCCACTGGTTCACTCCCCAATTGGCCACAACAGCCGGAGCTGCACCGATCTGACGCCAGGAGCCAAGAGCTTCTTCTGGGTCTCCCACATGGGTGCAGGGGCCCAAGGACTTGGGCCATCTTCCACTGCTTTTCCAGGCCATAGCAGAGAGCTGGATTGAAAGTGGAGCAGCCGGGACTCAAACCGGCACCCATATGAGATGCCGGCACTGCAGGCGGTGGCTTTACCCGCTATGCCGTGGTGCCAGCCCTGCAAGTGCTTATTTTTAAGCAGCACGTCCTACAAGTGAGGCCTGACACCCTGTGGCTCTGTGACTCTGTGAATGAGTGTGCAGGTGTTGAGAGCCACAGTGGGGCGAGAAGTGTGTTAGGCCCAACCCCTCCCAGTTAGGACAAAGTTCCAATGTGTGGGAGGCTCAGAGTCCCTCCAGAGTCTGCAGCAGGGTTGGACTAGGATGTGGTTCAGCCACAGGACTACTTTCTCGGCTACTCTCATGATGCCGGCAGGTGCAGTTCCACTCAGACAGCTGGGCGGATGGATTCATTGCTTCAAAGGCAGAGCCATTCTTGTTCCACATCTTGTAGATCCATTCGTAGGGCATCTCACATGACAGCTGGCTTCCTTCAGAGGGGGTGAATCACATAGCAAGAGACAGCCCCAAAGTTTGAAGGTTTGGTCCCTTGGTGACTTCGTCTTGGAGGTGATGCCCTGATTCCCTGCACATTCTGTCAGATAGACTCAGCCCACATGCAAGTGCTGGGGCTCAAACCATGGCTCAGAGTTCGCGAGGTCGGGGCACCAGGGCCCTGTGACGGGGCTCATGCCACAGCTCAGAGTTCGCAAGGTCGGGTCACTAGGGCCCTGTGACGGGGTTCATTCCACAGCTCAGAGTTCGCAAGGTCGGGGCACCAGGGCCCTGAGACAACTGGTAAAAATGTTCTTTATTATGAGTCTAGTTCTGCAGACAAGAAACCAAAACATCCTTGTGCCACACTGTGCCACACTGTGCTTCGTCGACAGGTGGAGATCACTTTGTCCTTGCACTGTCTCATGTGACACTCTGGATAGGAGTGTATTCCCTGCCCTTCTTATTCAAACTCTACGTTTGTCATGAATGTCGACTGTTCTTCATGTCACCCTGGGAGACATTTCATGAATGCCTGTCATTGCCTACTGTGGATTCTCATTCTTGCTGCTGCTGCTGCTATAGTTTCCTCTTTCCTGTCTTCAGTACTCATTGCCAGGCTCTGAAACCAAGGGCACATCATTTTTGTTTTGCTCTGTGCTTTGGAACAGAACGATCCTGATTCTGGAGCCAGTGTTCATAGCTGCTGTCAGAAGTTGCTCCAGTTCTTTTCTTTCTCGGGTTGTGTGCACAGCTCAGCTGGCCCTGCCTGTCACCATGACTCGGGGGCTGCTGTGGGAGAGCATCCTGGCCCTCCAGATCTTCCATGTGGAACTGGCGCATGTCCCCTTTTCCACTGTCTTTGGCTTAAGCCATTTTTGTGGTAATGCCGTGAATCACAAAGTGGCATATATATTTTGTTATTTTTCAGATTTTACAGTCTTTTTATAAATGCCCACAAAAGATTTTTACATTCCATTTAATTCTCACAATAATCCTTTCCTCTTTTTTTAAACTTTTATTTAATAAATATAAATTTCCAAAGTACAGCTTTTGGATTCCAATGGCTTTTTCTCCCCCATAACTTCCTTCCCACCCGCAACCCTCCCATCTCCTGCTCCCTCTCCCGTTCCATTCACATCAAGATTCATTTTCAGTTATCTTTAAATACAGAAGATCAATTTAGTATATATTAAGTAAAGATTTCAACAGTTTGCACCCACACAGAAACACAAAGTGTAAAGTACTGTTTGAGTACCAGTTATAGCATTAATTCACATTGGACAACACATTAAGGACAGAGATCCTACATGTGGAGTAAGTGTACAATGACTCCTGTTGTTGACTTAACAAATTGATATTCTCGTTTATGGCGTCAGTAATTGCCCTAGGCTCTTGTCATGAGTTGCCATGGCTATGGAAGCCTTTTGAGTTTGCCAACTCCGATCATATTTAGACAAGGTCGTAGTCAAAGTGGAAGTTCTCTCCTCCCTTCAGAGAAAGGTACCTCCTTCTTTGATGGCCCGTTCTTTCCACTGGGATCTCACTCGCAGAGATCTTTCATTTAGTTGTTGTTGTTGTTGTTGTTGTGTGTGTGTGGGTTTTTTTTTTTTTCCAGAACCTCTTGGCTTTCCATGCCTAAAATACTCTCATGGGCTCTTCAGCCAGATCTGAATTCCTTAAGGGCTGATTCTGAGGCCAGAGTGCTGTTTAGGACATCTGCCATTCTATGAGTCTGCTGTGTATCCCACTTCCCATGTTGAATCATTCTCTCCTTTTTAATTCTATCAGTTGTATTAGCAGACACTAGTCTTGTTGATGTGATCCCTTTGACTCTTAGACCTATCAGTGTGATCAATTGTGAACTGAAACTGATCACTTGGACTAGTGAGATGGCCTTGGTACATGCCACCTTGATGGGATTGTATTGAAATCCCCTGGCACGTTTCTAACTCCACCATTTGGGGCAAGTCCGATTGAGCATGTCCCAAATTGTACATCTCCCTCTCTTATTCCCACTCTTATATTTAACAGGGATCACTTTTCAGTTAAATTTAAACACCTAAGAATAATTGTGTGTTAATTACAGAGTTCAACTGATAGTATTAAGTAGAACAAAAAAATACTAAAAGGGATAAAGAATTAAGTTGTTCATCAACAGTCAGGACAAAGGCTGATCAAGTCATTGTTTCTCATAGTGTCCATTTCACTTCAACAGGTTTTTTAAAAAAATATTTATTTATTTGAAAGTCACAATTTGGGAGAGGGAGAGCAAGAGGGAGGGAGGGAGGGAGGGAAGGAGAGAGATCATCCATCTGTTGGCAAATGGCTGCAGTAGCCAGGGCTGGCTCAGGCCAAAGCTAGGAGCCTGGAGCTTCATCTAGGTCTCCTATTTGGGTACAGAGGCCCAAACATTTGGTCCATCCTCTGCTGCTGTCCTAGGCATTTGACAGGAAGCTGAGGGGCCGGTGCTGTGGGGTAGTGGGTAAAGCAGCCGCTTGCAGTGCTGGCATCCTGTATGAGCACTGGTTCGAGTCCAGGCTGCTCTACTTCCGACTCAGCTCTCTGCTGTGGCCTGGAAGGCAGTAGAAGATGGCCCAAGTCCTTGGGCCCCTGCAGCCACGTAGGAGACCCTGAAGAAGTTCCTGGCTCCTGGCACTGGATCGGTGCAGCTCAGGCCGTTGCGGCCAACTGGGGAGTGAACCAGCGGATGAAAGACCTCTCTTTCTCTCTCTGCCACTCCTTTTCTCTCTGTGTAACTCTGACTTTCACATAAATAAATAAATCTTAAAAAAACAAAAAACAAACAGGGAGCTGAATTGGAGTTGGAGCAGCCAAGACAGGAAATGGTGCCCATATGGGACGCTGGCTTTGCAGACTATGGCTTACTTAACCTCCTTTGCCACAGCCACAGCCTCAATAATATTTTTTTTTAAAGACTTATTTATTTACTTGAAAGAGTTAGAGAGAGAGAGAGAGACAGACAGACAGGCAGACCTTCCATCCTCTGGTTATTCCCTAAATGGCTGCAATGGCCAGGGCTGAGCCAGGGCAAAGCCGGGAGCCAGGACCTTTACCTGGGTCTTCCACATGGCAGGGAGCTGGATCAGAAGTAGAGCAGCCAGGACATGAACCAGTGTCCTTATGGGATGCTGGCATCTCAGGCACTGGCTTTACCCACTGTGCCACAGCGCCAACCCCTCACAATAATCGTACAGAGAAAACATTGACTCCCATTTTATAGACCAGAAGCCAGCAGCTTAGAAAGGTTGCACAGCTGGCCCTGTGTCTTACAGGAAGGTCATCTGTCACTAGCTGTGGCCACGAGGAGTGGCTTTTTGGACGGCTTGGCTCAGAAATGCTTTGTGCTTACATGAAATGGTTTTACTGGCTGTGCAGCTTCATAGTTTAATTGTAGTCGATAATGAAAAAAACTTGCTCTGTGATTTAGAAGACCCTATGATTTTATAGAAATTCACCTAACTCAAACTTACTTTTGTTCACTAAACCCCAACATATGATGTCCTTATGGTGTATTTATCATATTAAAATCCTACCCATTTCTTGTTTATAATTTAGCAAAGTTGAGTTTGTTAACTATTTTAAAGACAACTGCTTGGTTTCAAAACACAGAACTGGATTAATTCAAACGAGAAATTTTAGGCAGTAAATGGTATCAATGTACAGGATCAAAAGTGAAGAGAGTATCAAGACCTGGGGGCCTTGAGCTCCAGGTTCACCAAGGCCGGGGAAACCGTGTGTGCTCGGTCTCTGCACGCGGGCGACCGTGGCAGGGTCCCTGCGGGGCACTTGGGCTGCAGGCCCTCGCGCCTCACGGCGGGCAGCCCGGGGCCACGGCCGGGGCCGAGCGCGGTCAGCTCGCGGCCAGCTCGCGCGGGAGCAGCAGGTGCCGCCTCTCCCCTCCGAGGCCCTGGCGCTGGGTGAAGCCCCGCGGGCGCCTCGGAGCGGGTGTCACGGCCTCTCCTCTTGCTTTGCAGCGACAGCGACGAGAAGCCTCTGAAAGGCAGCCTGCGGTCGCTGGGCCGGAACCTGCAGGCGGCGGAGAGCGCCGACAGCCTGGTGCAGTACGGCGACGGCGACCACGGGCTGTTCAGCGAGGACGGCTCCTTCATCGGCGCCTACGCCGCGGCCCGGGAGAAAGGCTCGGCGGACAGCACCGGCAGCTCGGCCGCCACCTTCCCGCTGCGGGCGTGACGCGGCCTGCGGCCCGCGGACACGAAGGGCGGGCCCGACGTCCTGGGTGACGGCGGGAGCAGCAGCACTGCCTGCACCGAGCGCAACGCAGAGCACAAAGCAAGTCCCGCGTTCGGATTCGCTTCGCCGCGCGCCCACACCGCCCGGTGCCCTTGTCCGTGTCCCGGTGGCCTGTGCCCGCGGCTCTGTGTTGAGGCTCTGAGCTCTGTCTTGGGGGCCGCAGGCCAGCGGGAGAAGCAAGCTGGTTATTTAAGTGTAAAAAGGAATAAGAATGTCTTGTTGAAGCAGTTCACTGAGTATATACAGCTAAAGTTATTATTTAAAGTTTCAGTAGTGAAAGCCGTAGGTGAATGATCAACTGTATTTATTGAGCTCCTAACTCTTTGCCCAGAGATGGCCATGCTTAAACACAGTTGTAGCCTTTCAGCTCCACCAGGAGTCGTGTGTTCTGTCAGGCCCTCCACGCGCATCTTTGCGTCCTGTTTCCCGCGTGGATTACACTGGGCTGCGAGGGGAGCAGTGGCGAGAGATGCCACGATGCAAGTGGTTCTGGACCTGATTGTCAAGCTGCATCATGCCTGCCTGTCTCAGCCGACTGTGTTGACCTGTTTTCCAGGTTTGTGTAATGGTATGCTTGCACCTTTGTCATGAATGCATTGTACATACTCTGTTAATATTTCCGCCGTTTGAAGTATAGATTGTTTTATTCTGAGGTGCGGGAAGGACCTGGGCAGGCATGTCTGTGGTCACAGTGCACAGTGAGACACGGCTTCTTGCCATGCCAGAGCCGTGACCTCACACGAGGTTCCACACTGAAGATTTTGTGTAAAGCCTTTGGGTTTTGTTCTTATATTGTGTTTTTTTTTAACAGTCTTAAAATAAAACCTCATAAAAATATTGAGGGAAATGCTTTTTTGTATTTTGCAAAATAAGTCTTTGCTGTTGATTGCACACCTATGCCACCCCCTAAAAGAAGTGATGTGTTGTAGGAATTCCTGTACCTATGTTTGCCTGTGTCACGTTGTAAACATCGTCATGGGGAGACTTTTCTCTTGATTCTCCTTCTGTCAAAGTCAGTAGAAATTCTGGTAATTTATTTTCTGCCATGTGTGTGACTGTTCCTTTTAAGATTATACACAAACTGTTTTAGAAATAGTATGAAGTGACCAGCGTCTACATCAACAAAATGCAGTGTTCAGCTTCTTATTTTTATGGGAACTTTTTTAACCTTACTTTGAAAGTTTTAACTATTTTTGAGTGAAACTGACTCACAGATTTTACTTTATATTTTTGTGCTGTAATTTTTGGTGTCTATAAAGTTAAATCCTCAACTTTGATTTATTCCATCCATTATATTTCCTGGGGACCAAAATTAGAGGCATCTGAAATGGCCAATGTAGCAATAGACATGGAGTGTCTCACTGTCCTATTTAAAAACTATACCTCCCCCAACAGCACAGGACCACACCCTGCCTCAGGCGTGTCGGGAGGAAGGTGTCCCAGTCCTCCACGGGGTGAGTGAGGGGCTCCAGACATCCCTGTGGGCTGCCTGATCCTAAGGTGCCGCCTCTCTGGAGGGAGAGTTGAATGTTCTGATGGATCTGAGGAGTTTGTGGTGCTTAGCCGCTGATGAGGAGAAGGTTGGACTTCACGTTTAGTTTTATGATTCTGTTTCCTCTTTGTCATCAGCTAAAAAGTGGTTTTAAGAGAGTTAGGTATGTTGGGAATAATGTCAGAAAATCACTAGAAGTAGATAGATTGGTTAGTTGTTCAATAACCTTTAAGTCAGATGTTAACACAAGTCCTGGAGCATTGGCTCTGACCTCGGCTTTCCCCCTTGGCGTCTGAGACAAGGCGCCTGTCTTCCTCTGTCCCCGAATGGCCAGAGCCAGGGTGAGCTGGGACTGGCTCCGCCTGCCCTTGCCTTTCATCCGGTCCTTCTCTGAGTTCCACTTGGCTTCTGCTGGGAGTATTCAGGACAGAAGGAATCATCCCTGACGTCCCCCTTGTAAGTATGAAATGACGTCTCTCATGTTCCTTATGGATCAGAGCAAGTTTTAAGTGGAAGGGTGGGGAGACCCAAGGAGGTAGAAATGGATTCCATTTTTTTTCCCCCTCGGAAAATAAGTGATAGAGCCAGGATTGTGCAATGATGTAAACCAGTGATGGTTATTTGCATTTGGCCCACTGAGTGATGAAGCAGCCACCGGTAACTTGAGCTTTGCTCCCTGCTGGATTTGCTGCAGTCATCGGGCCCTGCATGTGAGGGATTGTGTACAATGGCCAGGGTGGTCAGGGAGAGTCCTAGGGAGCTGTCCAGGGTCAGGGGACTCGAGTTCTCTTCCGGTTCCAGCATGGATTTTGCACATGAACTTTTGGCTCCAAACTCCCAGCTGTAAGTGCTATCGCCATCTCAGTCACCTAACCGTAGTCACAGGGTGTTCTTTTCTATGAAGAAAAATCTGAAAATAACAGCGAAGATGCCTTTTAACTTCATAAACGAACCTATCTAAAAGTCACCTCCACACACCAGTTCAACGTTTTTCCTGTGAGCACATAAATATATTTTTATAGAAAAGCAAATCTACAGAAGATAATATGAATCCACTGTGCAGTTAGCAGTGTGATTTGCACGTGCCATTGAAAATTATTAATCAGAAGAAAATTAAAGCAGGGTCTTTGCTATACTAAAGTGTTTTCCACTAATTTTACATGCATACATATTTATAAGGAAATGTGAATTTGGTGGATTTATTCTATTGGTATAAAGGCATCTGATATTTTAGATGTACCCGTGTTTATAAAAATGTAGAGCACAATTAAATTATGCTGGAAGTCTCAAATATTTTTTCCTATTTTATACTCATGGAAGAGAGAAACTAAAGAGAGGACAATAGTGAGAAATGTTGGTGTGTTTTTCTAAGCATTTAAAACAGAATTGCCAAACAAAATCCTAAGTATGTTTACATACGGTTAAGGCAGGATTGTTGTAACGATCTCAGATCAGTTCTAAGAGGGCTGGGTTTGCAGTCTGTAGTGCACGTCCTGGTGTTCCTGTGTTCTTGGTGAAATGCACAGGGGTGAACCCTAGCTGACTGCTTAGTGCATTATATTAAACTGATAAGAACAGATACTACACTTGATCTTAGCCAAAAGGCCGAGAAGCGATGCTTGCTTAGTGCATTATAAAGAGAGAGTGAAGGCATGTAGCACAGGGTCACCTGACTGCCTGTTTTTTTGGCTTAGATCAATATTCGAAGTAGAAGTTTTATTAAAGTGTGTTTGTGTTGTAGCTGGTGTTTGTATTGTGCTTATGAACATGTACGGTCCAAAAATATTTTCATTATACGTGAAATTCAACTTTCCAAATAAAAGCCCAACTTAACGTACTATAAATATGTTGTGTTCTTTTCTGTGTAGTTGAGAGGAGTCAGGATGCAAGCACTAAACTCACCCTGAGTTTCCACCGATTATGAGCCTCTGTAAATGGATTACACACAGTAGAGTGTGGATGGTATATAAATATATTGTTCAGCTAATTACTGTGTTTACAAATAGAGAATTTAACGTCAAGATATTTAGTATAGAATGAAGTTGATACTTTTTGATAAGTATAAATTTAAGGTGGATATGTATTCACCTCAGATTGTAGAAAAATGTAGAAGTGTCATTTCTCAAGAAAATGTCCCTACGCTATGCTTTGTGACAAGGTGAACAGGTAATTCTGACACACTTTTGGAATCTGGATTCCTAACTGGCTCAGCAGACATCTTGAAAATTGTGATCTTTAAAAACGGTTTTAACTGTACTAAGCACTTTACATACATTGTCACATTGAACCTTAACACCCTGCTTTGGTTGCAGAGTCAGGAGACAAGAAGGTTAAATCACCTACTGTGTGTCGCCAACATGACCTGGAGCTAAACTAAACCCGTGGCTGTTCAGCTGCAACGCTCACTTTATCATGATATCAGGGTGTTACATCTCTGTCCTCCACGATCCTGTAGAAATGTCAAAGGCAGATGTGTTCAGCTTAGTGCCGACTTGCTGATCATGCTTGCAGACTTCCTTCTATAAGTGGTCAAGACACACGTTGGAGAAAACAGTGTTTTATTGTATAAAACAGTTGAATGTCACAGCCTACATAAAAGTAATTCAAATAATCCACCCCTTTTCAAATGAGTCTCACACATTTCATCATCTCCCAGCCACACCTCTGAGGAGCTGACATGGAGACTATCACCTGCAGGGGCTCCCCATATAACTCCCTTTTCAAAAGCCAAGATCTATGTGATGGAACAGTTTTCTTCTTCTGCTATTCTCGTTTGTTTCCCTATAAAATACAACACTGAGAACCAAGCCATATGTCCTTGGACTCATGGCATTTTATGAATGTCTTTATTGTCAAGATAATGCAGGCAAATGTCAGATAAACTTAAGTTCAACTTCCCAAGAACATCTGGGTTAGTGTCCTGGTCTGCTGGGCTGGTGTCAGCACAGTGAGCTTGCACTGTCCTTGTAAAGAAAGGCACCATATGGAAATTCCCGGATGTTACCAAAAAAATAACCTGCAACTCAAGTATATAAATCTTGTTACCAGTTCGAAAGAGCACTTCCTCAATTGGCCCATTCATAATGGAATGAAGAAGTTAAAATTCATCCCAGTGATCATCAGTATCAACTCTCAAAGGAAGTTTCTTGACGCAATCATTGTGTGGGCGATGTTTTTGATGAAAATATTTTGGGAATTTTTGTAAAAAGCATTAAGTGGATAACGGGATGCAAGGTGACTCTCCAGGAGGATATGGCTTCCAAGCGTGCTGGACCCTGGCGTTCTTGGAAGGTGCCTTGGTTCTCTTTCCCACTCTGTTGTCTTTGTGGGCGTCTTGTCCATCCACAACTCTGACTGCCCCGTGCAGGCTGATGACTTTCTTAGTTTTGGCCCAGTGCTCTCTTTGGAGCTCATGCTTTTATGTATGACATCTCTGATACTGAAGGATCTTTCCAACTTAATGTTTCAAAACTGAATGCATGATTTTCCCCCTCCCAAATTTGTTTTTCTGTTTTTTGATCAGTCTGCTGGTCAGTGAATGGGAACAGTGTCTAGCCAACTGCTGAAGCCCCAAACCTCATTCTGTCCACACAAAGGTCTCCCCTCTCCCATGCTCAGTCCCTCGCTAGTTTTTGTGGGTGTTTCCTCTTGCACTGACCCATTGTCTGCCCTCTGACCTTTTGCTGTGGCCATTGGCTCTCCCCCGAACTGTGAAGCTGTTCTGGACTATGCTGGCAGGGGGATTTTTGAAGTGCAAATCTGTTCACACTTTTTCTCTATTTGAACAACACATGGCTTTTCATGTCTTTTATTCTTTTAGGGTTCTAAAGGGACCATCAGTGTCCTGCAGGGTCAGACCCCTGTTTCGCATTCTGGTTCTTCTTCCCTACTCTTCCTTGCAGTTCTGATGATCCTACAAATGCCCCTTCTGCCCTGATTCTCTGGCCTCGTGGGTCTTGCACGTGCCATTGCTGGAACAAGTAGCTCTGCTCTGGTCACAACTGACTAAATGCAGGTGCACCTTGCTGAGGCTGCTTCTGATACCACAGCTTGAGTTGTCACAAGATCACCTGGCATTCCTCCTGCGCCACTGGAAGCCCAAAGGGGTCAACACCCCAGGCAGCAAACGTTTGTCCCTTGGGAGGAGGGCAGAGGGCCAATTCCAGACTTTTCTCCTCTCCTACTTCCCTTGCACTCCATTTTGCAGGTTGATCCCATGGGATAGAGCAGCTGTTCCACTGTAGCAATGGCCAACCCAGTAATGCCCCTTCTGCTGGCTCACCCCTATTAAGCCTGTAGCCCATGCACTGACTTCTCCCTCCTGGTAAGGCTGTAGCCCATGCACTGACTTCTCCCTCCTGGTAAGGCTGTAGCCCATGCACTGACTTCTCCCTCCTGGTAAGGCTGTAGCCCATGCAATAGCTGTTGCACACTTTGCAAGCTGACTCTTGTCTTGCAACTCCAGCTATCTATTTTCAACTGGTTAGTGTGCTTTATTTATTTCACTTTTATGTATTTTAAAGTTTTGACACACACACACACACACACACACACACACACGTAGAGAGAGAGAGAGAGGGAGAAATTTTTCCCATTCACTGGTTCATTACCTAAATGCCCGCAAGAGCCAGGTCTGGGCTGGACCAAAGCTGGCAGCCAGGAACTCAATTCAGTTCTTCTACATGGGTGGCAGGGACCCAGGTACTCGAGCCATTGTCTGCCACCTCGCACACCTCCCAGAGTGTGCATTAGCAGGAACCTGGACTCTGGAGTGGAATCCAGACTTGAACCACGTACTGTGATATGGAATGCAGTGTCGCAACTGAACGTCCACCCCAGCAGCTCCTGGTGTTTATCTGGTTCCTTCCCGTCCAGAGACCTCTGCACTCCTCACTTTCCCATCACAGGACCACCGATACGGTTTTTGGTTCAATAGGATTTCCTTAGAGGAATCTTCCAAGCCCCTAGATGGGTCAAATCAGCTTATCTTGGGGATATTACACCTCAATACCATCTGTCACAGTGCCTGGTACCTGATGGGCATTTGTTAAACACCTGCTAAGGAAAGGAAAGAGTTACGAGGTGGAGTTACTCCAGATACTGAGTCACGCTGGTCCACACGCATGAGTGCAGTCACCTCGCGGTCCCTGAGCTCTTCACCTCAGTGCAGGGCCACAGCACCCACCAGCAAGCCCGGCTCTGCAGCTGCCTGGAACCTGCTCGCCCTCCCCGGGCTGCCTCCGCCTTGCTGTGTAAACGGATGCACCAAAGCCCTGAGCTGGAAAAATGCACCAACTTGTAGGAAGGAAAAGCCTCTAATTTACCTGCTTGCTACATGCATTGACACAGGATTTGATACTTTGATATTTTCCTTTTTTTAGAATAAACAGCAGTTCCAGCCAAACTCTTGCAGGGCGCAGACACAAAGCTGTGCAGTGCAGACACTCGAGTTCTCAAGCCCGTCCTTAACCTGCTCTTTGAGGGAAGGATACTGTTGTGAATGTTCTGTAAATAATTAGGTGTTGTGCAGTTCAGTAATGCCAGCTGTAAAGGCAGTGCAAGATTTTACTAAGAGACAAGGATGTTAGCTGCCAGAGAAATATTAGCATAATGATAAGGCACTGACATGTTTATAACGTGTTAGAGCTTCCGTGGAGAAGATGTTCGTATTAGAAAAATATGAATTCCCACAAAGAGTATTAGAACCTGTTATGCTTCAGAACGAATTTTTAAAATTTCCAACGCTTGCTTTTTTAGGCATGTACTCACACATAGGATGATGTTTGAATTAAAGGTGCAGTGAGGCGATGGCGCCACGCGATGGCGGTGTTGCAGAGCGCTGTCAGCCGCGGCCGCGCCCTGGCTGGGGATTCGGTCTCCCAAGGCGGCCCCGCGCGCTGTGGGCTCCAGGACTCTGCGCCACGACCCTTCTCCCAAGTGCGAGTTCGGGTCCCACCAGAAATCACTGAATTTAAAAAAAAAATTTATATTATTTATTTGAAAGAGTTACAGGGAGAGGTAGAGCTAGAGAGAGAAACAGAAAGGTTTTCCATCTGCTGGTTCACTCCCCAAAAGGCCCCAATGGCCAGAGCTGAGCCAGTCGGAAGCCAGGAGCCAGGAGCTTCTTCTGAGTCTCCCACGTGGGTGCAGAGGCCCAAGGACCTGGGCCACCTTCTACTGCTTTCCCAAGCCACAGCAGAGAGCTGGATGGGAAGTGGAGCAGCTGGGACTAGAACCAGCACCCATAAGGGATGATGGTGCAGCAGGGCAGGGTTTTAACCTGCTGTGCCCAGCGCCGACCCCTTAATGCACATTTTGATCTATCCTCTGTCATCATCTGTATCTACCAGCTCTCTCCTCCCCCCTCCCAATCTACATATCATCATGAGATGTCCCATCAGGAATTGTCTCATACAGTTATAGAGGAAGAGAAGTTAAGGTTAACCATCAGGGAGCTGATGCTGTGACTACAGTTCATGTGCAGAACCCCGAGAAGGAGGACAACCAGTGGTGTAAGCTGCAGACTAAGCCCAAGTCTAAAGGCAGGAAAAGACCTAGGAAAGTCCCAAAGACAGGCAGGCAGAGAGGAAGACGGAGAGGTGAGTATGCATGAGAGCTGTTCCTCACTCGGTTCTGTTCTCCTCGGCCCTCGGCACACTGGGAGAGGCCCTGCTATGTCTCTGAGGCCTCTACTTCACTCAGTGCATGGACTTAACAGTGGACTTCATCAGACACCTCACAGTCACACCTGTCTGGCCAGCCTGTAGCCCGGCTGGGTTGACACATGCTGTTAGCCAGGACAGCCATTACGTGTTTTCAAAATGGGGGCATCAGCCGGCGCTGCGGCTCACTTGCCTAATCCTCTGCCTGCGGCACTGGCACCCCAGGTTCTTGTCCCTGTTGGGGTGCTGGATTCTGTCCCGGTTGCTCCTTTTCCATTCCAGCTCTCTGCTGTGGCCCAGGAAGGCAGTGGAGGATGGCCCAAGTGCTTGGGCCCTGCACCCCATGGGAGACCAGGAGGAAGCACCTGGCTCCTGGTTTCGGATTGACACAGTGCACACAGGACGTAGCGGCCATTTGGGGGGTGAACCAACGGAAGGAAGACCTTTCTCTCTGTCTCTCTCACTAACTCTGCCTGTCCAAAAAAAAAAAAAAAAAAATGGGGCCATCCAGAGTTGGATAGACGATAAAAATCCCTCGTAACTTACTGTAGGAATGTTATGAATTACCCTAACATCTGTACTTTCCACAGGTTACAGGTTCAAGTGAAGCAGGGGCTGATGGGCACAGATTCATTCCAGGGCCCTTGTATTTTCCTCAGGACTCAGCAGATGGCTGCAGTCTTCACGGTCCCACTGCCGAAAGCATGTGCTTGTTGGTACTCCTTCCCCTTAAAAAGCTGGCTTTCTCTGCCGGCCGCCGTGGTGCATTCTGCGGACACAGGCACAGCCACCAACGGCTCACACAGCCCCCGCGGTATGGTTGAGGCCACCGGAGCACACACAGCTGGACTCCCAGAGGGTGCAGCAGCTGAAATGCTGCTTATACTCTGGATCAGACACAGGCTATGCTCACCTGAATAACTGGAGCTGCATATTAGACCCTGGGCATCACCCTCACGTTCAGCACCAAATTCACAGTCGTTCACTTCTTACTTGTCAACAACTACCACACATACATAAACATCTCTGCATGATGCTGGTAGGGGCCGGCTGATAATCTACGACAAAACACACATTACTGGTTTAGAGGGTGGCTCTTAAAGCCATTACCAGGGCGTGCATTTGTCATAGGGGTTAAGCACTGCTAGGGGCCTCCACATCCTGTATCAGAGTGCCTGGTTCGCGGCTCGGCAGGGGTTGCTTCCTCAGGAGCCACACTGAGAGGACAGGGTGGACTGCCAGGAAGGCCATGCTTCCCGGGAGGCCTGGAGGACAGGTGCTACTTCCGGGGAGGCCTGGAGGACAGGTGCTACTTCCGGGGAGGTCTCCTGCACGGACAGGTGTTACTTCCGGGGAGGTCTCCTGCACGGACAGCTGTTACTTCCGGGAGGCCTGGAGGACAGGTGTTACTTCCGGGGAGGCCTGGAGGACAGGTGTTACTTCCGGGGAGGCCTGGAGGACAAGTGTTACTTCCGGGGAGGGCTCCTGCACAGACAGGTGTTACTTCCGGGGAGGCCTGGAGGACAGGTGTAACTTCCGGGGAGGGCTCCTGCACGGACAGGTGTTACTTCCGGGGGGGACGCGCTGCGAGGATGGCGTTTACTTCTGGGGGACACTCCCAGAGGGCGCGGAAAGCTGGTGCGAATCTATCCGGGCCGGAGACAAGGGCTCCTACCTCCCTGGTCGGAGTGAGGCTGCTGGCGCTCTGAGGAAAGCGGCGCCTGAGGAGCGCCCCGGCCGCAGCGGTGCCCGGTGCCTGGCGGAGCCGAGGAGGAACGGGGCGAGGCCCCCCATCCCCGAGTTCCTTGAGGGGAGGAACGCGGTGAGTTCCTGCAGGCGGGCCGGCTCCCTTCCCCCGGCGTGAAGTCTTCAGGACCTTGTGTTCGAGAAGATCCGAAGGGTTACCAGACCGCGTCTGTAGGAACCGGAATCCAAGAGTTAAACCGCATCCTTCGTCCAGGGCTGTGCATTTCTTGTTTTCTTTTTTAAAGCTTTTATTTATTTATCTGACAGGCAGAGTTTCAGACAGAGTGAGAGAGAGAGAGAGGGAGGGAGAGGGAGGGAGGGAGAGGGAGGTCTTCCATCCGCTGGTTCACTCCCCAGATGGCCACAGAGGCCGGAGCTGCGCCGATCCGGAGCCAGGAGCCAGGAGCTTCTTCCGGGTCTCCCACACGGGTGCAGCGGCCCAAGCAGAGGGCTGGATCAGAAGTAGAGCAGCCAGGACTAGAACCGGGTGCCCATAGGGGATGCTGGTGCCGCAGGTGGTGGATTAACCTGTTGGCCACCGCGCCGGCCCCAGGGCTATGCATTTCTTCAACAGACCCTGGAGAAAGCTGCAGAGGCCGACTTCCGGTCAGGACTGATCTCCAGACGGCATTTCCGGTTAGACCAGCCAGGTACACAGAGCACTTCAGCTTTGGCACTGCTCCCTGGACTGGTGTTTATGTTTGTGTTTGTGTCTGCAGTGCACTGTGTGCTGATTTTTTCTCCCTTCCTCTGTTTGGTTTGTTTTGTTAAGATTTATTATTTAGGGGCTGGAGCTTGTGGCGTGGCAGCATCCCCTATGGGTGCTGGTTTGAGTCCCAGCTGCTCTGCTTCCATCCAGCTCTCTGCTATGGCCTGGGAAAGCAGTAGAAGGTGGTCTAACTGCTTGGGCCCCTGCACCCGGAAGGAGCTCCTGGCTCCTAGCCTCGAATTGGTGCAGCTCCAGCTGCTGTGGCTATCTGGGGAGTGAACCAGTGGATGGAAGACCTCTCTTCCTCTCTCTCTCCTCTCTCTGCCTGTGCCTCTGTAATTCTGCCTTTCAGATAAATAAATAAATCTTTTTTTAAAAAAATTACTTATTTATTTTTGAAGGAGAGAGAGAGAGAGAATCTCCATTGCTGGTTCATTCCCCAAATGGTTGCAACAGCCAGGAGTGGGCCAGGTGGAAGCCAGTTCTCCCACATGGGTGGCATGGGCCCAGATAGTTGAGCATCACCTTCCACCTCCCAGGGTGCATATTACCAGGAAGCTGGATCAGAAGCTGAGCACTCCCATGTGGGAAGCTGGCCACACAAGCTGCACCTTAACCCACTATACCACAATACAGTCCCTGCAATAATGTCACAGTGCAGACTCTAAGTCAGCACTACTTGCCCCAGATCAAATCATGGGGTAGTGTGAGAGGTATTGGGAATTGGTGCAGCTCTGTTGCAGATACTCATTCTCATTAACAAATACCAAGTTAAAGTATGTTTATATGATAACCAGTCAATAGAATATTATTACACATCATTGCATATGCCATTTCTCATTGATTGGTAGTTTCTTTGTCTTGTCTTTAAATCAGAGGAATGAAACATGGCAGCTATGCTCTTGGGCTCTCGCTTTTTTTTTTAAGATTTATTTTATTTATTTGAAAGGCAGAGTTACAGAGAGGCAGACAGAGAGTGGTCTTCCTGCTGGCCCATTCATGGAATGGCTACAAGTTGCACAGCTGGGCCTGTCTGAAGCCAGGAGCCGAGAGCCAGGAGCTTTGAGGTTCTTCCGGGTCTCCCACACAGGTGCAGGGGCCCAAGGGCTTGGGCCATTTTCTACTGCTTTCCTAGGCCATAGCAGAGAGCTGGATTGGAAGTGGAGCAGCTGGGATTGGAACCGGCACCCATATGAGATGCTGGCACTGCAGGCGGTTACTTCACCTGCTGCACGGCACAGTGCCACCCGCCTTGGGTTCTCTTTAGTGTTTTATGCTGAATTCCATTTCCCCCTGTTTCTATTGGATATTTCACATAAGTAAGTGTCCTCATGAACATTCTGGCATTTGACTGCCTTAACAGTGCTGTTTGATTGCCACAGCAGGTGTGAGCCCACGGGGTCCTCGTGCTTCCTTCTGAAAGTGCAGGGGCCACATCTTTGCAGGGCGCTTCCTGCTGCCATGGCTGCTGAAGGGTCCTATGGCAGCCTGCTCCTGAGGTGGGTCTGCTGGCCATGACTGAAGGCCATTGTCGGCTCTGTTGAGCCTCTTTTTCGACAGCCAGGCAGGTGGGTGCTTCCACCTAAATGTCCTTCTGTCCTTCCCTGTCCACCAGTGCTGGGCAGGTGGCAGCTGTCATGCCTTCCCAGCGTGTCCCAGCTCTCTGTTCCCTTCATGTGTTCATTTCCCCTAATAAAATCTTAGATGTTCCATCATCTGCTTTAGGGATAGAGGCTTGCAGAGCCAGGGCACACAGAGATGATCTCATGAGATGTGACTCTCACTCCAGCTCACAGGATTTAGTATTGTGCTTTTGCTCTCACCATTTTTACATAGATCTGCTTCATTCTTTTAACTGATTTATAGGATTCAGTTTTATGAAAATGTTACATTTTGCTTATTGTTTCATTCGCGGGTATATTGTTTGGTTTTTCTTGCGATTATAAAATACTTCAGTGAACATACAAGGGTGCTACAAAAAGTTCATGGAAATACATATTATGATAAACACCATAAGCATGAGTACGTGGCTATATGATACCAGCAACAGGTGCTCAATGACTGGCAAAGGCATAGTCTATCCTTGCCACCAAATTATTAAGTCTTTGTCTTTTTGCACCAAAATAAACATTTTAATTCTGTATTTCCACAAACTTCTTTTTTTAAAGATTTATGAATTTATTTATTTGAAAGGCAGAGTTACAGATAAAGAAAGAGACAGAGACAGAGAGAGAGATAAAGAAAGTACTTCCATCCATTGGTTCACTCCCCATATGGCCAAAAGAGCCAGGGATGGGCCAGTCTGAAGCCAGGAGGCTGGAACTGCGTGCTGGTCTCCCACATGTGTGGCAGGGGCCAAGCACTTGGGCTATCTACTGCTTTGCCAGGCGTGGTAGCATGGAGTTGGATTGGAAGTAGAGCAACTGAGGCAGTGCTTACATGGAATGCTGGCATTGCAGCCAGTGGCTTAACTTGCTGTGCCACAGCCCCAGCTTCAACACACTTTTTGATCTACTCTTGTACAATGTCATGTTGTGCAGTTCCAGTTTTCAGCCTAGAAATAGAATGACTAGAGTGGAGTGTATGCACTTTATCAATTAACTTATGGTTAGCCACACTTCATATTATAATGAAATTCCCATACTACTTCTACCTGTGGAGTGAGTCCCTCTTTCTCCCTATTCTTGCCAACACTTAATATTGTGGAATTGTCTGCTTTTCTCATGTTCTTGTTAAAACTCTTTGTAGACATTTCTATTACTTTTAGGGAGATGAACATCTTTTTCTACATCAGTTGGAATTGTTTCAGTTCTTTGAATGCCCCCATGCACGGTTGTTATTTATGAAGGTATTTTTGAAATAGAATATATGGGCTCAGTTGTAATATGGTTGTGTCTTGTTCCAATGGAGTTCGTTTGTCATAACCACAGGAGAACCATCAGCCACCTTCTATTTGTTTCCAATTAAATACTTTTTACCAGTTTCTTGTGAATGTCTTTTAATAGTGAAGAATTATAAACTCTAAAGAATAGTCCCAAAAAGCGTTTCTATGTCGTAATCCCTTTCCTTATTTTCATAATCACATGCTGGTAGGCTTTTTCAAGCAATTTGTTTTCTCCTTGCAGTTTAAATACATGTTTCGGTGTGCTTCCAGCGAGGGTGCTTAATATTCCTGTTCTAAATTTGAGGACACCAAGGAGTCATGTTTGGGAAATTTTTGAAGTTGTTCAAAAGCAGGACTGCTGTGGAGATGGCTTCTTTGCATTCTTCTTACATCTCGGTGTTTTTTTTTTTTTAGCTTCCAAATGGAGTACTAAAGAAAGAAGCTACTCTTGTCCTCTGCTGCAGCCGGAGTACACATGTGCGTGTGCTGCCGTGGCACCTGAACCAGCACAGGGAAAGCAGGGGAGGCAGAGCAGGTGTGCTCATGCCTGCTAGATAAAGAGAGACGGCAGCACAGTTCTGGAATGAACTGAACTGGTGGGAGGGCGCTCACCTCGCCCTTTGTGTCTGCTCTTTCTCTTGAGTCTTCCTCACTCTCCTTCCTGGTGCTGCTTCCCAGGCTCCGTGTTGCAGACACAGCACCTCTGAGAGCCTGACCTTCCCTGTGCTTGCCCCTAGCTGGAGAACAGAGGAACCACCTCGTCCGTTTTTCCATGGCGTGTCTCGGGTCAGCTGTCTGCCTAGCCTGCGCTCCATTTAGTAGATGTGGCTGCTGCAGATGCACCCATTTCTTCCCTCTGCCAGTCTTCTAAAGGGCAGATTCAGGTCAGGGAGTCCCCATCAGCCGTATGACTTGCTGGAGCTGTGTCGTGGCCTAAGCTCTTCCTCTTCTTTCTCTTTCGCAGGCGCCAGTCCTCGCTGCAGCTGGAAGCCCTGTCTACTGTGAATCTCCATCTCCAATTATCTTCAGTGGTTCTCCCCGGTAAGGCCCTTTCATAGTTAGCCCCCCACTGGCACCTGGTTTCTCGAGGACCCAGGGTGACAGGCCTCACATTCTTCCCATGATGGTGTGGTGACTTCCACTGCAGTCTTCAAGTTTTATGAAGTCCTCTTTAATGTGTGAGATGTTTAGATGTAGGGCACACAAATAGGAGTATGCTGCTGTTACTCTCCTGCATACACACCTCTGCACTGTGGCCCTGCGTGTCTGTTCAGTAAAAGTGGAGTCTATTTACACCCCTGGCGTCAGGGCTAGCCACATGCTTTTTTTATTGATTTATTTTTTGCCAGGGAGACATTAGTAAACATGCTACAGGTGGTCTCTGCAGGGCACTGTACCTTGGGGATTTCCTTGTGGCTCTGGAAACCTTTCTTTGGTCACGTGGACAGGTGCAGGCCGGCCTGCTGGAGGGCAAGGGAGTGCATGGAATAGAGAGATCTCCCTGGAGTAGGCTTCCCCCAGAGCAGACAGTTTCATGAAGCTCTCAGGTGCCAAGTGGAGAAACGTTGACTGATAGCAGTTGACCACAGCACGTCACTTACTGAACTGACGGTGGGCTGCAGGTACAATGCTGATAAGCAAGTCACTGAAGAGCCTTCTGGAAAACTTGCCTCTTTCTTGAAAAGAGACACAGGTGAAAACATGCCATATCTTGCCTTTACTATTGTTCTGTGATAATGCGATGCCTGGAGCTCTGGCATTGAGAGGTGAGACTAAGCCTCCAGGAGATGTCATGAAGAGAATGACAGTTGACATGGAAAACCAATATCATTAGGCCTCAGAATGACCCAAACTTCATATCACTTCCTGTTATGTGATGCAATGCATTTCCTACTACTTAAGACGTATGACTTGGGTTTTTCTGTAACTTGTAGCTGATGGCACCCTTTTTGATGCACTGGTTAAATTTAAGCTTGGTAGAAATGCGATACAAATGTTTAAAATGAAAACATGCATATTTATGCCTGGAGATGCAGTCTAACCTCTAATAAACAGCCCTTCTGAAATTTTCTGTTCCTCTTTCTGTCTTCCTTTTCTCCAAACATACACAGAGCTTTGTAAAAATGATAAGGAAAGCAGTATTTTTGAGTCACACCAAAATAATGTTCTCTGATTTTCCCAAATATTGCCATATATTTCCATTTTAACATATAACTGATTCTGTTAAAATGAGTTTATGTAAGCTGGAAGCTGACATGCCACAAAAACGAAATGAGTGGAGAATGTCTCACAGAATCTCTTTTGAGTTCTGAGAGGAGCTCTGAAACCTGGAGCAGTCAGGGATCAGAATAAAAATACCTTTTTCAGAATTGCTTCTGTGGTGACCATCTAGGTAGGGAGATGAAATGTGCTTTTTACTTCAGGAGCAAAGTGCTGTCCTGTAGGATGCACAGTTACCTCCTGTGTATGGATAAATTGTCCCTGCCAGGGTAGGGATGTCTCGTCCCACTCTGTGCAAGCAGGCATGCGTGCTGCCGTCTCTTCATTTCTCTGCAGCCCAGGAAATACCTTGCTGGAAGACAGAAGCGAATGATGTTGTAAGTAGCTGACGTGTGCGCATGTCTGCTTACCGACAGCATTCAGACATCTGAGAGAACCCTGTAGAGGCCTGCCGGTCACTCACTACTTCCAGGCAAGAGAGACAAGTTCCAAATGCCATCTGCTCACCACAGCAGAGCGTTGCAGGGACGTTTGCAAGCTGCGATGTGGAAATGATGGTGGGATCTGCGCCCTGCCAGCGCCGACAGAGGTCTCAGACATCCTGGATCACTTTGCCTGGAGATGACGTGCCCACCGCAGACTCTGGCAGTGGAGTGCGGAATGTGGAAGGGATGTCGCCTCCCAGCTGACCAGCAGGTGCTTGCAGGACGCGTCTGGAGCTTTATCACCTGACCCCCAGCCAGGGCGAGCAGGTTTGGAGGCCAAGCCTGTGATGAGGCAGGGACCGTCCTTGCACACACCTGTGGCGCCTGTGTGCACCGAGCACTAAGTGTCTGAGTGTACTTTTGTCTTGATCTAGTAAGTCAGACCAAACCGTGGTGCTGATGAGACAGTCCTGAAAATGCCAGCGTGACCCCGACCCTCAGGAGGAGGAGGAAGAGGTCTGAGGAGTGACTTGACGCTCCCCCGCAGAAGCGTGGCTGTCCCGTGTAGCGTTCTCGGTAGCTGTCCACTTCCCTGTCCTGGCCACGCCTCCAGGACTGACTTCATGACATCTCCTTGAGGCTTAGTCCCACCTCTCAAACAGCCCCCACCCCAGACCCCTCTCCTCCAAGCTGCCTCCTAAATCCCTGAAATTAGCTAAGGTCCCGCGCTTCCCTCAGCTTGCAGTACTTTCCTCTTCCTCTCCCTGTCTACTCACACCTTAAACTTTTCATTTCTGTAATGACCATGGCTTCGTCTGCAAACCCTGGTCATTTCTCCGTGATCTTGTTTTCTAGGATTCATAAAATACATTTTCTTGTAGACCCTTTGGGAACTGTACCTGCTCAGTAAATCCGAGCAGCTTCTGGTTTGTTTTTCCTTGTCTCCATGTCTAGTATTGTGCATGCATAGTGGTGTAGTTTGCTACGTACTGTGCTGGATTCCCCGCGGAGGCTGTGGCCAACGTCTCTCTCCTCCAAGCGCAGCCACTCTGCACCCAGAGGCTGAGCGTATTTCCTGTCCCCTGGATTCCATGCTTCACCCAGGACTTGCTTGGCCTCTGTGGGGCTGTGAGGCTTTGGGCCTAGGTACTTAGGTGACTTGAAGGTTTGGGTGGGCCCTTTAGGGATCCTTTTCCCGTGTGAAAAAGCCTTACAGAATTATGCAGCCATCCTCAGCCCCTGAGCCAGCCGAGGCTCCTTCTTGTATGTTGCATCCCCAGGCAAGCTTCCAGGCAGTGCAGCTATGTAAGGGACACAGTCTCCTTCTGCCTGAGTGTAGACGATCCGTCACCAAGAAGCCTGCAACAACGTGGACCTGTGGGTCGAGGAGCACTGACACCGACCTGTGAACTGGGAGGTGGACCTGCTGAGCTCTGGGAGGCTGTGTGAACAGCAGCTGCCAGTTGTGCAAGGGATGGCTCACACTCAGGGAGAGCTGCATGCCCAAGCCATGTGTGAATCTCCTAATGCCTCAGCTGGTGCCTTGTAGTTTAGTTTAATGTCAACAGTTTTGTTAAATTCACATCCCAGATGAACAAAGAGTGCTCTGTGGGCACTCCTGGCTCCCAACCACTGTGCCGTTGAAGTGGACTCTTAAAGCCTGAGTGATGGTATCGCAGATGTTGTTGGCTGTTCCCTTAGCTGGCACCTCACCTTGCGCACTGTTGAATTTGGCTCTGGAAGGCAGATTGTCCAATGATTTCAAGCCCCATGTCCGTCTTTCTGTCCCAAGGACATTTGCCTGGACATCTGCTTCATGCTGGCCCAAAGGGTTGGCGTCATCTGCTGCATTCCTTTCCACAGAAGCCCAGAGCTGTCTAGTACATACACACTTTCCTTGAACATTCAGAGAGAGAGAGGCAGAAATCATTTCTCGACATTTCTGCTGTCATTCAATATCTCGTGTGCTTGACCAGCGGGCACTGCTCTCAACGGATGTTGAGTTCTCGTCTACGTTTCTGATCTTTTGGGCACCCATGGTGTTTCTTGGCCTCCACCGTGTTGTGAGATGTTGAGCTGCTGTTTCATCGGTTTGGTGTTGTGTTCTACTGGACCGTGTGCCTCTGTGGAAGTGTCCTGTGCCTCTGGCCGCTTCAGACTTGCACTGATACGTTGGTGGTGTAGCAAACGTGAGCTTTGACACAAAGGGAAAGTATTGCATTGTGATAAGTTTTCGATGTGGAAGAGATTATTTCCATCAAGCTAATGCTTTTTATGGAATCTGACTTTCCAGTGTATTTGCCTGAACTTTTACTCGTGATATCTCTTTTGTTGAGGCTGCAATGCAGTACTTTTATTATTCTGCTTCTACTCTGCTAGCCAAAGCCATACTGTACCTGTTTTCTTTACACATATTTTTGTTCTGGGACCTAATGTCCACCAAATTTGGTGAAAGAAGAAGAAAGCATGGAATGGTGGTTTTTGAGAAGGAACCAAAAACCTAAGGCTTTACCCATATAAAAGAGAGTTCCAAGCGCTGTGGCAGGTTTGGAAGCTCACTTGTTACTAGACAAAGGAAAGAGCCAGTTCTGACCCGTGTGCATCACTGCCCAGTGTGAGCAGGTGTAGCCTGCCTTCAGGGACAGGTGGCTGAGCTCTTTCTCTGGAGACCTGACTGGCTTCTCGGAGCACGGCTGACAGTGAACGTGACTGATACTTTCATTGCAGGTGTCAGGGATGCCAGTTTTGGGAACGGTGGGCGTGGCTGTGATCATGAAAAGACTAGATGAGAAGAACATAAGGAAGAGAAAGAGGAAGCTGAGAAAGTGTCTGGAGAAGGGCAGACACACAGTGTCTCCATGGCAGGGACAGGCACACCCTGGGCTGGGAGCCGCCTGTGCACCTGCTCCCAGCAGCTGTAGAAATGCCCGAGTTCTCGTATATGTACATCTTTTGAAGCCTCCCCGTCCTTGGCACCCCTGAGAAAGTCTGCTGCTTGAAGCCAGAATTACCTGATAGGCTCTGTGTTCTAGGGGAAAAATAAAGCAGAAAGAATTATAGCAGAAGAGACGAAATTGGTAAGAGAAGCTACCTGGGAAAGAATGGATGTGTGATTGTAAGAAAAGATGAAGGCAGGGAATATGTTGTCTGGAGATGGAAGTCAGCACCGTGGAGTCAGCAGGGGATGGTGAAGTGTAAGCAAACAAGAAAGGCTGGTAGACTGGGCCCAGACTGCTGAGGGTGGAGTGCACGTGCTGTGAGGAGGGCCGGAGGTGCTTCAGGCTCCGGTGTCTTCTGTCTCTTCCTTCTTTGAAAGTGATTGAAAAAAGCCTGTGTTTCTGTTGATTCTCTGCCCCACACTTTTTATTAACCTCTCTTCATTAAAATTTGCATATA